TTATTTGTTTCATCTAATAGAGTGATACCATCAATCAGTTTATATGTGTGTGTTTATAATGTATACAGTGTTCTGCCTGCATTGTGTGTCTGCAGGCCAAAAGAGGGCATCAAATCTTATTATAGATGGTTGTGAGCCACCACTTAGTTGCTGGGAATTGAGCTCAGGACCACTGAAGAGCAGCCAGTGCTCTTAACCTCTGAGTCATCTCTCCAGCCCCTCAATCATGCTTCTAAAAGTGTTCTATCACTATTTGAAAGACACTGAGGTTGGCAATGAAGTCTTCCCGATGAGCTCTGAGCCTGTAGGCATCAGGGTCAGACCTGGTTTTAGGGGATGCCTCTGGTAGCCTTATTGGGGAGCAGACAGCTTTCGTGGTGATAGAGCTGTTGGCTTTGGAATTGTAGACTTGAATTTGGCCTTTCTCACTCAACATCTGTGTATTCGGAGGCCAATCCCTTCCCTTCCCTGATCATCCCCTATAAAACAGGGAAGTAGTAACACCTTACCTGAGAGGCCCTAGCTGAGAACACTTATAAACCACGTAGTCTGTAAACAGGCTTCATAACTGCTATTTTTATTGTTTTAATTTTTAAAATGATATTGCCTGTTGTGGTAGTGCATGCCATAGGATATGCTTAAGAGCAGAGGAGGAGGCCAGCTTGAGCTACAAGTTTCAGCTGGTCCTGGTAGTGCATGGCTTTAATCCCAGCACTTGGAGGCAGATGCAGGTGGATCTCTGTGAGTTCAAGGCCACCTTGGTCCACGTAGCAAGTTCTAGACCAGTCAGGACTACATACTGAGACTCTGTATTTTACATACTGAAATGTGTGTGTGTGCATGCATGGGTGCGTGTGCAGGACAGAGAATACATTTTGGAGTCAGTTCTCTCCTTCTGCCATGGACCTGGGGATCATCAGAGTGGCCCAAGACAGGAGGGAGGGAAGTCATGGAAAACTGCAATGGTTGAAATATGAGAGTAAGCCGGCCTGCATTAAGGTTTCAGGATGAGGGGACAGGGCAGGTAGAGGACTTGGGTCTGGCGAGCAGAATCAAAGAGTGTAGTAATAAGGGCGGCGGGGCTGTGTCCCTGGCACCCCGGCCACCTGCTAGCTTATGCCCGAAATAACAACACACAAACTGTATTCATTTAAACACGGCTTGGCCCATTAGCTCTAGCCCTCACGGGCTAATTCTGATATCCCGATCAACCCATCTCTAATAAACTATGTAGCTCCGGTCTTACCGGGAAAGATTCAGCATGTCTGACCTGGCGGCTTGCTTCATTGTGTGCCTCTGCCTGGGAGAGCGGAGCATGGTGCCTCTGCTCTAGAGAGCAGAGTTGTCGAGTCTGAGCTCACTTCCTCTTCCTCCCAGCGTTCCGTTCTGTTTACTCCTCCCACCTACCTTCTAACCAATGAGGGCCAAGCAGTTTCTTTTTATTTAACCAATGACCTTCCTCCATCAAAAGAGGACTTGAGATGAGTTTTATTTGCTGCTGGTCAGTATAGAAACATCACATTATGGATGACATTACAGGTTGAAAGAGAGAGAGAGAGAGAGAGAGAGAGAGAGAGAGAGAGAGAGCGCTCACTTAATGGCCCTAAGGAAGTGTAATTGGGAAAACACCAATAACACCAGAGATACCGAGATTCTGCTGGTGTGACTCATGAGAAATGTGTGTGTGTGTCTGAAAAGATTTATTTGATAGTAGTGGACTACAGCTTTAAAAAAGCAGTCCTGGGGGACGGGGTGGGGGCTCACTGGCTAGAGAGTCAAGTTTGGATCCTCATGCAAATACCAGGTGGGCGTTGCTGCTGCCTGCCATCCCAGGCTGGAAGGTGAGTGAGCTCAGGGGTAAAGCTGATGGAGATCAGCCACAATGGGCTCTGTTTGATTGAGACCCTGCTTGATTGAATAGGGTAGGAGAGCAAAGCTGGTATCAAGCTCCTGGCATCACTCTCAGGTCTTCACATGTACACACACACACACACACACACACACGCACGCTTATGTGCTCCAAACACACATGTCCACATACACAGACCCTCTCATACACACATGAAAAATGGAATATGAATAGGGACAAGGCGTGGTGGCACCGCATATAATCCCAGCGTTTGGGAGATGAACAGAACAGGGTCAGAAGGTCAAGGTCATCCTTGTTTATCTAGAGTTTGAGGGAAGCTTGGGTGTACAAGATCTGTCTCAGCAATGACAAAATAAGCAGAAAAGGGACTTATGTCTGTGGCAGGATCAGCCACAGTCTACTGGTTGAATTCCATTTCTTTAAGACTTAAAAATTATATTTTATGCGTATGAATGTTTTACCTGCATATTTATATGTGCACCCCATTTTGTTCTCCTTCAAATTCATGGTCCCTTTTTTTAAAAAAATATTTATTTATTATGTATATAATATTCTCTGTGTATGTCTGCAGGCCAGAAGAGGGCACCAGACTCCATTACAGATGGTTGTGAGCCACCATGTGGTTGCAGGGAATTGAACTCAAGACCTTTGAAAGAGCAGGCAATGCTCTTAACCACTGAGCCATCTCTCCAGCCCCCTCATGGTCCCTTTTAAAAGTGTTGTTGCACACATATAGATGTGTGTGTATCCCTAAGTACATAAGTACAACCCATGCAGCCTGTATGTACATGTCTTCAGGGTTGATCATTGGTGTTGGATAACCAATTTATGTGCTCTTCCCTGGGGAAGACTTTCCCCATTCCCAGAATTCCTTACTTTTCTGCTGTTGTTTGCCTAGGGCTGAGGCTTCATGCACTTCCTCGTCCATGCGTGCACGTCTGTTGGTGTCATCCTTGCTCAGACAGCCATGTTGGGGAGACTTCACGGTGTAGCTTCTGACTCTTCTGAGAGACACAATTACACATAAGTCTTCCTGTTTCTCTGGGTATTATAATCTTCTTCTTTTTCTTCCTCCTCCTCCTCCTCCTCCTCCTCCTCCTCCTCCTCCTCTTCTTCTTCGTTTCTTGGTTTATTCTTGAGATGCCGATTTGCCCTGTGACCTGGGGAGGAGGGGATGCGTAGGGGGTGAGGGAGAGTGGAGATCTCTCATCATATCTCAGACTTCTTTCAGATTAAATAGGCCACAAACCATTCATTTCCTTTTTCATACAGTTCCCAGTTATGAACAGGCCAGCACCATATAAAATCCTGATTTGTGCCCAACATCTTGGTCCCCAGAATGCTTGGGGACATAGGAGTGGGGTAAGGTGGGGAGAGTGAGCAGAGCTTCGTCAAGGGAGCAGAAGGCAGGCACATCTTGGGGAGGGAAGTCCCACTCTGATATTGCTTTACCTCCTACTCCAGAAAGAATGGGAATAAACACAACGGTCCCAGCCAGGGACGGGAGGTAGCCAGTGCTTCACTGTGGGAAGGGATAGCACCAAGAGGTATGGAGGACTCTGATGAGAGGTGGGGTTTCCACCCCTTCTTTACAATGATCTCTGAACCTTAGGTGCAGGAGTTGTGTTGTCTATCAGTTGGAATTGGGCCTCACAACTCTGCATTTTGAATGGTTTTAATTTTTTGTAATAGTCTCCATTTGTTGTAACATGAAATTTCCTTGATGAGGGGTGAAGATTATACTTACCTGGATAAAGACAGATATTTAGGATGTAGCTAGGGTTTACAGTGGCTTGGTGAAGTGGCAGTTGTAGATTCTCCACCAAGATTTGTGCCTGACTGCACTAAGCCTGGATTGTTGGCTCCGTTTCCTTTACTAGGAATGACTTTCCTCTTGTTGAGCATGTTGTAAATCCAGTTAGAAAGCTTGTTGGTTACTCACAAGGTATTCAAGTCGCTATTGCACCCTTAGGGTTATTGTGCCATGCTGGATGTTGTGATCCCGAAGTGCCATAGCTTGGCAGCACTGCTGGCAGCTTCCCTCCCCCTCCTTTGAAATCTACTGGTACCGGAAGGTGCCTCTTGTCCTCAGAGAGGTTTTCTTTCAGACCACATCCAGGTGTGTGTGTGTGTGTGTGTGTGTGTGTGTGTGTGTGCTCCTCTGGCACTGTGTCCAGTGTGCACAATGCTTTCAGCAATAGGAACTTACCTTCCAGCTCTGGGGGAAAACCAAGGGTAACAGCATTAGCGTATGATGTTTAAGGGAGTCTCTTGGACAGCCCTGACCAACAACTCAAAAGAGGGCTTCTGGTCCCCGGTGTTAGGGGTTTCATTAGATGATCTCTGGCTCTTGAGGTAACAATGTCAGCACAGATGAGAGAATTTTATTTAAAAAATACACGCTCACACTTATGTGTAAACCTGATGTGTATTATAGGTATTTTTAGGCAGTTAATAGCATGATTCCTTATGACTCTGCAGACACCTTGTTATTTTATCTACCTCCCCCTTTCTAATGAGATCCCCCATCTCCCCCTTTACTGCGCTTGCATCCTGCTATTCCCATCTCTACTGCTCCCCCACCCATGCACTGGTCCCTTTTACTCTCTTGGTTTCTGCAGTTACTCCAGGTTCTGAACTCACATCTGAAGATGTGGAGCCAGGAACCTCAGATGAGAGGTCTGTTCTCACCTCATCATTTACCCAGGCAGAACCTGGGGAATGGTGTCTGTCTCCTCTTTCGGGGGTGCAGAGCCTGAAACAAAACTTCCCATCACTTGCCGGTGACAACACGGTGATGTGTGCACAAAGATGTAGAGCCGAGATGTGAATCACACCACCTGATTGTGTAACTCAGATTTCCATCAGTCACAATGACTCAACTTCTAGTAATGGAGTACTAGATTAAGAGCTAAAAGGACATCCAGGTGGGGCATGGTGGCACAGGCCTGCAACGCTAACTCGCAGGAGTCTGAGGCAGGAGAATCTCATGGTTTGACATCAGCATGGGAAATGAGGCTCCAACTGAGAGCAAGAAAGACTCTAACCAAACGCTGTGCACAGCGGGGCTGAAATACAAGCTGACACGTCAGCTTTCCTATGAATGCACAGAACAGTAAGCAAAGGCACGTACGCCACCATTCAGTCTTTAATCAAACCGCAGCACATTTAACACGTACACGTCCAGACCTTTAGTGACCGCTGCATGTTGAAATCCCTTTGCACAACACTTTGAGGTTAAATTCGTGCTATGAATTTACAAATGTACAACATAACAATACACTTGGAATCCATCCCAGGTAAGTTTAAAACACTTTAGATAAAGTTGACATACAGTGTAAAGATATTTAAAATAAAAATTACAAAATGGGCATAAAGAAGTCTTCCCTTTGGAATTTTTAATAAAATACTGCTCTAAGATCTAATCAAAAATTCCAGTTACTTACAAAATAGTTACACGAGGAAGAAGCCAAGGAAGATAGATGTGTATGAACCGCAGTTTAATGAGGAAAATGCTGAACACTTTGATACACAGCACACCACTGACTATTCAAGTGTTAAATGAAAACACTCAAAGTAATGTTTAGGAAGAAGGAAATATAAAATATTTGAACCACCCCCACCCCTAAAAAAGTTAAAAATTAAAATCCAGCTGTGTGGTGGTGGTCCACACCTTTAATCCCAGCACTTGGGAGGCAGAGGCAGGCGGATCTCTGTGAGTTCGAGGCCAGCCTGGTCTACAGAGTGAGTTCTAGGACAGCCAAGGGTACACAGAGAATTCCTGTCTTGAAACATCACACACACACACGCACACACACGTACCTGTAACTGTAAAGGAAAGGCAGGATTAATAGTACTTAAAGCACACTGGGCATGGAACCATACTGTAACCTCAGAATTTAGGAGGTGGAGGCTGGGGGACTGAAAGGGCTATGCAGTAGGGGCGAGGAGGGGAGAGGGATGGAGTGGAGGGGGAGGAAAGAGGGAGCCCGAGGGAGCCCAAGGGAGCAAGCACTTAAAGCAGGCTGTGGAGCAGATTCTCCCCCTATCATTCTGAGAGAATCAGAATGAGAACGTGGCATCTAACCCTAAGCAGCTACACAGACCATCTTTTGCTGTCATAATTGGTTGCAATGGGCCAAGTGGTGGGAAAATAAACTTCTACAGGTTTCAAGATTAAAAAATACAATCTCCTGGAAAGCAGTCTCTTCAGCAATCACTAAGAGCAGGGAGATTTTACCCACAGACACAGTGATTCTAACATTCTTGCCATTTGAACTCTTTCCCCTCCTGTCCTCTCTTCCAAAAAAAGTCCAGTTCTGTCGCACTAAGCCTGCTTGTCTGTTCTCCCGTCACTGGAGAGCCGCTGTCCCTCTGATTGTCTCTTTCTGGCCTGACAGAAAATAAGGATGTCTAACGAGAATACGAATTGTCAGTCTGAAAAACACTAAAAATTTAACCTTTATTTTTTTTTGATAGCAAAAGAAGTGCCTGCAAAAAAACACCACTTTATTGAAAAACAAATGTAGAAGGCTCACAATCTTTAAAGAAAATAATGATTTTTTTTGGTGACAGATTTTTTTAAAAAAGATATACGTCTCATAATAATTTCTAATAGATTCTCTTCTATAGTAAAAGAAAAGTCTGGAAGCAAGAGGGTACAAAGAAATATAGCAGAGAAGAGTGTGAGAGCTACCTTTAGTGAAGAGCCATGGAGTTCTGTCATATACGGAGAAAACTAAATAACCAGTATGAAAAAAATATTTGTTGATACAAAGAGAACAGGCACATAAAATAAGAGTAAATAAAATAACCCTATAGCTTATTTCCTTGAGATAAAAAAGTACATTGGGACGGTGGTGGTGCACATCTTTAATCCCAGCACTGGGGAGGCAGAGGCAGGTGGATCTCTGTGAGTTCCAGGCCCGCCTGATCTACACAGCTAGTTCCAGGACAGCTAGGGCTACACAGAGAAACCTTGTCTGGAACTCCCCCTCCCCCCGAAAAAAAAGTACATCAAAGTGTGCAAATACTACTGGATATTACCTATCTCCCTCTCTGTGCCTCCTCCTCTGAGAACCAAGAACCTAGTACTGTCTAAACACTAAGGGAAATAGTGACAGGAAAATGGCCGTCGTACTCTTAATTCTGTCCACCGGGGGAAGGAGGGGACCAGCCGCAGTCTTCATTACTTACTGCTCTGGGCAGCATCTATCTCCACAGCCCAGGCTTGCTTGGGATTTAGTTCTGCTGCAGCTTCCAGAGAGCCGGGATTAACGATGTGCTGGGTACCATTCTCAGCCAGGGAAGATCTCAAACTGAAACTGATTCAGAGGACAGAATCTGCCGACACAACCGAGGTTTAGATGTCTAAGCCTTTAGTCTATGAAGTTGTTTGAGTCAATTCATGCATTTTATCTGACAAATTTTAAAACTAGGGTAGTGACCAAGTAACACACAGAATTGTGAAAAGAAGCAATGATTAAAAGGATCCATCTTTAAATTAACTTAATTTGCATAAAAAAGACTTGTTGAATAAGGATATTAGCAACAGCTTCCAGTAAGGAGGGGAAGGTTTAATCAAATAACTTTTCTAGTTACATGAACACAGTCAGGGAGAACCTTTTTTTTTTTGTGACCAGAGTTCACCATTTTCACCAAAATTCTTAGATTCAACAGCCATCTAAGCGTATTTTCGAATCTTGAGGGTAGAAGCTGTATGGGTCCCACAGTGCAGCTGTTGAAGAGATGTGCTAGATCCCGTGTCCTCATAGCTGCTCAGCTGTCAGGACAGGCATGCCCTACATCTTCCAGAGGCTGCACCTGCCCTAGACGTCAGAGCTGTGTTGAGAACAGGACTTTGGGGGAGGGGGCAGAAAATACATCATACTGCCTATCTGCCAATACACAATCCTCTCTTATTTTATATTCTCTTTAAGTTTGACTCTTAGCATTTTTATTTTTGTTTTTAAAAGGAAGGTCAAATATTCTTACTGGCTCTCCATATAGAATTACTAGCTTGTGCTCAAATTTTAGAGAACTACTTTTACAGGTTCAACGGCACTGTGTTGCCTAAAATCTCTCAGGCGATTTTCCAAAGGGATCCTTTCTCTGTGCTCTGCACCATCATACAGGAGTAAGTGAATGTAGAAAAAATCTGAGTGGGATTCTTGGAAGGGGCTATCACAACAGCGCCATATCCGAGCATTCCCCTGCGCCTGCAAAGGGTGAGTTTGAGAGAACACCGAGGATGTCCTGAGCCTTACCCCAGGCTTCCTGCATGTGAGGAAGTGCTGGGCACGGACAAGCAGTAACAGAAAGTCACATGAGCACAGACAGTGAAGGAAACGATCATTTACCTTTTATACTAAAGGCACTAGTATACATATATCCTGCCCTCATTTAGAGAAACACTGGAATCAGCAGAGAAAGGAACTCAGTTCACCACCAGCATTTTCAAAAGCAGTAGGGACGCATGGCAGAGTTTGCAGAGACCTAATGAAATTACACACAGCAATCGGCAGCTCCATACAGAGACTGGTTCCTACTTTTTAAAAAGTATGATCATTTTATCCTTAAAAATATAAACATATCACAAAACTACAAGATAAATATATGTCCATATACAAATGTGGGTCCTGAAGTCATTGAGAAATTTCATAAAATCCAAATCATTTCATATGAACAACAGACATGAGCGACATGCAGAGACGGATGTGGCATCACTGAGCAGCTCAGCAAGTACCAAAACGCACAACTTATGGGCCAGGCAGGAAATAACGTACACACAAACACCTTGGAATTTTTAAAAAGTTTAAAATCTTGTCAGTCCAGGGAAGCTCTACACATGGACCCCGATGAGCTTTCACATACATGAAGTAAGCAGGGAAGAAGTCACAGAAGTGGGTGTGCTGATGCACGGCTGGAATCCCAGAGCCTGGAGGACTGCCATGGGTACTAGGCCAGCCAGCACGACACAGCAAGACCCCATCTCAAGACAAACAAAAGCCAAGAAGCCTAAGCAAGAATGAAGTGATTAATACTTTGCACTGTACTCTATTTGAAGACTGATTTGTAACCATTGTACCCTGGAGATTGTGAAACTTAATTTTATTAAAAATTCTTAATGCTGGTTTTTGAATAATCTAAAAAAAAAAAGTCATTTCTCAACTCTCGATTGCTATTCCGAGTTCGAAGCAGCCATACGGATGATTGGAGGGTTTTCTAGAGCTGCTTTGGTACAGGTTTAGAACAGAGCAACGCTGGCAGCACCAGTCAGTGCGCTGGCTCCACGCTGGCTCCAGGTCCAGCACGCTGGCTCCAGGGCATCCTGGGACCGCCTCTGGCAACAGACTCATGTGATGATGGAGCAAGGACCATTCTCCCAGCCACGTTGCCACATCATTAAAGAGAAGTAAAACCCATACTTAGGAAATTAGGATGCCTAATTCATGCTGCATTTAACTATCCCTCAATAATAGTGTAAAAAAGCTTATAATTATGATAATATGATGACTAATTTATAGGTCAAGGATGTTTCTAATGAGGAAGCCAATGGTTAGTTAGAGTGGTACATTTTAACATTTAGCCCACTGATATCTACTTTATATTTTTGGTTTTGAAGCAAGGTTTCAGGCTGGCCAGGGACTCATTATGAAGTCTTGGCTAACCTTAAATATATGGCAATCCTCCTGTCTCAGCTTCTCAAGCATGAGGGTTATAGGCATGAACTACCATGCCCAATTTGATATTTATTTTAATATAAGATTTAATTTGATCTTTTTTAGTTTTATTGAGGTATCACTGATATACAACAAATTGCACATATTTAAAGTGCACAATTTGATATAGTCTTAAATAGCATGAAAAGTGCCTAATAACTTAAAAATACAAATATTCAATCTAAACATATTCTAAAATAGCACATTTCTGACACATAGATATCAATTTATAAAAAGGTAGATGGAAATAAAAGAAATTAATTCCCAGGTACCAAATTTATTCAGAAGGTTTGGGAACGCTAAAGTTGACGGCCAGTTTCCTTGATTTCCTTCTTGAGGAGCTTGGTGTTGGTTTCTGGTGGGACACACCATGGCCTTGGGCGGCAGTGTCCACTTGAGACGACACGGGCTGGGCATCCTGAGAGCACTTCAAAGAGGCTGATGGGCTTTCTTGTGGAATTACTTGAGTGGCTTCAGAAGATCCTGGCTGGCTAGTCTGAAGTGGTGTGGCTTGAGAACTCTGGGCCTCCTTATTCTCAAAATGCTTCCTGTTTGCAACCCTTTTTTTCGTAACCTTTAAGGAATAACAGTATTATTAACTAACAGTGTGTGTGGGGAAGCTGGTGTCAGAAAACACCACAAATCAGGCTGCAGTCGCTGCTGATTTCTGACTTCTACTTATTATTAGCAGTGAAGTGTTCTACCAGGGGCTGGAGAGACGGCTAGAGGATGGGGTACTGCTCCTGCAGGGGATCTGAGTTTGGTCCCAGTGTCCATGTCTGCTGCTCTGTAACTCTGCTTCAGGGGATCCAATGCCTCTGACCTCCCAGGGCATCTGTCCTTGTGAACAACATACCCTCCCCCATGCACATAACTAAACCTAAATAAACCTTTAAAAATATTTTTATTACTTGCTACAATTAGTATTACTTCTTAGAATATAAACTCAGACCAGAGATCAGCTGAAGTGTATCACTATTGTAAGCTTAGTTCATACACAAAGAATTTTCAGTCAGTACTAGGAAGTTATAACTATATAATTTTTTTTATCAATAGTTGTGTTCTGAATATTAAAAAACAAGTAACTGTTAAAAACCACATTTTCCTTCCCAGCTCTCACCTGTAGAGGTATGAACTGATTGTGCGCCCCACTTGGCACTCCTCCAGCCAAGGGCATGGTTCCAGGATAAGAAGGATGGTGGAAGGCCTTCCCAGCAACGGGCAGTGGTGGTCTCCATGGCACTGAGCCAAAGAGATGAGGCGATGAAGGCATCATATTAGCTGTTAAAAACCAAGGTCCGGAGATTAAGACTCTCTCTGCTAGCCTCTTTTAGTTCCTCTGCCTCATCTGGCAGCTGTAACTGCTCGTCTGTTACGTCACTCAGCCCCGGGGCTCTTTCTTAGAGCCATAAAACTACATAAATAAATGCAGTTACAGTGATGCTGGCCCACAGAGGCCAACAGACCAAATGTGCCATGAGCCTTAGGAACAGCCATAGTTACGGGACTTTGAAGAAGCTGGACTTTTCCTGTGGTATCATTTCATTGGCTTCCGGAGACCCTGGCTTACTGGTATGAAATGGTGTGGATTGCAAAGAACTCTGGCCCTTCCTTATTCTCAAAATCCCGTTTGTTTGGTTTCATGACCACATAAATGATCATGAAGCTTCTCTCTGAGGAAGGTCTGGGAACAAAGACAGATATCATAACGTTCTCACCTAACCCAAATGCTAAGTTGTGTCCACAGTGAGCTCAACTTACAAAATACCCAAAGCTCTATTCTTGAAATATGATCACTTTCATGGGACAGGGAGAATTTCTTTTCTCTATTTTAGTATTGTAATTCAAGGATTCTTTTATGTTGCCTGTTGGAAACACACTGAGCTACTTGGAGAGCTTGTGAAATGCAGACTCCTAAGCAGAGGGACTAAAATCTAGCAAGCCAGATTCTTGAGTCTCAAGAATCTTTGTGTGCAGATCAGGGGACAAATCACGGGAATCAATTGTTTCCTTCTACCATGAGGGACACAGAAATTTAATTCAGGTCTTCAGGTTTTACAGCAAGGTCTTTACCTACTGAGCCATTTCTCTGGAACTGGTATTTTGAATTTCAAGACAACCTGCTTCTTTTTATTATAATATTGTTCCTTTTAGTCTAGAGATGCATGTCCTTTAGTTCTAAGAATTTCTCTGATGTGGGAGTAATTTCTTCCTAATCTGTTGCTTTCATTGGTTAATTAATAAAGAAACTGCCTAGGCCCATTTGATAGGCCAACCCTTAGGTAGGCGGAGAAAACAGAACAGAATGCTGGGAGAAAGAAGCTGAATCAGGGAGTCGCCATGATTCTCCCACTCCAGACAGATGCAGGTTAAGATCTTTCCTGGTAAGCGCACCTCGTGGTGCTACACAGAATATTAGAAATGGGTTAGATCAATATGTAAGAGCTAGCCAATAAGAGGCTGGAACTAATGGGCCAGGCAGTGTTTAAAAGAATACAATTTCTGTGTAATTATTTCGGGTAAAGCTAGCTGCGCGGGTGGCCAGGTGCCAGGAACGCAGCCCCGCTGCTCCACACTACATTTCTCTCTCCCTCTCTCTCTCCCTCTCTCTTCCCTCCCTCCCTCCCTCCCTCCCTCCCTCCCTCTCTCCCTCCGTCCCTCCCTCTCATTTCTTTCTCTGGAGTGCCTAAAACAGGGGTTGCAGATCTGTGCACTGTTACTCTAAATTTTTGTTATTTCTTATTTCCTAGTTTTTATCACACTTTTACAATTTCAAGTCAACAACTGTGATGGTTTAAATGAGACATGTAACCCACAGGCTCAGGTATTTGAGTACAGTCCCCAGTTGGTGGTGCTGTTTGGGGAATTATGGAATCTTTGGCAGATGGAGCCTTGCTGAGGAAATGTGACCCTGGGAGACAGCGTTGAGAGTTTATAGCCGCACGCTGTTCTCTTAGCTCAGCCTCAGCCGTCTGCTGCCGTGTCTGCGTCCACTATGGACCCCCCCCCCCCCCCCAGAAGAGCAACTGATACAGGAGTCGGGTATTGCCCATGCGGTACTTTTCAGGAATGGGAAAGATTTTGCAAGTTTGGACTAGAAAAGTGGCTGAATGCTGTAACCAGAGCTTAATGGGTCATTCTAGAAAACAGTATGGTTGAGAGCAATGCAGAAGAGAGAGGCCTAGTTCATGAAGTTTGGAGGGGAACAAGGACTGTGTTAACTACTGGAGTAGAGACATTGTGATATTTCTGTAAACAATCTCGCTGTTTTCTGTCCATGTTCTGAGAATTTACATGAGGCTGAACTCAAAAGGTTAACTTCTTTTACAGAAGAACTTTCAAGATGGCATAACATCGAGTCTACGGCATGCTTCTTATTGATAATGTATACACAGGTCTATAATAAGCTAAGGTTATGGTATTTTAGGTACAATAGGAAGCTCAATGTACAGCCAGGGCAATTGCTAAAAGAGGCTGTCATTGTTAAGGAGATGATTGCCACTTAAAGAGAGATCTCCTGCTCTGCACTGGAACAATGGGGAAAATACCACAAGGGAGGATCCTATCCTAGCTAAGCCTCCAACCTGTAAAAGAAAAAAGCTAAACTGCAGCTTGTTCCTAGAAAGTAACAGCTTCAGTTCATGAGAGCCTGCTACTACAGTGGTTGAAGGGGGTGAGGACCAACCCTACATGGCAGTCAGACTTGTCAGTGTACCATCTTTGGAGGCATGAAAAATGCAAAAATCAGGGAGAACGGCTCATGGGCTCATGGATTCTATTGGCATGTTTTCAGGTAACACCTGAGGCCAGACAATGTGTGACAGATGAATCCCTATAAGGAGCCTGTGAGAGGCCATCATATATAGCTATAAAATGAAGTCTGGGGAGCCGAGCAGTGGTGGTGCACACTTTTAATCCCAGCAGATCTCTGTGAGTTCAGGGCCAGCCTGGTCTACAGAGCTAGTTTCAGGACAGGCTTTGCAAGTCCCAAAGCTACAGAGAAACCCGTCTCGAAAAAACAAACAAACAAAAAAAAGAAAGAAAAGAAAAAGAAAATGAAATCTGAGTTGTGGTGGAGACCCCATGATGTTGAAGATCATAGTCATGAGACATCTGCCAAAGACATCTCCATACAGAGAGTGGAATTAACTCTGAGACAGAGAGGCGGGGGGGGGGGGGGGGGGGGGGAGGAGAGAGGGAGGGAAGTATGTTGCTGGCAGTAAAGCCGGAGCCATCTAAGTCTTATGAAATTAAAGACCCAGACATTAGACATACAGCTGTGGGATTTTGTGTTTGCTCTGTTGAGCTAGATCCTGTTCTGGTTCAATCCTTACTATGCCCTCATTTCTCTCTTTTGAACTAGGGATGTATTCTTTGGTATTCTATGTTGGAAGTATGTAATTTGCCCTTTTTGGGGGGCAGAGTATTAAAAGTATTTAATAAAATACATTGATGAATATAAGATTTCATAGAATTTTTAATTATCTTACTCTTTTTCATTTTTTAAAAAAATTATCTTTTCTCATTTTATATGTCAAATCCATTTCCCACTCCCTCCCCTCCTCCTCCCTCCACCTTTCCCTCTTCCCACCCCCCATGCAGTCCTCATTTGTTCAACTATGTTCATAGAGTATTTGTAACAGCCAGAACCTGGAAACAACCTAGATGCCCCTCAACTGAAGAATGGATAAAGAAAGTGTGCTACATTTACACAATGGAGTACTACTCAGCAGTAATAAACAATGACATCTTGAAATCTGCATGCAAATGGATGGAACTAAGAAAACAATCCCGAGGGGCTGGAGAGATGGCTCAGAGGTTAAGAGCATCGCCTGCTCTTCCAAAGGTCCTGAGTTCAATTCCCAGCCACCACATGGTGGCTCACAACCATCTGTAATGAGGTCTGGTGCCCTCTTCTGGCTTTCAGGCATACATGCAGACAGAATATTGTATACATAATAAATATTTAAAAAAAAAAAGAAAACAATCCCGAGTGAGGCAGCCCAGACCCAGAAATATGAGCATGGCATGTACCCACTCATAGATGAATACTTGCTGTAAAGCTAAGGATAAGGAACCTATAGTCCAAGACCCCATAGAAGATAAGTAACAAGGAGAACCCTAAGAGAAACATACATAGATCCCCTGGGGAAGGGGAATAGACAACATCTCCTGAGGGAAGAGAAGGGAAGGCTTAAGGGGAGGAGGAGGGGGGAAAGGGAAGAGGGGAGAACTATAGGGAATGGGTTGGTCGAATGGGGGGTAGAATAGAGAAGGAGAACAAGGAAAGAGTTATCTTGATTGAGGGAACCATTACGGGGCTAGCAAGAAACTAGCACTAGAGAAATTCCCAGGAATCCGCAAGGATCCCCAGCTAAGACCCTAAGCAATAGTGGAGAGGGTGCCTGAACTGGCCTTGCCCTGTAGTCAGAATGATGACTATCTCAAATGTCATCACAGAACATACATCCATCCAGCAACTGATGGAAGCAGATGCAGAGAACCACAGCTGAGCACTGGGCTGAACTCCCAAAGTCCAGTAGAAGAGTGGGAGGAGTGAGAATAAGAGCAAAGAGGTCAAGATCATGATGGGGACATCCACTAAAACAGTTTATCTAATAGCCTTCCAACGCCAGCCTGACATGAGGGAACCAGCACAGGATCAAACTAGGCCCTCTGAATGTGGGTGACAGTTTTATGGCTGGGACAGACTGTGGAGCCCCTGGCAGTGAGACCAGGATTTATCCCTACTGCTTGTTCTGGCATTTTGGAACCCATTCTCTCTGGAGGGATACCTTGCTCAGCCGAGATATAGTGGGTAGGGTATTGGTCCTGCCTCAAAGCAATGCCCTAGACTTTGTTGACTCCCCATTAGAAGTAATTTGCCTTTTGAATCTACACATTAAGAGACTGCCTTGGGTCTCAAAAGAGACTTGGGCTTTGGACTTCTGAACCATGCTGAGACTGACAGAGACTACTGAGACTGTTAGGGTTGGACTAAATGCATGCAGCATTCTGAGATGGCCATGAGCCTGCACAGGCAGAGCAGGATATGCTGGTTTAGAACGAGAAGTGCACCCCATAGGCTCGGATATTGGGGAGTTATGGAAGCTTGAGGATGTGAAGTCTGAGGTGTGTCACTGGGGGCAGGCTCTGAGTTTATGGCCTTGCTCCATGCCCAGCTTGTTTTATCTATGGGATCTTTCAGCTTCTGGCTGCAGCCACCTGTCATCCTGCCTTCCCTCCCATTAGGGCTCCTCCTCTGAAACTGTAAACCAGACAAACCCTTCCTTCTGTAAGCTGCTCTGTGCAGTGACAGGGAGTAACAGATACAACTACAAATCATTTTTCTTTTCAATTATTCTTCTTTCATACAATCCTGGTTTTATTTCGCTGGCTCCACAGAGCTGGAGATTGAGCCTCGGGCTTTGCATACGCTAAACAAATGCGGTCTGTGAAGATGCGGAGTCTGGTAACCCCTACTGCAGGGCCTGTGGTTTGCAGTTAACCCTGCTCTGCTAAGCTGACTTTGTCCATGCTTTATTCACTGCAAACTGTTTTCAAATTTCTATTCTGCTGATATTTCTTCTCCCTATTTATCCCCAAAGGCTTTGCTTTTAAAATTCCTTATTATTTAATCTAATAGGGCAGGAAGAAAAGGTAACTGCAAGTTATAAACTTTTTTGATTTTTAGTGATGGTTCTTCAATTCAGGGTGGTGGGTATACTGTAATTCCAGCACTCAGGAGGCAGAGAAGGAGAAATTAGAAATTCAAAGCTGGTTTAGGATACATGAAACATTGTCTTAAAAAGAAATCAAACCCTAAAACATAAAAAATAGTACATCTTGGGGCTGGAGAGATGGCTCAGAGGTTAAGAGCACTGGCTGCTCTTCCAGAGGTCCTGGGTTCAATTCCCAGCAACCACATGGTGGCTCACAGCCATCTGTACTGAGATCTGGCGCCCTGCTCTGGTGTGCGGGCATACATCGAGGCAGAATGTTGTATACATAATAAATAAATAAATCTTAAAAAAAAAATAGTACATCTTGATGTATGTGTACACTAAATGTAATTAGAAACACAAAACAAAACCCTCAAAACACTCTCAATAAAAATATGGTTTTTAAAGGAATTTAGAGAAAATAGTAACTCAAGGATAAGACTTAGAAAAACAAAATATCTTACCAGCAGGTTGGGGAAAAATGGGAGGAATGGTTCCAGATGGTACAGCTGTTGGATAATTGGGGAATATTGGTGGAGGCAAAGGATAATTCACACCAAAGGAGCCCTGTGGAAGTATTGAAAAACTGTAAGGCAAAACAACAAACCATTTCTGTAGAGACTAATAAAAAATCTAACAGATGGCTTTGGCGGGTGGGAGAGCTGGTCCTGAGGTCCTGAGAGAGTGGAAGAACAGGCCCCGCACCTCACCTGAACAACACTGTAGAGATAAGGGAGTACAAGCGAGCCAGCTCTGAGGGCATGAGAGTAGAGAGCTAATCCCACCCCTGCTTGTCTGCCATACAGTGGCATGGGAGAGGAAAAAACGCCCCTATCCCTTGCCATCTGTGAAAGGCGGGAGAGTGGGCCCTGTACCTCGCCTGGGCAAAACAGTAGAGCTGGCCCTGGAGGTGTGAGAGGGTGAGAGAGCAGGAGAACCAGCGGGTCCTTGCTGCACTGAGTGAGCTAGAAGGGGCAGAGCTGGAGAGCTTGCCCTGGTGGTCAATGAGGCAAAGCTGGCAGGCAGACCAACACCCAGGGCTGTGAGTTGGCTCATCCCAATCCACCTCATCTATGAACTGCTGGAGCATGTGAAGGGGCCAAACCCGTGGATCCAAAGCTACAGGTTCTCCATGATATAAGGTAGCAACAGGGTATCCAAGATGAGTCCCAGTGAGGGCCCAGTATCAAGGGTGTAGCAGAAGCCAAGCAGACCAATGACTCATTGCAATACTTACAAGTAGAGATGAATGGACTAAAGGGTGTATTGTGTGACTCAGTGTCAAAGCACAGCTTCTACACCGAGACTTTTTACATGTTTTTTTCTCTTAGTTTTTAAAAAAATTTATTGTATTTTGAGGAGGAGCTAAAAAAGGCAGGGGGTGGATATGAAGGGGTGGGGAGATGAATGGGATCAGGATGCATGGTGTGAAACCCACAAAGAATCAATTAAAAAAAGGAAAAAAAATTTCAAAACTAACAGGTGGGAGACAGCTTAGTGGTTAAGAGAACTTGCTCTCCCAGAGGATGGCATTTGATTCCCAGCATGGACGTGGGGCAGCTCATAGTCACCTGTAACTCCAGATCCAGGGTGTCTGACTCCCCCATTCCTCTGGTCTCACTGTGCACACACAGACACTCTTAATCTTAAAAACTTAGGGAATTCATGAATGACTCTTACCAGTTGTTGTAAAGCAAAAAGTGCAGCTCTCTCCTTGGCTTCACTTTCAGAGTGGCACTGTGGCCCATGTACCAGTAAACCATTGGAAAGTTTCACCTGACAAACTGTCATTGTCTAAAACAAGAGAATATAGACATCCATAAGATTATCTGTCTAGGAACCCAACTTCCTCTCCTAAAGCTTTGTCTAATCAAAGAAGAATAATCTCACTTAAGTTTTAGGTTACGAGGAAATTGTTTTAGAATTTTGCCTTATCTTTATTTTCTTAAAAAAATAATAAAAATTCAGGGTCTATGCAGTTCTGGCAGACCTGGAGTTCTCTATATAGACCAGGCTGGCCTTAAACTTAGAGATCTGCCTGCCTCTGCCTCCTGAATGTTGCAGATTAATGCCTTATTTTTTAATATTCACAAGGTAGAATGTTCTCTAAGCAGGGCCTGAAGTCCCAGCTCTTTGGAAGTCTGATGGGGGAAGATGGGATTGTTTGCATTTAGGAATTAGAGATCAATATGATTACACAGGAAAGAAGTTTATTTATTTATTTATTTTTGTTTGTTTTGTTTGTTTTTTCGAGACAGGGTTTCTCTGTGGTTTTGGAGCCTGTCCTGGAACTAGCTCTTGTAGACCAGGCTGGTCTCGAACTCACAGAGATCCGCCTGCCTCTGCCTCCCGAGTGCTGGGATTAAAGGCGTGGGCCACCACCGCCCGGCGGGAAAGAAGTTTAAAACAGAACAAAAGAACAAGGTGTCTAAACAGACTGAGCACCAATCATTTCAATGAAAACAAAGGCTAGTAAAGCCTTTTCATTTCCATTCTAAGAATTGACAAACTAAGCCTTTTGCTAAAAAAGTTTTACATTAAAAACAAACAAACAGAAAAACAGCCAGGCAGTGGTGGCACACCTTTTAATCCCAGCACTAAGGAGGCAGAGGCCAGAGGATCTCTATGAGTTCGAGGCCAGCCTGGTCTACAGAGCAAGTTCCAGGGCAGCTAGGGCTACTACATAGAGAATCCCTGCTTCAAAAAACCAAACCAAACCAAAACCAAAACCCCAAATTGCTTATGAAAAACTTCCCATTATTGTAGAGATGAGAAACTGTGACACGACTGGCCCACAGGATGAGACACTGGCACACTCATGTTTCCTGCCACACTTAAGCAGCACCTGGCAATAGAGCTGCCTATACGTGAACTCAGAGGTTCTTGTTTGGTTGGACCTTCCAGCTGGCCCCTACAAGGCCTGGAAAGCCCCATTCCAGTCTCTGTCTAATCCCTCCCCTATTTCCAACTCACACAGGCACTTTGAATGAAGGAAAGGCACCAAAAAGCCCAGTTCTGCATTCTTGGCAGCTGTTGCAGTTTCTTCCCCTGAAGCTGCCAGCTGTCAAAGTGCCCACCTAAGAGCTCAGCTTTTGATGATATTTGGGCACAAACCCAGCCATGGCAGACAAATCATCACCCGTTGCTTACAATTTATAAAATCTCCCTGCTTTAGTTTGGGTGCGTAACTTCTCTGGTCTTGATTGATCTCTGGGGCTGGAGAACCCGCTTGGAAGCTATTTGCTCAATGTACCTGTTGTAACACTTTTTCAGTTTAACTTGATCTGGCTTCCAGTGTCAGCAGATAACTTATTACTGTCCTTGAGCTTTAGGAGTGATCTTATATATTCTGTTGGTAGAGTATATGAGGCCTTTAGTTCAATTCCCAGTGCTGCTGAAAATCAATTCCTCAAACAACAAACAAAAAAATCCCTCACACTCAAACAAAACAACCTCCACACCACTGTATTTTTTTCTAGCTAAAGACTTTTCACCCAATTATGCTGCTCAGTTAAAGATTTATATCTATGTTGACATCAAATAGCAGTATACTATACCTGTGTTGTTCTCAGGAAGGAGAAATCTGGTTGTGGCATTCCAACAAGGGAACAAATTCGAGCAAGTTCGGTTACTGGTGTGGACACAGGAGGGATGTGGCCAGGCCAGCACACATTATCCACAGATGGAACATTTTGGTATTCATTAGTACCATGAGGCTTGTTCATAAAACACGCTAACAAGGCAAAAGGGAGTATTCATGTTAGTTAGAATGATCTTGGACTACCCAGTTGTGGAGGTTTGAATAAGAATGGCTCCTATAGGCTCCTATATTTGAGTGCTTAGCTACCAGAGAGGTGAACTCTTTGAAAGGATTAGAAGGATTAGGAGGTGTGGCCTTGTTGGAAGACAAATGTCACTAGGGATGGCCCATGCCAGGCTCAGTTCCTCTGTCAGCCAGTGCTCTAGAGCCATGCATGCGACCATGATGATAATGCACTCACTTCTGAAACTGTTAAGCAAGCCCACAATTAAATGATTTTATAAGAGTTGCCTTGGTCATGGGGTCTCTTCACAGCCACAGAACAGTGACCAAGACACCAGCTATAGCAGATTTATAGTAAATCAAACAGAAAACTGCTAAATAATTAAAAAATGACAGGCTGTGCATGGTGACTTGTACTTGAAATCCTGAGGCAGATGGATTGTCACCAGTTTGAGTCCAGTCTGGGATACAAAATGAGATTCTGTCTCCAAAACCAATACAAAAGTTTAAAGAAGCAAATTTAGATGGTTATAGTTGTTAATGATAATTAACAAGATGAAAATTTTAAAATAGCATAACAGAGGACACCTGAATATAAACATAAGTCAGTGAAGAATTAACCCAGCCTCTTTTTTTGAGACAAGGTCTCACTGTGTATGGTCTAGAATTTATTATGTAGTCCAAGCTGCCCTTAAACTCAAAGAGCTCTATCTGCCTCTGTTTCCAGACTGCTGGGATTAAAGGGGTGTGCCACCATATCTATCTCCTACTCCCTGCTGTTGACTGGGTATCATGAAAGTTAGATTAGCTTCAGACCTGTTTATACAGTCCAGGCTGGTCTTGAACTCGCTATCCTCTTGCCTCTACTTCTCAAGGGCGGAAAGCACGTGTGCGCATCCAGACAACCTATTTATACACACTGGTTACTTACCAACCAGGCACTCTGCCAGCCGAGCTGCACCCTCATAGGGTGCACACTGGCCCAGGTGGGGCAGATCCTTAATTCTAGGTATTTACAAATCTGGCGCAGAAGGATCACCAGTTCAAGGTCAGCCTGGACTATTTAATGAGATCTCAAAAAACAAAATAAAAAAAGGTTGTGGGGTGTAGCTTGGTGGTTGAACAGTCTAGCCTGCTTGACGCCCCAAGTTCAATCTCTCTTTTTTTTTTTTTTTTTATTTTTCGAGACAGGGTTTCTCCATAGTTTTTGGTTCCTGTCCTGGAACTAGCTCTTGTAGACCAGGCTGGCCTTGAACTCCCAGAGATCCGCCTGTCTCTGCCTCCCCGAGTGCTGGGATTAAAGGCGTGCGCCACCACCGCCCGGCTCCAAGTTTAATCTCTTATAGTGAGTATTTTATAAAACAGAAAGGGCAGGGTGTTGAGCGATCTTGCCCAAAGTCACAGAACCAGTTAGCTGTATGACACAGAAAACTGAAACATAATTTCAGTTTTCAAACTACTGAAATTAAGTGAAACTTACTTGTTTTGGAAATGTGTCCATTTTGTTTAAAAATTATTTTGATTTACTTCAGGAATAAATCTATCACTATGATAAATATGTAATGAATTTCTAATAGCTTTTTAGGGCCAGTGAGATTTCTCAGTGGTTAGAGTCACCTGTTGCCAAGCCAGAAGACCTGAATTTGATTCCCAAAAATCACACGGTGAAAGAAGGAAACTTATTGCCATGAGTTGTCAGCTAACTTCCAAATGACATCATGGCATGTGTATAATCCCATGCCCACAATAAATAAATGTAAGATATTTTCTAAAAAATCCATTAAAAAGCTATAAATATAACTACATATGTATGTATATATACTTTCCACATATATATACACATATATGCATAATAAAAATATATCTTAAAGATAGGTTTTTTCTGTGTAACTCTGACTGTCCTGTAACTGTCTATATAGACTATACAGGCACTGAACTTATATAGATCTACCTCCCTCTGCCTCTAAGTGCTGGGATTAAAGGTATGCTACTATACCCAGCTTTTAATAGCTTTTGAAATTATTAATTGCCCAGTATTTACTGTTGTATATTAAGAGCTACACTGCCTTTGGTCCAGATTTTGATCCTTAATAAATTTAGATCAAATTATTTAAAATTTTTGGAAACTCTGAGAAACTTCTGTCAAATGCAGTTTTGTCTGAGTCATTCTTCCCGGTCAGTTCTGGCAGATCATTGCGTAAGCGCACAATATTAAAATGTAAGGCCCCTAAAGCACAGGAACAATGACAGATATGTAACGAAATTCATCACTGAGCCAAGTGCTACACCACATGTTTCAGAGATTTAAAGTATACTTCTAATGTGTACCCTTGTCAATTATTTTTAGTTGATTTGATAGCTTTTTCAGTTTCTACACTGGGTAAGTTATTATAATGTGATGATGTCAACTGACAGCATCTATGATGGGTCTGATGTGCTACTGCTTTACCTATTACGATCACAAGTTATCTGTAATGACTGCTCATTTTATAAACTGGAAAGATATCCAGAAAAGTTAAAAATGTATTTAATACAAACACAATCACCTTTAAATTATGAGGGAAAAAAGGATGTGGCAGTCTTTCAAGGCTTGTGTATTTATCTGTAATAATTTAAGTTGCCACAAGAGATGTAGGGCTGACAGATCTTTTGATTATATATTTATATTGCTGCATAAATGACACAAAAAACTGTTTTTGGACAGAGTTCAATTACGTAGCTTGGGCTAACCTTGAACTTGAAGCAATTTTCCTGTTTCAGCCTCTCAAGTGCTGGGATTAAAGGTGTGCATTAACAAATCTGCTTTAAAAAATTATTCTCAGCTGGGCATGGTGGCATAGATCTTTAATACTAGCTCTTGGGGGAGGGGCAGTAGCAGGTAGATCTCTGTGGATTCTAGGCTAGCCAGACCAGAACTACATAGAGAGGTCCAATCTTTATAAAAAAAAAAAAAAGTGAAGCCCAAAATAAAACCAAGCAAAGCATGGTGGTTGGTATATGCCTGTGATTCTAGCATTCCAGCTAATGTCAAGAAATTTAAGAGTTCTTGGTCAGGCTGGGTGGTGGTGGCGCAGGCCTTTAATCCCAGCACTCAGGAGGCAGAGGCAGGCAAATCTCTGAGAGTTCAATGCCATCCTGTCTACAGAGTGAGTTCCAGGATGGCCAGGGTTGTTACACAGAAAAACCCTGTCTTGGGTGGGTGGAGGGAGTTCTTGGCCAGTTTGAACTACATATCTCCACAATGAGACTCCATCTTAAGAAAAGACAAAAACAAAGCCTGGTAGTAGTGGCGCTTGTCTTTAATCCCAGCACTTGGGAGGCAGAGGCAGGTGGATCTCTGGGCATTCAAGGACAGGTTCCAAAGTAACACAAAGAAACCCTGTCTTGAAGAAAGCAAACAAACAACAAAAAAAGGAAAAAAAAACCAAAAAAGACAAAAACATATAAAAATAAAATAAAGCAAAACAAAATTATTTATTTTTATTGCAGATAGGGTTTTGTGATTTAGCCCGGGCTGACCCAGAACTCTTTATGCAGTGTAGGCTGGCTCTGGACTCACGGAAATTCTGCATCAGCCTTCTAAGCTCAGAGGCTGCATGTGTGAGTCACTAAGCCAGGCTTCAAAGAACAACTATTTACTTTACCCGCCACACACTTTTTTTTTTTGTCTTTTGAGACAGGGTTTCTCTGTAGCTTTGGAACCTGTTCTGGAACTAGCTTTTGTAGACCAGGCTAGCCTTGAACTCAGAGATTTGCCTGCCTCTGCCTCCCAAGTGCTGGCATTGAAGGTGTGTGCCACCATGGCCTGGCCTATTTTACTTAATTTTTTAAAAGATTTGCTGTTATTTTAAATTTGTGTGTGTGCGTGCCCATGTGTGGGTTTATGAACATGAAAACAGGCTCATGGGAAGGCCAGACGTGCTGGAGCCCCTTGAACTGGGTTCTATCTGGTTGTTAGACACTTGATATGGTTGCTGGGAAGTGAAGTCTGGATCTTTGCAAGTGAGGTACACTCTTCTTCTAACCTTGAGTCATCTCTCTCTTTTTTTTTTTTTTGGTTTTTCTAGACAGGGTTTCTCTGTGGTTTTGGAGCCTGTCCTGGATCTAGCTCTTGTAGACCAGGCTGGTCTCGAACTCACAGAGATCCGCCTGCCTCTGCCTCCCGAGTGCTGGGATTAAAGGCGTGTGCCACCACCGCCCGGCTCCTTGAGTCATCTCTTGAGCCCTATTTCTTCATATATGTGTGTCCATGTGAGTGTGTGTGTCTGTGTGCACAGGAAGGGAAGGCCAGAATGCGTGTAGGTTATCCTCTGCCATCACTCTGTCTATTCCTGGGAGGCAGGGTCTCTCCTTGAACCTGGGGCTTGGATAGGCTGGAAGCCAGCAAGACCTAGCAATCCTCTTACTTTCCTAGTAGGTGGAATAATATGTGTTTATGGGCTTCCTGGCTTGTTATATGTGTGCTATACAAGTGAACTCGGCTCTTTTCAAATATGTGGCAAGTATTAACTGTTGAGCCACTTCTCCAGCCCCCTAGTTTTGAAAGGAACAAATGAGGCTGGTCAGAGGGTTTAATAGGGAAAGTGCTCGCTGTCTAGCCTGATGACCCGAGGTCAATCTCTGAGACACACACAACGGAAGCAGAGAACAGACTCCTTCAAGTTGTTCTCTGATCATCACATGTGTGCTGCACAGGTAAACACACACCAAACGGACAGGCAGACAGACCTAATAAACTTTTTTGGAAGACACCAAATGAAGCAAACTTCTGGAAATGATAGTCACTATTAGTAACTGTGTTCAGTTAACTCACCCAGCTTCTTACTTGGTTCAGGATGTGGTAAGAGTCCGTGCTCATCTCTTCTATTGGGAGAAGCAGTGACTTCATTATCAAATTGTTTTCCATCATTCTTACTGTCTGTTGTATCAGGGCTATCAATTTTTAGAATTTCTTTAAGCATCCGTGTTCCTTTCTTTTTAGAAAATGATTCATAGGTAGATGTGGGGGTGAGAAGAAAGCAAATGTTAGGCTTACGTAACGTATACATCTTTCTTCTTGGTTTTCTTTTGAGGTGTCCTTATGCATGCTGGACAGGAGCTCTACTACTGAGCTATCTCCCCAGCCTTTGCTCTTTCTTTTTAAGAGTTGCTGCTGTTAAAAACTAAGATGCTAACTAAATCCATCTAAGACAAATAGATAGATGGTCAAGGCCTGAAAAACGTTCATATTTCAACGTACAGAGATAATTTTTATCCTATTTAATTTATAGCCTAGTCAACAGCAATGTTTAAAAAGCAGGGATCTACGGTTTAGTGGAAAAAAAAACCCTACCAAAGCAGCAGCACTAAGGGATGGCTGTCTCTCACAGCATCCTGGTTTTCCTCAGCTGATGATGAAAGTGATACAAGAATCAGGGGTTAATCCCAGCACTCAGGAGGAAGACACAGGCAGATCTGTGTGAGTTCAAAGCTGGCTTGGTCTGCAGAGCGAGTTCCAGGACAGTTAGGGCTGTTACACAGAGAAACCTTGTCTCGAAAAACCAAAACCAAACCAAAACACCAAAACCAAACCAAAACAGACAGTGATACAGATATGATTCAACGTGAGACACAGGGTTTGAACAGGGGCACGGGGCACGCATACATGGCCAATGGAAGAGAGACTGCAGCTCTAGAGCTGCTGAGCATACGAACCATTGCGAACGACTGTGGAGACAGATGCTCCTCATTTGGAGGCTCCCCGTGATGAGGTGACTGCACTTCACTCTCTTTAGAGATATTCAAAGATGCTAAAAAGTTCTCAATTCCTGAGGGAGGCTAAAAGAATAAATATTTATGCATAAAGATAAAGGAAGAAAGAAGTAGTAAAAAGCTAGATTTTACTCTAAAATTTCAATTTTCATGCAGTAATTCTCCTGGATGTAAAAGTTTGGAAGAAACAGCGAATAAAAGATTTATTTATTTATTTACTTACCTTATCGATAGCAGTTGGGTAACCAGTCACAACCTTTTGGGCTTCTGAGGCTCCTAGACTTTCATTTCTCCTCAATAGTTTAATATTACATTTGGCAGAGGCTCCAGAAGTCTGTAAGAAAGAGTAAGTTTTTGTGCAAGTAAACTTATAGTTACTATTTTAACAGTATTCTGAATAAATTGAGCAAAGTATTTATGTATTGCATTCTCTCTCTCTAAAGATTTATTCATTTTTATGTGTGAGTGTTTTTACCTGCATGTATGTCAGTGCAGCACCATTTAAGTGAGCTGCCATGTAGGTGCTGGGAATTGAACCCAGGTCCTGTGGAAGAGCAAGCAGTGCTCCTAACTAGTGAGCCAAATCTCCGGCTCCAAGTACTGCCATTAGAAAGAATGGGGAGGGGATTATCTTTATTCTCATTAACCTGTGAATAAGATTTAGATTTCTTTCAATTTTGAATATGAACAACAACCACTGATAAGGACTCTGTGTTTGTGTCCCCCACACCTCAATCAGGAGGTAATCAGCTTCATAAAGTGGCATTTTCACAGCAGGATTAGCAACCGTAAAAGGAGAAAGAAAGAAAACTGCATTCTTTCTAACATGTCAGAATTTAAGACAGGAGCCTCTACCTAGAGGCCAAGAAGAAGCCCTTAGAGGACACAGACCTTACCAGATCCTAACTGTATTTTAGTACTATTGTTTCTCTCAAACTTATGTATTTTACTCTACTATTAAAAACATTATTTTGCTGAAAGTAGTGACATACACCTCTAATCTCAGTACTCTTTTGAAGGTAGAGGTAGAAGGATCATGAGTTCAAGGCTAGCCTTAGCTACCTACTAAGAGGCCAACTTGTGCTACAAGAGACCTTGTCTACAAATCAGCATTTGCTCCCACTGACCTTTGTTCCCAAGCCAAGAGATCCACTCAAAAATGTGTAGTTAAGTGTGATATATATGCCTAAAAGGATACATAATTCCCAAATTCTTTGGTTCTGAAGATGTCTACATGTTTTTTATTGAACAGTGGAGACTTTGTAAAATAAAATATAATGTATGATCTCAGCTCCCTCATTCTAACTCTGTGCAATTTGACTTTTTGTTTTGTTTTGTTTGTTTTTGTTTTTCACGATAGGGTTTCTCTCTGTAGCTTTGGAGCCTGTCCTGGCACTAAATCTGTAGACCAGGCTGGCCTCGAACTCCCAGAGATCCGCCTGCCTCTGCCTCCCGAGTGCTGGGATTAAAGGTGTGCGCCACCTCTGCCCGATCAATTTCACCTTTTAAATGATGCCACCAGTGTACATACACACAGACACTCCTGAGTATTTTATTAATACATGAGAAAAGTTTTAAGTGATCAATAATTTACTTCCATCTTAAAGATGAAGAAGTCGAGGTGTTTTTTTTTAATAATTTAATTATTTTAAGTACATCAGTGTTGCCTACAGGTATGTCTGTATGAGGATGTCAGATACCCTGGAAAGGAGTTATAGATAATTGTGAGCTGCCATATGGGTGCTGGGAATTGAACCCAGGTCCTCTGGAAGAACAGCTAGTGCTCAACTGTTGAGCCATCTCTCCAGCCTCTCGAGGTTGTTAAGAATTGCTTACGACTACCCAACTCTTAAGTGGTGAAATGAGGATGACAGATGTCTATTCTGAACCCTAGACTCCAGCTGTGTGACATCCATCATGTGACTGTGACTATGGCTTTCAGCGCATTCCTTACGGATTATTTAAGAGGCTTCAAAAATCACTTAGATGCTATACAATAACTAATTGTACAAGAACATCCAGATATTAAACATTTTTTAAAAATTACCTGCTTATTAGACAATTTTTGTGTCTGGCACTCAGCTTTAGGACTCTTATATTCTTCCTTAACTGGAGACAAGAAAACAGAAATTTTGAGAAACAAAAGAGCTTACTAAATACCAGTTAAATCATCATGTATTTACCACTGCAAAACAGTGTTTAAAGTATTTCAAGGTGTTTCATTTTCTCCTGTGTCTGTGCCCCCCACCCCTATGCTGTCAAGGCTGGAGCTCAAACCTAGGTGCTGGTCCATAGCAGGCAGTGACCACAGCAACAAATGAGAAGAAGCATAAACTGAAGAAATTTATAACCCAGGCGAGATGGAGAAAGATAATTGCAGATGATTAGATGGGAAAAGAGAGTGGCATCTTAATCAGGCTTGGAAGGGTGGTAGGGTCTCCAAGTGCAAAAGAGGAGGTTTAGAATATAGGAAAAAGGTTCGAGAAAAGACATGAAAGTAGAAAGGGCTGTACCTAATGTGTCCGTTCTGCAGGAGGATAAGGAATAATGTCAAGTCTAACGGAACTAAAGAGGCAGGTGAGTCATAAGCTGGGAGATATTGAAACACATGGAGTTAAGTTGTAAGCAATGGGCAAGCAATCACAGAAAGGTTCTGAGCAATAGTAATCTGGTCAGAATTGTAATTTAGTAAGATTAAATTATAGCAATACATTCTTGGTTAGATAAAAGAAGTGTAAGAGACAAGTAAGAAAGCTCTTAAAAATTTTATTCTGGGGTGGGGGGTGGAGAGATGGCTCAGAGGTTAAGAGCATTGCCTGCTCTTCCAAAGGTCCTGAGTTCAATTCCCAGCAACCACATGGTGGCTCACAACCATCTATAATGGAGTTTGGTGTCCTCTTCTGGCCTGCAGGCATACACACAGACAGAATATTGTATACATAATAAATAAATAAATACATATTAAAAAAAAATCTATTCTCGGGGAACTGGAGAGATGGCTCTTCCAGAGGTCTTGACTTTAGTTTCCAGCAACCACATGGCAGCTCACAACCATCTATAAGATCTGCTGCCCTCTTCTGGTGTGTAGGTATACATGCAGGCAGATCAGAGGGTAACTCTGGGAGCTGTTTCCTTCCACTATGGGTCTCTTGGGATTGAATTCAAGTTGCCAGGCTTGAGCAGAAAGCCTCTTTACCTGTGGAGCCACCTCACTTGCCTGATGAATTTATTTTAACGTATGAGTTACATTTCAACAAAGCTCTTCAAAAAACAAACAACAAAAACAACTGAAAAAAGGCAGATCAACACTTTTCTACCTTAAACTTACGTTTTCGGTGAGGGTCATGTTTTGTTTTTTGCTGGTATTTAACACTGTTGTCATTAAAGCCAGTTTTATGTGGTTGGGCTACTTGACTTATTTCTTGAGGTAGAACAGCACCCTGAAAGTTAAAATTCTCAGAAATCAATTAAACAAAACTTTAATATTATAACTTCAAAACATTTTAAATTTAATTCAATAAAAATTACACAGCTTATTAGAAAAACACAAAGTAAACTATATAGAATTTTTAAAACTACCCCCAAACTACCCTGGAATTAAGATTCATTAATCTAATGGCTACTATACCAGCATTCCTCTATGTGTTAGTTAGAAAGATAAATTCCCAAAGTTCTCTTTTCAACAGAAATAATTCAAACTTTGCTTCAAGTTATGTCTGTGCACTGTGTGTGTGCCTGGTGCTTAAGGAGGTCAGAAGAGGGCATTAGATCCTCTGGAACTGGAGGAACAGATGGTTGTGAGCCACCATGTGGACAAATGGCAACCAAACCAAGGTCCTTTGCAAGAGCAATGAGTGTTCTAAATCTCTAGGCCATCTCTCCAGGCCTCTAGAAACTTCTCTAAATATTTCTCTTGATTTTCTTCCAAACAAATCCACTTTTAATGTTAAGTGGGGATAAGGAGTGAGCTGCTGTAACAGAAGAACAAGGGATGATGGGAGCAAGCTATGGGGACACGTGGATTCACCTGCATTCTCTTGATTCACTAATGTTAAAGATTTTCCATTAAAAAGCTTTAAGATTGCCGGGCGGTGGTGGCGCACGCCTTTAATCCCAGCACTCGGGAGGCAGAGGCAGGCGGATCTCTGTGAGTTCGAGACCAGCCTGGTCTACAAGAGCTAGTTCCAGGACAGGCTCCAAAACCACAGAGAAACCCTGTCTCAAAAAACCCCCCCAAAAAAAAAAAAAAAAAAAAAGCTTTAAGATTGATAATTTTTCTTGTATTTTATGGAAGTTGAGAATATTAACTGATTTATATTCTTTTCTATGTTCCTTCCCCAATAGCTGATTTTAAAATTAATATTTATATTGCCAAATGAAACAAATCTTTGCAACAAGATTGATCACAAAGCCATAGTAATTAAGACACTTTATAACGGCACAATAGCCAAACTACATAACTAAGTTTCACATAAGTATTTTACAAGATCATTTTTCTCTTGTGTGTGTGTGCGCACTTGTGTACTGTTGCGTGTATGTGCTTACACATTGATGTCAGCATTCCTTCTTCAATCATTTCTCCATCTAAGTTTTTGATGAGGTCTCTCAGTAAACCTGGAGTTCACCATTTCAGCTAGACTTGGCTGGCCAGCAAACCCCTAGGATCTGCCTGTCTTTACAACCCAGTGTTTGGCAACAGACATATGACATTACACTTGGCTTTTACTTGAGTACTGGGGATCCAATTTCATGTCCAAGCACTTTACCCATTAAGCCAACTAGCCAATCTTAAGATCCTTTGTTTTTTGAAAGGAAGAGAAAGCCCGAGGGCGAAAAGAAACAACTTGTTAAAGCTGAGATCTGCAAGAAAAGTAAAAGCAGAGGCTGCGGAGCTTTAATAAAAATTACCTTTCTTCATTTTTCTTGGTAAGTTCTATATATTTCAATTCTGGGCACATACAAATTCATTTTGGATACAAAGGACATCATATCCTAGCAGCAACTGAGCTTGTCCCAAAACACTGATATAGGATGGAGTTTGGGGGGAAAACCCAGTGAGTTCACATGTATGGCATGAGAGTCCACCATCAAACAAGATGGCTGGGAGACCTTTGGGGACAGTAGTACTTTCTGAGGGGTTTGGGTCTAAGAAAGGGAATTAGAAATAAATACCAATAGATAGACGTGTTTATCTGGAAAGACAAGTAGTTCTTTGGCACATGCCCAAGCATTGTTAGAAATGAGAGTAGTGTTTCTCTTCTCATTGCAAGCTTTACTTTGAAAGATAATCACGTTCTTTTGAAAGTGTATTAATTTCATGACATGCTTTAGTGAGAACTGCACATGTGTTTCTCTGAAAGGAAAAGCAGTTGTGTCTATTACTGCCAATATGCTAAATGTATTTTGCTTTTATTATCTTAGCATAATAATGCTACCATCATAATAATGTTATAATATATTTTTATTTTGGTTTATTTGGGTTGAAGCCCAAAGTGATAATTGCATTGAAGAATTACTGATATTTGAGCTCAATCTCCAAAATTTAAGTTTAAAGTACTTTAAAAAAGATATAAAATTCTAAATGGAAAGCAAATGCTGTGGCTAGTTCTGTGTCATTCAGTGAAAACCCTTACTATTTGTGTGCACGCACACGTGCTGGAGGTGGTCGTGAGCTGCCTCACATGGGCGCGGGGAACCAAACTTGAGCACTTCGCAATTAGAAGTCCCCACTACCCCTAACTGTGAAACTGTCACTCCGGCATCCTCTTTGGGTTTTCTGTTTGATTCAACAAAAGTATTTGTGTTGGGCACACTGCTATATATTGCTAAGGAATGCCTGAATCAATCAATCTTCCTTCCTTCCTTCCTTCCTTCCTTCCTTCCTTCCTTCCTTCCTTTCTTTTTGAGATATGATTACTCTGTATAGCCTTGGCTGTCCTGGAACTAGCTCTGTAGACCAGCCTGGACTTTATCCCACAGAGATCTGCCTGCCTCTGCCTCCCTAGTGCTAGAATTAAAGGTGTGAGCCACCACTGCTGGGCTTCCTTTTCTTTTCTTCTTCTTTTTTTAATTTTGGTGAGTTCTCTAGAATTTTCTTAAGCTCAGTTTCTTCTTCCTCTTCCCCTTCTTGGTTTTTTTGAGACAGGGTTTCTCTGTGTAGCCCTGGCTGCCCTGGAACTTGTTCTGTAGACCAGGATACTCGCCTAGAACTCAGAGATCTGCCTCCCTCTGCCTCTCAAGTGCTGGGATTAAAAGTGTGCACCCACCATGCCTGACCAAGTTTAGCTTCTAGGTAGCTTACAGTTCTTGGAATATACAGGAGATAGACCAAACATGACTGTGTTCAGCTGAAATAAGTTGTATTTGATAACAGAAATTACATACAGATTATCAAACAATATATCTCATGAATCTCAAGGAAAGAACAGACCTAGAACCAGATCTGGAAAGATTCAGCAGTAAAGGAAGAAAGTATATTCTGAATGGAAAGAACAAAAAGAACACACAGTCCCAAATATAAACCATTTGTGGGAAACGGAAAGTAAAGAGTTTTTCTGAAAATGTTATTTTATCCAATAGTTGGACATATTTTACATTAATTAGTATGGTTCCTGGACTAGAGGTCCCAAAGCTTTCTGGTCTTAGAGAAAAAAAAAAAAGACAGAGAAGAGACTCAGCAATGGTAGGTTTGTCAGAGCAAAGTGCCAGTGGACTCTCAAGACAGAGGGAAGGCCGGCTCAAGAGTCTGTCTGTCCTCGATGGTCTATGAAGCCTGAGTTTTTCTTAGGGTCTTGGCCATGTGTCACAAAGATCTTTCCATACATGTAGTAGGGGACTGTCCTACCACATGTTTAAGAGCACTTCAACGAAGTCACAGACATACTTTCAAAAGCCGATTTCTATGACTGATGTGGGAGATGATGTATGCTGTGAATATGTTTTATTGCCATTGGTTAATAAAGAAGCTGCTTTTGGCCAATAGCTTAACAGAGTAAAGCCAGGCTGAAAGAGATATATAGAGTAGGCAAAGTCATAGAGAAGCCATGTAGCCACCAGAGGAGAAAGACGTGAGCCGTCAGATGGAACCTTGCCAGTAGGTCATGAGCCTCATGGTAAAATATAAAATAATAGAAGTGGGTTAATTTAAGATATAAGATTTAGCCAGAAATATGCTTAAGCTATTGGCCAAGCAGTGTATAATATATATATATATATATATATATATATATATATATATATATATATAGTGTCTGTGTGTTTATTACGGTACTGGGAGGGACAGAAACCTCCGCCGACATAGAACATTATTTTTTTTCTCCATCAGTCCCTACTTAACACCAGGAAGAATCAGATTTGTACGTGCAAGCGGCCGAACAACTCAAGGCCAGTGCTCAACCTCCAGACATTTAGTTTGTCATTGTCTCTTTGAGATACATTACATTATTTTTGGCCAGTTATTTAATAACTCCCTACATCAGTAATAGATTACAAAAGACCTTATGAGTGGGAGCACTCAGGCCAGAACTCAATGGTACTGAACAGGGAGTCCAATGCATTCAAAATTAGAGTAACACACCTTTAGGGCTGGCAAAGATACCAGGAGTGAGATCACCACAGTCCAAACAAGTACATACTGTAACCTGTTTAGGAAACCTGCTTTTGGCCAATGGCTTAACAGATTCTAGAACTTGAGGTTCAGTACTCAGTACAATCTACTGCTACAGGGCATAAAGTGGTTTCCAACCCAGCATATACCTGTCCCAATTATGCCTTGAGACCAGTATAGGTGAAAGGATTTTTCAGAAAGATTAGGAACTATTATATACAAAGAACTCTAAGTGAAAGATGAATTATATGGGAGAACACAGACTAGAGCTTAGGTGAAACCTGGGGAAAAATCTGAAGTCTAACTGTGGGAACTGAGAAGTTCAAGGACTTAGGAAACAGAAAGAAGACAATAACTAAAACTTTCTTTTAGGGGTGGCAGCATACCAAAGTAGCAGCAGAAAGCCGGTGTGGACAGAGTGGGACAGACGGGGACTCAGTCACATCTGTAGGGACAAAAGCTCTTGATTCCAAGTTCTTTAGACTGACAACCTGGGCAATAATGGTGTTAGAGACAGGAGTAAGAGAAGAGGCTTCAGGCAGGGTTAATTTTGGGATATCCTGAGGTTGATGTGACAGTGCAGGATCCAGACTCCTTCTCTACAGACTGGTGATACTGGATGAGATACTTGACCAAGAGGTCAGGACCAGAGATTATAGATTAGATAGGAAAGAGTCAAAGTCATCAGTCAGGTAATAAGGCAAAAGGGGAAAGAAAACTTGTTCACTTCAGTGGAACTGTTTTCTAGTTGAATGTTGGAAAAGCAAGCTCTTAGCCTTCTAAACTGCAGAGAGTAGTTGGGACCACAAGGATAGGCTACTGTGTACAGCTTGCTAACACTTTTAGAGCAAAATCCTTTGAGCACAGTATACTGGCACCTATAATCCCAACACTTGGGAGGTAGAGACAGGGAACAGTAGCTTAAAAATGCCTGTACAAGTCACCTATATATATTACTTCCAATTCTTCCTTTCTCTATTTTAAAAAAGATATTATTACATTTGATTATCTATATATGTATATAAATGTTTGCCACATGTGTAATGCCAGAAGAGGACATCAGCTCCCCCTTAGCATGATCAAAGCAACTCTTTTAAAAAGAGTATTTAATTGGGGGCCTTGCTTACAATTTCAGAGGATTAGCCCATTATCATCATGGCAGGAGCAGTATCTGAGAGCTATAACCCAATCCGTAGGTGGAGAGAGAAAAATAGAGAAACACTGGGCTAGGCGCGGGCTTTTGAAAACCTCAAAGCTCAACCCCAGTGATACACTTCTTCCAACAAGGCCACACACATCTCTTAATCCTTCTAATCCTATCAACAAGTTCTGCTGGCTGGTGACTAAGCATTCAAATACATGAGCCTATGGGAGCCATTCTTAATTCAAACCACCACACTGATAAAAGCAGTATTCTCAGGCTAATGAATTTTTTTTTTTATTTGAGATAATGTTTTAAGAGTAGCCTGGGGTAACCTCAAATTCCCTATGTAATTGATTTTATTGCCTCTTCAGCTTGAGTGATGGGATAATAGGCACATACCACTATGAATGGTGGAGTTCATTCTTTTGCGTATGTTCACATATGCAGATGTTCGCGCGCGCATGTGCACATGAATCTGCGCTGATTCATGTGTGCATTAGGTGTTTTGCCCACCACTTTATTTTTTGAGACAGGGTCTTTTGTTGAGCCTGAGTTCACTGATTCACCTGCCCTGGTTGACCAGCAAAGCCCCAGGGATCCTCCTACATCTGGCTCTGTAGCACTGGGATTAAACACAGTTATTGGTGTGCTACACCTGGCTTTTCCTTGTGGCTGCTGAGGATTGAACTCAGGTCCTCATGATTTCACAGCAAGCACTTTGCCAAATGAGCCAATTTCCCAATGCTTCTCTTCTTGCTTTTATTTCTTGACCCAAGTCTCTACTCTCTAGACACTGTGCCTTTTGTCTCGTTTGGAGGTGCCCGGGTTAAGCTCGTGGGAGACAGGGAAGCTCTGCACCATTGCCTACAGTCTCAGACCTCTTCATAACCTCCGTAAATGTTTCTTCACTACCAGCATAATATTGTATATTCAAGTGGGAAAATGTAAGTAATGAATGCCATTAAGGCCTTAGTTAAATTCAAAATGCAATTATTACAATTTTGTGAACAGATAAAAATTATGCTAAAACTGATTTCAATGAGAACTTATACTCCCACTTACTGCCCCAAATTTATGTATGCCTAAAAGGAAATATGAAAATTCATGATGGAAATTGTCATGAAATTTGGAGAGAAATATATCATTGCAAATGAAAAGAGAAACTCTTCTCTTAAAACTGTCTATCAAGCAAAGAATGCCAACCTTCTCTTGTACCGTCGACTGAAAAGGTTGGATTTTTCCAGATCCTTGTAGAGACTGCCAAATGTTGCAAAATTCATCATCACCTTTTGCAGGTACCTAGTAAATAAACAAAAATTTATATAATATTAAAAACAAAACTGTTTATTAAAATTATAGAATGATAAACAGGATACTTTCACTATTTAAACTTCCCAGTTTCTCTGCTCTGCAGCTGAGAGCAGTAATTGCTAAAGCACTATACTGGAATGTAACTTGTCTTCATAAATATACGGTTCTAAATGGTTTTATTGAAAAGTACTTAAGCCCAAGCCAACTATACCATAAAGATAATACATACAGGTGAACATATAAAGATCATGAGTTTGAAGTCAGCCTCAGCTATGCAACAAGTATGAAGCCAACTTGGGCTTATGTGAGACCTGTCTCAAACATCCCTTCAAAGGATGATATAAAAATATCCCCACCAACAGGTTTATTTCTTGTTTTTTAATGTGCTAACCTATTAACTTACTCAACCTTACACCTAAAGCCTTTATTTAAAAACCTTCACCTTTGCTGGCCTATGGCACATACCTAGAATCCCAGTATTTGGGAGGAGGTGGCAAGAACACAACCTCCAGGCCAAGCTGAGCTACCCAGGGAGAAACTGCTTAAAAACAAACAAATCTCCATCTTACACAGAAACAGCCTAATAACTTTAAAAACTAGATACAATATGCTAATGGCTTCATGCAGATTAAGACTGGAAAAACATACACCAAACTTAACACTGTGCCAGTAGAGATGGCGTCTGCCTTTAGGCCCAGCACTTGGGGGGTAGAAGTGGAGGCAGGCAGAGCTCTCTGACTTCAGCCTGATCTAGTCTATATAACAAGTTCCAGGCCAGCCATAGTTGCAAAGGAGACCCTGTTCAAAGCAAACAAACCCCCAAAGAAGAAAAACTCAATTGTGCTTACTTGTGTAATTGGAGAGAAATTTGCTTGTGTTTATTAACATTTAATTACCTCTTTTTTCAAACTGCTTTATAATAAACATATATCAGTTTTGCCAGGATAAATGATACATGACATTTATGCTAAAAAAATATGACTGAATCTAAGACTTGGAACCATGGAATTAAAACTGTCTCACAGACAATAACCTAGTTTTTATACTCAGAAAGATGAAAAACACAATCATGAAATGCATGGCAGGAATCTGGAACTTGCTTCTTGTTAGGTTTGCACAGGAGGGCCTGAATCTCATGTGGTGGATGATGAGATTGTTAGATTCCCCTGCCTCCAATTCCCAAGTACTAGGATTATAGGTTTGTGTCACTATATCCAAACTTGAAATTTGTTTCTGATGAATATGACACAATAATCTCCCCATTATGGTTCAAATTTATTGTCACTCATAAGAGGTATCATAGGACATTTAGATGACATAAGAAATTTAAGTATTATACTAGTCAGTTTTATGTCAATGAAAAAGACAGTCATTTGGGAAGAGGGACTTCAATTGAGAAAATGCCTGGAGGCAAATCTGCAGTACATTTTCCTGACTGGTGACTGATGTGAGAGGGCCCAGCTTAGCGTGGGCAGTAGCACCCGTGGGCTGGTGGTCCAGGGTGCTATAAGAAAGCAAACTGAGCTGGGCAGTGGTGGCACACGCCTCTAATCCCAGCACTTGGGAGGCTGAAGCAGGCAGATTTCTGTGAGTTCAAGGCTCTACAGAGCAAGCGCCAGGACAGGCTCTAAAACTACACAGAAACCCTGTTTCGAGAAACCAGGAAAAAAAAAAAAAGCAAACTGAGCTGGGCGGTAGTGGCACATTCTAGGACAGCCTGACCTGGTCTACAGAGTAAATTCTAAACTGGGCGATGGTGGCGCACGCCTTTAATCCCAGCACTCGGGAGGCAGAGGCAGGCGGATCTCTGTGAGTTTGAGACCAGCCTGGTCTACAGGAGCTAGTTCCAGGATAGGCTCCAAAGCCACAGAGAAACCCTGTCTCGAAAAACATTTTATTTATTTTATTACATTTTATTAGAAATCCTAACTAAAACAAGTATCGATTACAAAATAAATACATTAAGAGAAAACAAGAACATACTACTAATAGTACCAAGATATTCATTTTGTTTGTCTTTGATACAGGACCTCAGTATGTAGCTGTTCAGGAACAGCACGAGTGGTCAGGACAGCATCCTTCTTTAACCTTCAACGTGCTGAGATTAAAGGTGTGTGTATCTAGTCTGGGGGTAGTGGTACACACCTTTATTCCAGCACTAGGAAGACAGAGGCAGTTGGATTTGGATTTCTGAGTTCAAGGCCAGCCTGTTCTACAGAACTAGCTCCAGGACAGCCAGGGCTACACAGAGAAACTCTGTCTCGGAAAAATAAAACAAAGCAAAAAATAAACAAAAGGTGTGTGGTGTGTGTGTTTTTATATCAGGATCCGTACCAATTTTTTTTTAAAATATTTATTTATTTATTATGTATACAATGTTCTGCCTGTGTGTATGCCTGCAGGCCAGAAGAGGGCACCAGACCTCATTACAGATGGTTGTGAGCCACCATGTGGTTGCTGGGAATTGAACTCAGGACCTTTGGAAGAGCAGGCAATGCTCTTAACCACTGAGCCATCTCTCCAGCCCCCCGTACCAATTTTTTTAAATCAAAAAAGAAAACTCAGTCAAATGAAGCTTCCACTTAGGAGTTCTCTATGATTTCTGATTTGCAGAGAGCAAAGAGGAATCAAGAGTAAGAAACTTACTTGAGTAGGGACAAAAAGTGACTGAGGAGAATGGCTGAGGCCTCCCAAGTGCCCAGATGCAGCCGATGAGTTTGAGCTGCAGTAATTCACAGCAGGCTGTGGCTTCACAATGGCTGTCAACTTCTGATTTCCAGTTTCGGATCGGCTCCCATGAGAAAGGTTCACCAAGGCACTTGTTGGCAGTCGGTAACCCCTACCAGGTGAGCACCTATAATTAAAAGGTTAGTTTAGTGGTAGGTCTGGTTGTACATGCCTATAATACTAGTGATTGACAGGAGAAAGCAGATCAGGGGTTCCAAGTCATCCTCAGATACACAAGTGGTTCAAGGCCACCTGTACTACAGAGTAAGACTTTGCCTCAAAAAATGGGGAAGAGGGGCTGGAGAGATGGCTCAGTGGTTAAGAGCACTGCCTGTTCTTCCAAAGGTCCTGAGTTCTTTTTTTTTTAAACACATTACAATTTTTTTAAAAATCTTTATTTATTTATTTATTATGTATACAATATTCTGTCTATATGCCTGAAGGCCAGAAGAGGGCGCCAGACCTCTGATTTCAATTCCCAGCAACCACATGGTGGCTCACAACCATCTGTAATGAGGTCTGGTGCCCTCTTCTGACCTACAGACATACACACAGACAGAATATTGTATACATAATAAATAAATATTTTTAAAAAATGGGGAAGAAAAGCAAAAGCAAAAAACAAAAAAACTGAAAATGTAATTCAGGGTTGGACCCCTGCACTTGATAAAAGGAGGGAAAAAATCTTTTGTCAACTGTTTCAACTCTGCTACCTAGTACTATTCCTCTTTCAAAATACCATCTTCTTGCCGGGCAGTGGTGGCGCACGCCTTTAATCCCAGCACTTGGGAGGCAGAGGCAGGCGGATCTCCGTGAGTTCGAGGCCAGCCTGGTCTACAAGAGCTAGTTCCTGGACTGGCACCAAAAACAGAGAAACCTTGTCTTGAAAAAAAAACAAAAACAAAAAATACAACAAAATACCATCTTCTTTTACTGAGGGACACTAAGAAAGTAGAGCTCTTTAATGCCTTTCAGGTTGCTACAAAATGTTTTCATGAGAACTGCACTTACTGCTGATTCTACATTATAAAAGCACTAACATGCAGATAATCTTTCACATAGCTCTCTACCAGACGCCCTGAACTAGGACTAGGAGAAAAGACATCTGGAAAACAACAAACCAAGCCGGGCATGGTGGTACATGTCTGGAATCACAGCACCGGAGGCTGAGGCAGGGACAGCAGATGTACAAAATCAGCCCTGGCTCCATTTCAAACTTGAAACTAGTTTGCTAGATGAAACCTTTTGTCAAAGAATTAACAAGAATAAAAAAGAAAACAAAACCCCAAACCTAAAACATACAGGTGTATTCCAACAGTGTACTGTCACATGGCTGTCTGTCAATCCTGCATTTGGAAGGAAGATCTTGAGTTTAAGGCCAACTTTGATCAAGACCTTGTCTCAAAACAAACACACGTAAGAGAATACAAAAAGTCATGTAATATATATATTAGATATATATGCAGCTATTGTGCAAAGGGCAGTTATGACCAAACAGTTAAAGAGAGATCCAAATTCTGTTGCCACATTTGAAGAGAAAAAATTGGAAGGTCTTAGAGGAAGAAGCAGATTCAAGTTTTAAAACAATGAAAGTGTTGATGTGGGAGGTCTTTCTGTATATCTGTTGCTTTATTGGTTGATGAATAATGCTGTTTCGGCCAGTGGTTTAGCAGAGTAAAGCCAGGCAGGAAATCTGAATAGAGATAGAGAGAGTAGGCAGAGTCGAGAAGATGCCACATAGCTGTAGCCACCGAAGAAGAAGAAAGCCAGAACATTTCTGGTAGGCCACAGCCTTATGGCGATACACAGATGAATAGAAATGGGTTAATTTAAGGTGCAAGAGCTAGCTAGGAATAAGCCCGAGTCATCAGCCAAACAGTGTTGTAATTAAAAAAGTTTCTGTTTGATTATTTGGGTCTGTGCATCCAGGAAATGAAAGTGCAGTCTCCGTTTACAAAGTTTTATATTATTATTGAGTGTGCACACGGGCACAAGGACAGAGCACAACGTTATGCAACTGGTTCTTTCCTTCCTTCACCTTTACTTGTATCCTGGGGATAGGACTCATTGTCAGGTTTGTGCAGCAACCACCTATACCTGCTGCATCATCTAGCTGGCCCAATAATGGCATCTTGTAGAAACCACTCAGTAGAGACTTAAGATTTTAATTATTTATTTTTTTTTGTTTTTCAAGACAGGGTTTCTCTGTGGTCTTGGAGCTTATCCTGGAACTAGTTCTTCTAGACCAGGCTGGCCTCTAACTCACAGAGATCTGCCTGCCTCTGCCTCCTAAGTGCTGGGATTAAAGGCGTGCGCCACCACTGCCTGGCTAGACTTTTATATCAGGAGGCTAACAAGAGTAGCTTTAAAATTATAATTACTCACTAACTAAAACAGACACAAAGGAAATGAAGCTCACGCCAGCTTCGCAGTTACATTTTAGAAAGAAAAGCTGGAAAAGGATCCTATTTCTTCCTCCCAATATTCTAGCAATCTTTATTACAAAGTCTCAGTGATAGATGCATCCCTTTGCATTAGAGCTCCCTCAAACGACACCATCCTCCATTTGTTCTGACAGAAAAGCGACTCCACTGTATGGCTTTAAACCTGAAAACTTCCAATGGCTGCTTTTGCCCTTCAGAGTCAAATTTCCTGTCTCCATTACTAGATTGCCATTTACTCCTCAAGCCGCAGATTATATCTGGCTAAGCATCTACAACTCCACTCCATTAGACGATGAAGACTCACATGCCATGAACTCAGCGGGCTCTACTCCTCAGCCATTTAGCTAGAGCATGTTCTCTGTTGCAGGTCCAGCCTGTCCTCCCGAGCACTTTTCACTCTGCTCCTCCCTCGTCACCCAGTCAGCCAATACTCATGAGCTTGTCACATTTTAATTAACTAGACAGTCAGTTGCTGAATCTCCTTTGCTGAAATGAAAACTCCAGAGGCAGACAGAATGTCTTACTGTTATAACACGAGGATCAACTATGTTGTCAAACTGTGGGCAAACCCGCTTCAGAGACACAAAGTCAAAGAGCCTGCAATGCATGTCTACTCACAAAGTACACTTATCATCTGGAATACAAACCTTATTGTTAAGCCTCCAGGAAATTCCTCATCAAATAATACTTCAAACAGCACGTCAGCTTCTCTACTAGCTGTTAAAGAGGAAGAGAGCTGTCAGACTGGTAACCAGACAAGAAGAAGCCAACAGTAAGTTCTTAAGAGGGCCCAGATGCATTTGTTTATTTTAAAAGTTCACAAAAACATTTTAAATATGAACACCACAAATGCCTTAGAAGACTGTCATGTGCTTATTCCCTGAAAGGCAACCACAACTTTTACCTTGGCAATTTAGTTTCCTATATATATATCTTTACACTTTTACTATCTATGGACACATCTGAAATAATGTATAGTAGTGTTTTGAAAGTGCTAAAGCAATACACATACACATGCACACACACATATAAATATAAAAGGCAAAACACTGATGTAACACACTTGTGTTTGTTTTAAAATTATGAAATTCATTCCTGTTTCCCGAATATACCTCAGTATTTCTTGTATACAAGAAATGACTATACCATCGCTTATCTGTTTTCTCTGCTAATGAACATCTAGTTTTTAATTTTTGCTATTATAAAAATGCTATTATGAATATCACATGAATGTGTCCTTTATGTAGTAGGCTAATCCTTCCCTAGAAATGAAATTACTAGGTAGTAGGATATGCATTTAAAATTTTTTGAATTGAAATTGGAATATGATAAATTTTACATATTTAAACTATGTATAATGTAATAAATTTACCATATATAATTAAAGAAGCCACAATAAATGGGACAATTATTCTCAAAGTCTTCTGTGTCATTTTGTAATGCACATTTTATTAATCAGAAAACTATTAAAACGCTGTCATTATAGACTAGTGCATATATCTAAAATTTTATTTAAGTAAGATCATATAGCTTATATTCTTTGTTGTTTGGCTTCTTTTAGCACAATTATTTTGAGAGCCATTCATTTTGAATGTATTGATTTCTTTTTGATTGCTGAGAAGCATCTCCTTACACAGCATCCAGTTTATTCATTCACTTACTGGCAAGCATTTGGATTTTTCTTATTTTTGGTCATCACATAAGGCTTAATGTAAATTCAAGTCTTATTTTCTCCTGGGTTGGTATCTAGGAATGGAATGACTGAGCCAGATAGTGTATATTCAAATTTTAATAACTTATCATAGCTGGTGAAATGATCTGATTATAACCTCCAGGCCCAAATGGTAGAAAGAGAGAATGATTGCCACAAATTATCTTCCGACCCTCCACACACACACTATGACACCAAAGTGAGCATGCACACATCCCCCTTCTCTCTCTCTCTCTCTGACACACACACACACACACACACACTGACATACCTAGAGTAAAGAAAAAGAAACAAAAGAAAAAGAATTTATTGCAACACTTGCAATGCTAGCAGTTGGGAAACTGAGGCAGGAGGATGCTGAGTTTGAGATCAGCCTGTGCTACATATTATGTTCCAGGACAGTCTTGGTTGCATAAGCAAGGCCATGTCACAAATAAATGAAACAAACAAAACTAGACATGGTAGTGTACAAACAAATTCCAGCACTTGGGATGCGAATGGGCCAAAATCATGAGTTTGAGGTTAGCCTAGGCTATGAAGAGACTATGTTGAAAAATAAAAATACCACTCTTCAATTTAAAAAAATATTAAAGGACCTACCAAACTACTTTTCAAAGTGGCTGTATCCACATTCTCACTGACGTGGAGTTCTAGCCACTCCACGGCACTGCTGCCACTTCCTTATTTTCTTCCTTTTTCTCTTCTGAGGTAAAGGCTGCTGTAGCCCAGGTTGTCTTTGAACTCACCCTGGAGCCAGGGATGACCTTGAACTTCTGTTCCTATAGCCTCTGTGTTTACCTGTGGTGCCAGAGACTGAAGCCAGAGCATTACCGCACGCTAGGAATGCAATTTATCAACTGAGCTGCACCACAAGCCCCTTTTCATTTAAGTCAGTCTAGCTGGCTCCCACAAGTTGTCTTCTGACTTCCACATGTTCCCATACACAATATGTACCTGGGCAGTAAGCCACTAAGTTTCTCTACAGCTTCTGCCTCCAGGTTCCTACACGGTTTGCGTTCCTGTCTTGGACTCCCTCAGTGGAGCACAACTTGGGATAAGTAAGCCAAATAAACCCCATCTTCCCCATGTCGCTTTTGATCATGGTGTTCATCAGAGCAATGGAAACCCTGAGACACTCAAGTTCTCATGACTTCTCGGGATGGGTCCTTATACTTATTAGCAAGCACTAACAGACTATCTCCTTATCCCTATTTTCTTATTTTTCAGACAAAGTCTCATCCTGTAGCCTAGACTGGCCTGGAATTTTCTATGTAGCCAAGGTTAGCCTTAGACTTGTAGTAATCCTACTGCTTCAGCTTCCCAAGTGCAGACCACCACCGGCTATGATCTAGTTGTATTCCTAAAGGCAAATTAATATGCAGAATCATCTAAAATTTTTTCACTGTAAACAACATAGTGTTTATTTAGAGAGATTATCAGGCTTATTCAAACCTATAGATTATAATGCAAATAAAGGCAAAACTATGACTAAGATTGGTCAAGTTTCAGAGTGATGAAAATTTCCTTTTAGTTTCATAAAAATGTAAGTATGCCTCTAAGATCTTGTTTTAGTATGATGTACATAAACCAAGTTACCAACAGCTCTTCTCAACGTCCCTCTATTCACCCACTTCTCAGATGACTATGTGAAAGAGAAAAAGAAAATTTTCTCTGGAAAGAAGAACCAAAAAAGTAAAAGCACTTAAAGCATACAAGGATTTAGCTTTTTCTCTGATGGGTTTTATGCTTAGATGCATATGACACACAAAACTATGTGCTACTTCACAACGTGAACGCAAATGAAGTCTCACCTCCTTTAATTCCAATGATGGTGCCCCGGAGGCCGACTGGCACTGAGAAGTTCTCTCTCACGTTCACGACACGATCAAACAGACGGAACTCTGCATCCCGGTCAGGGATGACTCCATGCTGCTGCTCTAAGGGCTGAAAAGAAGACAGCATGTGTTCTAAGGCAGAAAAGGCCTCACCACACTGAAAACCTGCTTTTTGCGGAGGCATGGTCTCATGAGCCCAGTTTGAAAGCAAACGTCTCCTACAGCCTCAGCCATCCCCTAGAAGAACCAGCAGCCTCTGTCTCCTGAGTGTTGGGATGACAGGCAGGCTTGAGACAATGCTTGTTTCCTACACATCTTCAAAGCAACAACAACCACTCTGGACTCCTCTACAGACACTTACTCTGTACAGCAGGTGGGGCTTCACTGTCACACGTACTTTCTTATTACTCTTTCTTTGCTGAAGAAGAAAAAATACAAATAGAAAATTATAAAACCATTCACCAGTTCCACCATTTATGAATTTTACAAAGCCAAATAAAAATATTAATTTTGTGAATACCTAAGGTTTTGCACTTGCAGGAGTGAAATAAGATGAATACAGTCTAAAGTCTAAAATATTGTTATTTTAGGTATTATGTGTGGAGTTGGTTCTCTCCTTTAACTTTATAAAGAGCCCAGAGATCAAATTCGGGTCATTGGGTGGCAAGTGCTTTTATACTATGGGACAATGAATAGTCTTGTACCCTGTAAAGATCTGTCACTTGTATAGGTTTAATAACAGTAGCTAGGCAGGAAGTCTAGGTGGGGTGACCAGAATAGGAGAATTCTGGGAAGAGGAAAGGTTCACTCTGCAGTCATCACCCAGATGCAGAGGAAGCAAGATGAGAATGCCTGATAAAAGGTACAAAGCCACGTGGCTAACACAGACAAAAATTATGGGTTAATTTAAGATGTAAGAGATAGCTAAAAATATGCCTAAGCTATTGACCAAACAATGTTGTAATTAATATAGTTTCTGTGTTATTATTTGGGTCTGGGAAGCCAGGAAACAAATGAAGTCTCCGCTTACAGCTTTTTACCTGTTAAACCATCTTGCTGGCCCTATTTTTGAAGCAGGGTTTCACTATGTAGACCTGGTTGTCCTGGAACCTGCTATGTAAACCAGGCTAATCTTGAACTCATTGATAGCCACTTGCTTCTGCCTCCAAAATGTTAGTATTAAAGGTATACGCCATGGCCCTAAATACTTATGTAAGTTTTAAAGTAGAATATTCAAGTTATATTTAATTGCTTTTATTTTTAAAATTTTTGTGCGCATGTGAGTACGTGTCGTGGCCTAGAAATGGAGGAGGTGTGAGGACAACTTGAAGATGTCAGTATGTCAGTACTCTTTCACCATGTGGGTCCTGGGGCTTAAAACTCAGTTTACTGGACTTAATGACAAGCCCGTCTACCCACTGAGCCAGCTCACTGACCCCAGTTAACTGTTTTGATGTATAAAACAGAAAAATTCAAAGTTAGGAGTATATGTGGATTATTATTTTAGACCACTCAAGTGCAGCAGTGAGTAGGGGATATCAAGTTAACTTCACAGCAGGAGTACGTGAGTGGGTCTAGAAAAAGTCCCCTGCCCAGTGCTGGTGGCAGAGTTCATGTCCTTAGTGGTGCTAGGGGAGCATTCTACCTGGAGCTGTAGCCCAGTCTTGCTGTGAGTACATCTAATGTGTAACTCTGCCCAACCCAAGAAATAAGCTTATTATATAAACCATAAGAAATTTACTTTTGGCAGGGCGGTGGTGGCGCACGCCTTTAATCCCAGCACTTGGGAGGCAGAGGCAGGTAGATCTCTGTGAGTTCGAGACCAGCCTGGTCTATAAGAGCTAGTTTCAGGACAGGCTCCAAAACCACAGAGAAACCCTATCTCAAAAAACCAAAAACAAAACAAAACAAAAAAAAAAAAAGAAAGAAAGAAAGAAAAAAGAAATTTACTTTTGCCATGTGTTGGCGCATGCCTTTAATCCCAGCACTTATGAGGTCGAGGCAGAGGCAGGCAGATTTCTGTGAGTTTGAGGCCAGTCTAGTCTACAAGAGCTAGTTCCAGGACAGCTAGGGTAGTTAAACAGAGAGATCCTATCTCGAAAACAAACAAAGAAACAAACCCCTTACTTTTAATACAGAAGATTTTATATATTATGTATAAAATGTTCTGCCTGCAGGCCAGAAGAGGGCACCAGAGTTCATTATGGATGGTTGAGAGTCACCACATGGGTGCTGGGAACTGAACTCAGAACCTGTGGAAGAGCAGCCAGTGCTCTTAAGCTTTGAGCCATCTCTCCAGCCTGGAAGATTATATTTTGTTTTGAACTTTATATAATACATTTTTTTTTTCAAAAAAGAATTATAAAGAATAGTCAAGGAAAGTTTTTTTTTTGAGATAAGGTAACTGGGTATCCTCAAATTAATGATGATCACCCTGCCTCAGCCTTCTGAGTACTGGGACTACAGGCACCAATCACCATGCTATGCTAAGGAAGATTGATCTATAAAAACACTATCTGGGGCATGTGAGGGCTTGCTCAAGTCTTAACCTTAGACCAAGTGACTCAGAACCAGGTAGTTGCTTTTTTGTTTTTGCTGCAATAGACCGGAATTTATTCTGTTGGTTTAAAAGAAAATATAAACCAAAACAATCAATCAATATTTACACAACCCCCTCCCCTCCCCCCAGACATTGAGAGGAAAGTGGAAGGAAGAAAAGGAATGGATTTCTAGGATAAAATAATTGTTAAATAAAGTCCTTTCTTTCTAACTTTGATAAAAAAGATTTTCACTCCCAAGGTGACAAGACAGACTAAGCAAGTAAAGATGGAAAGCCTGTGCTAGCAGAGCAGGTTAGGCAGGGAGGAGCTGCAGCGAGCCATAGGGAGCTAGCTATAACTGTTTTGCTCCCAGGTTTCTGGCCAGACTTACACTTTGTGGTCACATCTGGCCATGAAGGAGCCTGGGAAATATACACAGGTGAAAACTTGGACTTTGTTACAGAACAAATAAAAAATAGGTTGGTTTGGGATATAAAACAGTGAGGAACCCCATCTGCCCCTGTGGTCCCCAGTCATACACATTCCTATCTCTATGTGTGCAGAACCCTTTACTTCTCATAACCACGTGTTCCCTTTGACAAACTCCTGAACCCAGACCTGACCTGACACTCACACCTCTTGCAGTCAAGTTTACAGGAATCTCTAAAGGTCTAGTTACCTATAATTCTGGACAACTTAAAGCCAAAACTAACTCATTTCATACTGACAGAAAAGAAAGAGATCATTAGACAGTCTTTCTTAATGTATCATATTGTGTATAAGTATATGTAATTTTGCTTTTTTAAAAAATATTTATTTATTTATTATGTGTATAGCATTCCTTCCATGTGTGCCCGCAAGCCAGAAGGGGGCGCCAGGTCTCATTATTGATGGCTGTGAGCCACCATGTGGTTGCTGGGAATTGAACTCAGGACCTCTGGAAGAGCAGTCAGTGCTCTTAACCACTGAGTCATCTCTCCAGCCCTGTAATTTTGCTTTTAAACTTTATTTTAAAATTAATTTAAAATTAATATTTTTTAAATTTAAGAATAAATGCATAAAAACTTTTCTAAGTGATGGAAAAAAAATAAGAACGGCCGGGCGGTGGTGGCGCACGCCTTTAATCCCAGCACTCGGGAGGCAGAGGCAGGTGGATCTCTATGAGTTCGAGGCCAGCCTGGTCTACAAGAGCTAGTTCCAGGACAGGAACCAAAAGCTACGGAGAAACCCTGTCTTGAAAAATCAAAAAAAAAAAAAAAAATAAGAACGGTTCCTGGCCAAGAATAGTTACATGGAAGAGTGTCACTATCTTGCATGGCTTTGAGCTTTAGAGTGTAGTTTCTCACATCACCCATTACAGTCCTGTCAGAACTTCAGAGGAAGCACAGTGCAGCCTCAAGCTTAGGGAATGAGACATTGCTCTAATTCTCTGTATCTCAGAACCAAACAGACCCAGCTTCTTTCTTTTCCTTTCAACAGGGCCTTGCTATTTTAGCCATGGCTGGCCTGGAACTTGCTAAGGATGGGCTGGGTTGTACATTTATGGCGATTTTCCTGTAGCCACCTCCCCAGTGCTGGGACTGCTGGTGTGCACCACCACACTTGGCTTTTCAGAACCAGCACTTAACTAGATTCCATGGTGATTTACTTGTACCTTAAAGTTTAGGAACCACTGCTCATGAGTGAAACCAGAATGTTTAAAAATGTTCTTTCATTATGAGAACTACTGTCTAGTAAGGAAAACTCACACTTTGTATGTGTATGTGGTGTGTGAGGGATCCAATCCAAATCTCAGACCTGTAGGTAAGCACTTAACCACTGAAGCACACCATCGTCTAAAAGCCCTGGCTGTCCTGCCACTCACTCTGTAGACCAGGCTGGCCTTGAACTCACTGAGATCTGCCTGTCTCTGCCTCCCGAATACTGGGATTAAAGGCATGCACTACCACTGCCTAGCTAAGAAGTTTTTATCATTTTCAAAATGTTGTATGTAGTTTTTTCTTCTTTTATTACTCTAATACCACACTAAAACCTAATTACACTCCTTTCACACATAAATATACTTTAAATTCTTGCCTTATTTATATGCTTACATTGTAATAAAAATAATAAACTATAATTTTGTACATACATAAGAGTAAATATTGTTGTGTGTGTGAATATATGAATAATGAATACATGAGAGTGTGTGCCTACAGACACACATGGGGAGGCCAGAGGAGGTCAGATAGCCTCCTCTATCATGTTCTGCTTTAGACTTTGAGACAGGGTATATTCCATAAACCTGAAGCTTGTTCTTACCTTTACAACCCCCAACTAGACTGGCAGCTAGCACACCCCAGAAATCCTGTCTGCCTCCTAACCACTCTGTCCCCCCCAAAACCCCCTAAGAAATGCTGGGGTTTTGGGCATGTGTGGCCATGCCTGGCCTTCTACGTGAGCACAGGGTTTCTGAACTCAGGTCCTCAGCTTTGTACAGCAAGCAGTCCTATCTAGTAAGTCATATTCCTAGCCCTGTTTGTACTTTTGAGACAGTGTCTCACTCTAGCCCTGGCTGGTCTGGAATTCACTGACACAGACAAGCAAGGCTGGCCACAGACTAGTGCAATCTTCCTATTACAGTCTCCCACATTCTGGGATCACAGATGGGAGCACCATAAAATCCTTTGCATCCAAATGAACTCACTGGCCTGAAAAAAGTTTCTAAGTATTTAATTTTATTTTATGTGTGTATATATGTCTGCCTATAGGTATGTAAGTATATCACACGCATACACTGTCTAGCGAAGGCAGAAGGGGAAGTTGGGTATTCTGGAACTGAAGTTATAGATGGTTTTGGGCCACCATGTGGGTGCTGGGAATTGAACCCAGGTCTTCTCTAAGAGCACCAAGTACTTTTAACCATGGAATCACCTCTACAGTCCCTGCTCTGAATAATTAAACTGTTAGGATTGAGGATGTTATCTCAGTGGTAATGTTCTTGCCTAATTCACAGTATTGAAAACAAAACATGGCACAAGCCAATTCTCTTGGCTGTGAGCCTATTAACCTTCCCTCAAATAGAAAAAGTCACACAGTTGTGGTTTCCGTGGCTCTCGCCACAGCATCTGAGAGTTTTCCATAGGAATCCAAGCACTACCACCACCACCGTTCACAGTAGCTGGGGACTGCAAGCACATTTTTTTTTTTTTCTCCCAAGACAGAATTTTTCTGTGTAGCCTTGGCTACCCTTGAACTCACTCTGATTCTCCTACCTTTGCTTCTGGAGTGGTGAAATTATGGCCATGTACAACCATACTTGGTTTGATGTGGTGCTGGGATAAGATCAGGGCTTTATGTATTCTAGGAAAGCTCTCTATCAACTGAGACACATCCCAGTTCTGAAGAGAACACATTTTATTCTAGCTGGTCTTACTGATGATCATAATTTATGAGGTAGGCATTATTCTATTACTGATTTATCAATAATGAAATGGAGGAATAAAAAATTAAAATACTGGAAAAGAATCTTAAGTTCATGGTGGTAGGAATGGCTCTTGGGACCAAGCCTTAACTGATTTTGGTATTAATTCAAAAAGAAAACCGTATTATCATGGCATCATTAATAAAAAGAGAAATTAAAGTTTAAAAAAATCAATATAACGAATCCACTGCTATTTATTTAAAAATAGGTTAAGTCAACTATATGCTTGTTGCTGAAACAGCAGAACAGAAAAATAAGAGACTAGTGTGGTTCTCTCCTTCCAACATGTGCACCCAGGGACTGAATTCATGTCATCAGGCACCTTTATCCACTGAGCCAACTCACCAGCTCTGAATTGTCATTAAAGAATGCAATTACAATTTTAAGTAAGAGGAAATCATTATTATTTTTTATCCACAAACTTTCTATTGTAACTAGAGTTACAAACTTAGAAACATTACAAAGAAGCAAATTTAAAATTTATAGTTTTGGCAAATATATTTACATATATTATACATAAATAAGTATATTTACATATATTTAACTTCCGAATGGTTGCTGGGAACGCTACAGAATTATTCAGTATTAATGAGAATTATTAAGTACATACATTAGTTGGCCCGAAACACAGCTAAGTGATAACATGTTGTCCATTTTAACTTCAGCTCTTATCAGTAACTAAGGTTACTGAAAGTTAGTACCTTGTACTTCTCAACTTCTTCCTCAATTTTTTCAACAATGGCTGCATCCAGAATGTGTAAATCACAAGAAGAGCGGGACAGAGTGCTGACAGGATGTCCTTTTAGCCAAGTGATAATTTCCTGAACCTTCTCAGCGCTACAATAAAAACAGTAGTCATTAGACCTGATTACAGCCTTCTGAGGGTTTATATTAAAGATCTGATAAAAACTTTCTGGGAACTATAAATTATCAGATTTAAGAAATTAAAGCAAAATTAAAACAATAAAAAACAAAAGGTAACATTGCTGAACTTCCAAATGGAAACCTAGAATTGAACTGCAGGGCAATAAGTACCACAAATCTTGCTTACCCATTCTCATTTTCCCCAGGCCAGATGTCATCCTCATAGAACACATCCTCTTGGCTGTTTTTGGCTATATAACTAAACAGTTCTGGTGCTCTAGTCAACAAAGAAATAAAATGTTGCTTTAAAATATGCAATTATCTTCACATAGCTTCCTAATAAGTGATTCTGGATTCTAATGGGGACATGTAGAATAGAGTGAGGATTATTATAGTATTATTAAGGAGCAGTATTCATAAGGAATGGGACGAAAGTTTTGATAGAGTATTCCTATAGCTCCAAGAAAATGTTCAACAGCTGAGAGAAATACGTCAATTACTTAAAAAAATCCAATTATGACTTGGATTCTTTTTTGATTAAAATATGAGGGAGTAAGAAAAGAATGGAAAGGGAGTGGGGAAAAATGTATAGCTCAATTAAAAACAATAAAAAAATAAAATTAAAAAACATGAGGGAGTAGATACACAAAAATAGTATTTGTGAGTTCATTTTTTTTTTTCCTTTTTTGAGACAGGGTTCCTATGCAACCCAGGTTAACCTCAAACTTATAATCCTCCTGTGCCAGCTTCCTCAGTGCTGGGACAATAACTATCCTACAATAATATCTAGGTTTTAAAAGTTAATTTTCTATTTTTATAACAAAGCTAGAACATTTCATAAAATAGCAAATTAAAACAGTTTACAAATTTCTTCTGATATTCTTCAAAATTATTTCTTTTGGAATCATGTACATCATCTTTGTTCCTTCCCCATATGAAGAACAATGAAGCAGGAAACTGGACATAGACAAAAAAAGAAATGAAGAGGTATGGGTGCGATGCCCTGTGAAGGGGAACAAACTTTCAGACATCAGACACTGGACGGAGGAGGTTCAGCTGAACTGATGGACAGGAATAAGCAGAATAAACAAACAGGGCAAGCCACCAGATGACAGAGTAGCTGCCAATCACAGAAAGGTCACAGCACTTCTGGTCTAGCATTTCACGAGCTGTATGAAAAGCGAGTTTCTTGCTCACAGTCAGTTTCTCACTTGTGAATTGCTTTTTAGCTACGCACAAATAAACTTACACAAATGAAAAAAATAGGTAAACAGGCTGAGCGGTGGTGGCGCACGCCTTTAATCCCAGCACTCGGGAGGCAGAGGCAGGCGGATCTCTGTGAGTTCGAGGCCAGCCTGGTCTACAAGAGCTAGTTCCAGGACAGGAACCAAAAAGCTTTGGAGAAACCCTGTCTCGAAAAATACAAAAAAAAAAAAAAAAAAAAGTAAACAAAAAGTCCAAGTTTTTTTTTTTTCCAATCTGTAAACACTTAGGAATTATGGGCTTTAGGCCTATTAAAACAGTATTTACACTGAAAATGTGTATAGCAAGCTGTAGTAATATCTCATTTGTATTTAAAAAATAAAGCTTGCCTGAAGTTCAGAGAGTAAAAGAGTCCCACTGGTCAGCCTTACAGACCAGGTAGTGGTTGACACACACCTTTAATCCCAGTAGCCACACTAGTTTGTCATAGAAACTGGGTGGTAGTGGTGCAGGCCTTTAATCTCAGCACTAGAGAGGAAAATAAGATGGGAGGAGATAGCTCTCAGACACAGTCTCATTCTGAGATTCCTGGAGGTAGGATTGCCATTTCAAACTGAGGTTGAGGTAAGAGCCAGTAGCTGGCTGTTTTGCTTTTTGGATCTTCAGGTTGAACCCCAGTACCTGTCTCTGGGTTTGTATTAATCGTGCTGCAGCAAGCAGTTGGAATAGTTGTTTACTTGGCTTCTACCCCTGCATTAATACCTGCAGCTGTATTTTAGATGGGTCAGCCAAGAAATACTCTGGCTTTGGTTATATCAGAGACAGAGAGCTTTAGGGGGTAGGGATGGTGCAAGGGGCAAAGGTGAGGTGCTGTGCTATATGTGGAGTTCATGCACGGGTAGATACTACAGAGCATGTCAGGAGCATCACATGTCTAGGGAGCAAACTCTGAGAGGAGACAGACATGAAGTTTAGTGGGGAGACTCGTGAAATCAACACGTGTGGGAAGGGAAAAGAAAACAAGCAGAACTAGACAATGGAAACAGATGTTGAGCTGTAAATTTTTCTCAGTGAATTTTCTGGCCAGTCCCACAAAGACCTCAAACTGGGTAGCCCTTCATATTTGTCCTGAATTGGCTGCCTTTCCTTGTGTATCTCCCTACGTTGTGGAAAGGGAACATGACCCTAGGTGAGGTAGTTTTCTCTATCCACAAGATTCTGGAAGAGAGCTTGAAGGTGGAGGGCTGTTAGCAGCATCACTACTACCAGGGAAAAAGATCCTTCAATTTAAGAAAGATCTGGGGTGGGTGGGAAGTAATCATAGAATCCACGAGGCAACAAAACCCATTTTACCTGGTTAATTTCCAGAATACTAGCAGTCAGTTTTGTTCCTTACATCCATCATGCAAGGAAAAGGCTAGAAGATACCTCTCTAGGAAAAATTAGCCAGTTAGAGAGAAGATATACAGACAGAATAATGATATTAGAAGGTCAGTTTTAGAAATAGTAACATCCCATGTGACAAGCCCGACCCAAGTGCACTAAATCCCCAAGATGCTTTTTGGTACATCCATGTTTAAAACAGACACCAAGGAGCGCTAGAAAGTGGAGGGAAAAAAAAATCTCTACCATAAAAGGTGAAATAAATCAAATAGGGGAGAAAAAATAATTTGGAGAAAATGAAATCAAAAGAAGACATTCAGGTGGCTCACAACTGTCTGGAACTCCAGCTCCAGGGGATCTGATGCTTTCCTCTCGCCTCTGCAGGTTTCCACAAACATATGGGACACACTATGTATGTCACATTAATTACAAGACACATTAATTACAAGAAAAAGACATTCTAGTTAATACACACACACACAAAATGAATGTTGATGCATGCCTAAAATACTAGCTCTTAGTAGGCCAGTCTGTACTTTAAGATTAGCCTATAGGGGGAGGGGGAGCCATACTGGGAAATCTTGTCCTTAAAAACAAAACCAAAAAACCAAAACCAATCAACCAACCAGCCAACAAAAACATTATAAAATTGAAGACGAATACTGGGGTTGGACAATACAGAAAAGGGATGGGAAGAAGAGAACAAAGACAAAAGGATCAATCTAGGAAAGAACTGAAAAAAAAGGTTGATTTTATCAATTATTAAATATCATAATGCAATCTCCTAGAATGTTATCTAGATTATCAGATAACATTATGTTAATGGGCTATCAGTTCTGGGGGCTAACCAAGAGAAGAGATGGGGAAAAAATCTGTACCAAGGTACATATCATCACAGCCAACAGAATTGACAGGGTCCAGAAAATGAAAATAGGTCACCAAGGGGATGGAGAGATGGTTTACAGGTCAAGAGCACTGGTTGTTCTTACAGAGGACCAGGTTTCAGTTCCCAGCACCCAAATGGCAACTCACAGCCATCTATAACTCTAGTTCCAGGGATCTGAGGCCCTCTTCTGACCCTCTAGGGGCTCTAGGCACACAATAGAGCACAGGCATACATGCAGACAAAACATTCATACACACAAAACAACCTAAAACAATAGTTTCTTTAGAAAAAGCAAATAGATCACATCACAATGCAAAGAATTGAATCAGAGCTCACAGGATTTGTCAGTGACAAAAAAGGAGACAAGAAAAGAATGGAACAGTGCTTTCAAATCCAGGGTGAAAAGAATCTCCCGTTTAGGACTCTCTACCTAGACAAGCTATAATTAAGGTAGGAAAAAGAAAAAAAGTATTTCCAGACACAAAGTCCCCCACCCCTACCCCAAGAGGCTACTAGGGCTAAATGTACCATCATTATGGGGATATACAGATTAAGAAATGGGAGCCAGAAAATGAAAGACTTTGTATGGGGCCATAGAGGCAGTGTCTCTGGACTGAAGGCTGGCGATAAGCTAAGAATCACATGTAGACAGAAGTTTAAAGGTTCTTGAAAAAATGAAGGGAGGGGGGGGATAAATACTGTGAGATAATGCTCTTGTACACTGTAAAGATTTGTCACTCATATTGGTTTAATAAAAGGCTGATTTAGCCAGTAGTCAGACAGGCAAGTATAGGCAGGGCAACCAGACTAGGAGAATTCTGGGAAGAGGAAAGACAGAGTCAGTCTTAATAAGTAATATTAATAATTAGTAATAAGTCTGAGCAACAGGCCAAACAGTTTATAATTAACAGAAGCCTCTGTGTGTTTATTTGGGACTGAATGGCTGTGGGACTGGGTGGGATAGAAACTTCTGTGTACAATCACCAGCTTAAGCTGACGTAGAGACCAAAGGCTTTAGAACACAGATGGAACTGAGAGAACCCCTAATCTGTTCGACATAATTTTTGGCTTAGTTAACACATATGTGTACAGACAATACCAAATGAAAAAAAAACAATGAAAATAAAAATGTGGACAGGGAAGAAAATGTGATCATAATACATGACATGGTCTAGCTTTACATATTCAGCAGAATCATGGAAACCAAATTATAATAAAAACTGTAAGAAATATTTTCATGTCTATAGGGAACTGAGAGACGGAAGAAGAGCTGGAACTCAGAGATCCCTTTTACATCTGGAAATCAATGAATATATGACAACTAGAAAAATAGAACTTTATTTTTTGTTGTTCTTCAGACCAAACCCAGAGAAAAGTTTGAAAGCCGGCTGGTGGTGGCGCATGCCTTTAATCCCAGCACTCAGGAGGCTGAAGCAGGCGGATCTCTGTGGGTTTGAGGCCAGCCTGGTCTACAAAAGCTAGTTCCAGGGTAGGCTCCAAAGCTACAGAGAAACCCTGTCTCAAAAAACCAAACCAAACCAAACAATAAGAAAAAAGAAAAAGAAGTCTGAATGTAACCTTTTAAGAAAACAGAAATAAATACAAAAGCAAGCTCAATTTTCATATGGCCATATGGAACTGAACTGTTCCCCTGTCGCCTATTGCCGGGCGGTGGTGGTGCACTCCTTTAATCCCAGCACTTGGGAGGCAGAGGCAGGCGGATCTCTGTGAGTTCGAGGCCAGCCTGGTCTACAAGAGCTAGTTCCAGGACAGGAACCAAAAGCTACTGAGAAACCCTGTCTCGAAAAATCCAAAAAAAAAAAAAAAAAAAAAAAAAAAAAAAGCTACAGAATCTTGAGCCGGGGGACAGCTCAGATCTGCTTCCTGACGATGTAAGCTTGACAACCTCAGTTAAATTCTTGCACCCATGTCAAGGTAGGAGAGAACTCCTGTGACAAGCTTGTCTTTAGACTGTCCCATCTACATAGTGAGACACACACCTCGCCAAGTATGTTTATGTGCACTCTCTTGTGGATGCACACACACACAATAGTGAATTTAAAATAATATTTTAGAGTAGCTAAAGAAGATGACTTTATTTGGATGTGGAGTTCTAATAGACAACTATTAGAGAGGGCTCTAATCCAGCATGACTTTTTACACTGTAAAAATGAGAAATGAAGAGACACAGGTGAAAATTTAGGTGAAGACACATGGGGAGAGACTGTCACTTGAAGATAGAGGATTGGAACGATCAGTCTACAAGCCAAGTAACACATAAAGGTACAAGACTGTAAGAGCTAGGGGACTACAATCCTGTTGACACCTTGACTCTGGCTACTAAAACGGTGAGATATTAAGTTCACCTTGGTGAAACCAGCTAGTTTGTGGTACTTTATTATGAGAACCCTTGGAAACCAACCCAGGGATCCTCAAAGACAAGGAGGACAGACCTCTGTGCAATAGCAGAAAGAACATTAAATCGTAATTCAGGAGCAAAATATTAACTATAACTCTCAGTAACTCAGTTAACAGTAAAAATGGTAACACATTCCCTATGGGATTATTAATGCAAATATGTTGTACACATTTTAATTTTTCAGACAGAGTCTCCCATAGCCCAGGCTGGCCTTTAAATGCATTACATAGGTAAGCATGGTCTCCCTTTCAGAAGGGCATGAGCCAGGCATGATAAGCAGTGCAGGCCTGAGTGAGAGGCGGGCAGAAGCTCGCTGGGCGCTCACCTTTCCATGTACTCTGCCAGAAGCTGCTCTGCGGCCGATGAGTACATCCACTCACTCCCAACTTTCTTTGTATAGCCAGGGACTTCCTCGTTTTTCTTGTTGAATTTGAGATTTAAACCCACATTTGCTTTATGGTCTCCATGAGGGCTAAATTTAAACCACATATACACACAAGTGTCTTAAAATTTGTTCAAAATTAAAAGTTCTAGCTTTTAAACAGTACTAGAGATTAAATCCAAAGACCTGCGCATGCCAGAGAAGTGGTATGCCATTTAGCTATCACCAACCCAACAATTATTTTCAACCTTTAGAAAAGCTCAGTTAGTTCTCACTGTTCTGCATCTTAGTTAGCATGGTTACTACTAATTAGTAGTACATAAAATGCTACAGGGCAGGTTTTAAGAAAGCATATAAATAAATTATGCAATTATAAAAATGGAAGATAACAAAATTCACAGAAATATATTCCCAAGGCTCACACACACCCTCTGATACCTTTTTTCAAGGTTAGCTGCTAAAAATATAAACTGACTTTGAAAGCATCTAAAACATATGCTGTTCATGTAAAGGACCACCGCTGGAGGAGTTTATGGGCAACTCAGTCCACAGGCATTAATTGGAGAAAATCAATACCGGGATAATAAGCACTTAGTCTCTATATTTTTCTGCTACTTTAAGCAAATATCCCTAACACAAACTTACTTTCTCCTAGATCCTCTTCCAATAAAAATACTTCCTGTAAACCTTGAAACAAGGTATCCACTCACTCCAAGGCGACCGGCCAACACATATCCTGGGTTGTACTTTATAGAGTATTTCTTTAAATATAAAAATAGAGAGGTCAATTATGGAAACACATGTTTACATTAAGTACTGTCTGGTTACCTTTGAGAGCTGTAGATAATTAAGACACCACTGGCAACATAAAAACACGTGATCCCTTGGACCCCCACCCTGAAGAACCTGAAAGCCCCCTTCTTTCTCTTTACAGCAGTCTTTATAAGGATGAAAGAGCAGGAAACAGTCTGTAAATCTGTCTCAATAAATAAATTTTGTAAGCACTAAACAAAAAATTCTTCATAAACTATTTTTTAAAACTAACTTTTTTATTTTAAACAGGGATAGCTAGCAAGTACATGGAATAAAAGAAGGCTTCAAAAATTACTATACTGAAATTAAGCATAAGTTCATCATAAAAACAGTTGCAAGTAGGTAAGTAAAAAATGGTGTTCATATATGAATGTAAGCAATTTTTTCCACTAATACTATTATATGAAAGTCACAGTCAAATAAATGGAAACTTAATTTGTATAGTTAATTAATATGAAATTAAGAAAAAGGGAAAACTGTGATCAGAATATATTGTATGAGAAAATCCATTTCAATTAAAAATATAAAATATATCAAGCAATAGGACAAAAGAAAAAAAGACACACACAAAAAAGAAGTATCATTATCAGTTGGCGTAATTTTTAACTAGGTAGAAAACAATTTACAAATCCAGTACCAACTAGCACTAACAATCATATCCACTCCTTATATGATACATACAGAAAGACGTTACTTTTTTGTTTATAGTCTAATACTTTGTAAGTTACATGGAATATATGAGAGACAGATCATTTCATGTAGCTCAGGTTGGTCTTGAACTTGCTATGTGCTTGAGGATAATCTTGGACTTCTGATCCTCTTGTCTCCACCTCCTAAGAGCTGGGATTATAGACTTGGGCCACTAAGCTGGCCTATGCAGTGAGGGACTGAACCCAGGGGGCCACATGTAAGCAAAGCAGGTACTTGACCAGTGAGCTACATCCTCAGCCCCACTAGTGTATAGTCTTACTTTATGCTCATAGATGAATATGGGAGTATTTTCACCAACATAAAATCAGCCACCATTATTTCATTGAGTATATGTATCCATAATGATGTCCAAATAGGTAACTGGTTTTGGTGGGCTGGAAAAACAAATTACTATATAAAATATATGAATATGCTGGTAGAAAAATGTGGTGGTACAGATCTATAACCCTAATACTTAGAAGACAATGGCAGGACAATCAGGAGTCCAAGGTTATCCTTGGCTACTCAGTGAGTTAAAGGCCAGCCTGTGCTACATAAAATATTGTCTCTTCTCTCACATAGACATACAAAATGTGGTTGTTCAACAAGAGTATCATCAGATTAGAAATAATAAAATACAAAACAAGTATGCTTTGCAAAACACATCAAATAATTAAGGTGGTATTTCTTAATTATAACAAGTATCACTTTATTAATAAGCATTTTGAATGTGTAGAGGCACATTCAGTTATGATAACTGGCATAGGTTACTAGCATTTAGAGCTTAGAGGCAAAATGTCCTATTTACATAGCTGCCATAGATAAAAGGGTCCTATTCCAAGTACTAAGGGTGCTCCATTTGAGAATTCTAAGCTGCGCTGTAATTAAAAGTTAACTAAAATCAACAGTACCCTAGGAAACATAAAAAGCCTAGCTAAAATACCGCATAAAGAAAGTGAGGGTAATGGAGTAGCTTATATTCTCTTTTATACAGGGCTCCAGCTTCTTCATCTAATGGGACACTGATGCCTTCTGACCATGTCGTCTATAGCAGAGAGCTGATGGCAAGACTTTTAGGGACACCTCTGCCTTCATCACCATGTTCCCTCATGGGTATGCTGATTCTTAATACTTTAAGCCAGATCACAACAATACAAAATAAACACCAATTAATAATGTAATTAATTACATTAATTAATAACGTAATTTCTTTTGCTAATTTTTTTGCTAAACTTACAAACATGTATATCCTGTTTCAATGCTAGGGATTAAACCTGGGTACTTAACATGCTATGCTAGGTTGACATGAATTTTGGGGAACAGATTTATACTTTCCTTTATATTTTCAGTGTGTGTGTGTTTATGAGTGGGCATGCACATCACAAAGCATGTGAGGAGGAGAACCTCAGATGCCATCTCCTTGAGTTTTGTCTTTTGTTTCACTAAGCCTGGCATTCATCAACTAGGCTCAGGTGGCTGGCAAGCTAGACCCAGAGGCCTGTCTTCCAGCACTGGCATGTATAGCATGTGCTGTTGGCCCAATTTTTAAAAATTATTTATTTTTATTTTATGTGCATTAGTGTTTTGCCTGAATGTATATTTTTCTGAGGGTGTCGGGTCTTCTAGAACTGGAGCTACAGACAGTTGTGAGCTGCTGTGTGGGTGCTCCAAGTTCTCTGGATAAGGAGTCAATGCTCTTAACCACTGAACCATCTCTCCAGCAGCTCCCCTCCACCCCCCGCCCCACCAAGCCCAGTTTTCATTCATGGGTATTGCAGATATGAACTAGGGTCCTCATGCTTTATTAAAAATACTTTACTGGCTGAACTATCTCTCTAGCCTCTTATACTTATTCTTAAATACTGAGCTTAATTTTAAGTTGGCAGAAAAAACATCCCAGCACTAAAAAAATCTTATTCTAAACAATACCAACTATTGTACTTACATGCTGGTTCTGTATTAAAGCATCAAGGTTTGGCTCACATGGAATGCTGAAAACCACACGAATCCTACCTTCTGTAATCACGTCACCTGATTCCTGAACCTGGGGGAAGAGTAACCACACCATTTTAATCTTTAATTACATTCATTTATTTTTCTCCTTATTTGAATGATTCTCTTCTAAAAAATATTTTTGTCATAAAATTAGACAGTGAAAATTTTCTTATTATTTATAATAGGATTTTAAAATATTATAAGAGTGAGTCATTTTATATTTGTTTTAATAGGTGCTAATCACATATAAAAATGAACTTAACTTGGCCGGGCAGTGGTGATGCTTGCCTTTAATCCCAGCACTCAGGAGGCAGAGGCAGGTGGATCTCTGTGAGTTCGAGGCCAACCTGGTCTACAAGAGCTAGTTCTAGGACAGGTTCCAAAGCTACAGAGAAACCCTGTCTCGAAAAACCAAAAAAAAAAAAAGGAAAAAGAAGTTAACTTGTAGATAATTTCAAATTATTACCAAAATGTTGCAAATAATGTCTGAAAGCATTGACCTAGATTCACTCATTGCTAATACTATAAAGAATGACTCTAACATTTGCATATTATGTGCACATACACATGCATATAACAACAGCAATAACTACTACTACTATCTAGTATTTTGAAACAGGGCTTCAGGACAGTATGTTAGCTTTGAAGTCATTGTGATGTCTAGATTGGCCTCAAACTTGGTGACCCCTACTTTAGCTTCTTGAGTCCTGGGATTATAAGCATACACCACAATACCCAGGTCCTTTCAATGCTTTGGGGATACCTTACAGACATTGTGCCCTTTACCTCTAAGTATTTTAGTGTATATTATAGGAAGGATATTTTACTATAAAACAGCAGTATTATTATTGGGCATATAAGTTTACATTGGTATTTTAGTCTCAGCTATTCTCTATATTCCAATTTTATCAATGGACCCAGTAATGCCCTATGCAGAATTCTTTCTTCCCTCTCCAAAGTAGCATAAGATATTGAACTTAGCTGTCTGTCTGCTTGTTATTGAGGCAGGCAATGTTATGTAGCCCAGGCAGGCTTTAAACTCATCCTCCTGCCCCGGCTTCCCAAATGCCAAGATTGTAGACACTCACACGCCCACTCTTTGTTCTTCTTTAGAAACGGGGTTTTATTAAGCTATGTTCCCAGCCTCTAGCTGCACATGTAAAATCCTTTAATCTAGACTATATCCAGATCGTTTTTTTGGTGTGTGTTTTAAAAAGAATGCTATTTCTTCCTCACTGTTCACACTGCCTTTCCCTCTATGTAACACTGGGGACTGAACGTAGTGTGTTAAGCAAGCACTCTATCACTGAGCTGCAGCACTGTTCCCTTCAAGTTCCTTGCTTTGTTTTTTGTAGTAAAGTTATGTGCTGTGGAATATAGTTTAAGATGCATTACATTTCTTTATGCTGTGGACTATCTGTTTAATGATGCAAAGATGTGTTGCATTCTTTTATGTTGCATTTGTTTAACTCTGCAAAGCTGTGTTACTTTGCCTGCCTAAAACACCTGACTGGAGCAATAAAGAACTGAATGGCCAATAGCCAGGCAGTAGAGAGGGATAGGTGGGGCTGCCAGGCAGAGAGAATAAATAGAAGAGAAGAGAGAAAAGGGAGAATCAAGAAAAGGAGGAGAGGAGGACGCCAGGGGCCAGCCGGCCAGCCAATCATGGAGTAAGAAGAAAGACATATAGAATAAAGAAAGGTAAAAGCACAGAGACAAATGTAGCTTAAAGAGAAATGGGATAATTTAAGAAAAGCTGGCTAGAAACGAGCAAGCTAAGGTTTGGCATTCACAAGTAAGAATAAGTCTCTGTGTATTTATTTGGGAGCTGTGTGGCCTCCAAAGGAGTTAAAAAAAAAAAACCTACTACAGTTATACCTTATCGGCCAGGATATCCTCTACATGACATGTCCATGTTAGGACATCATATTTGATGTACAGAGCATCAGTCAATTCCTAACTGTTACTATCACACAGTCACTACGGTGTTCAACTTCTCCACTGTACAATTACAGTTTTTGTTTTCCTTGTAATTATTCAACAGTCTGTGAAAAGACAGTCTGAAGACCATGAAAAACCTGCCCCAGTTTGACTCATTATTCCCTGACTCGATTAATTTTTCATTTGCAAAACCTGTGCATGCTAGGCAGGTGCTTCACTACTGACCTATGTCCACAATAGAAGCTTTTCTAGTTTTATCTTTTTATTATTAGCATGCAATGATGAATTCTTGATTCCCCTCAGCACCTTCTAATTTGTTACTGTACTTAATTATACTGCTTCTCAAACCATTACTGTCTGCGTAGGAGCCTTTCACCTTGTTCTGGGCTTCCTGGCATGGGTCTTTCAGTTCTTTGGAGCACTTTTTACTTTTTGGCATTTGATATATTAAGCTTGTTTTGTATCTTACCTGCTCCAGACCTAGAATCAGACACTTTAGTGAGAAGAACTAAAGGTTTTTAGTGAGGTGTTATGGTCTTAGAGGTCATGATCTAAGTATTACATATGTTCACCACTACCAGAGTCTCTGTGTCTTATTCTTTTGAAAAATAGTCAGAAAAATATGTATGTATATACACATGCACACATGCCATATACACATATGCTTCAGAATTCCCAACAGTATTGCCAATCCATGCCCCACAGACTCTTATATTTTCTTATTCTATATCTGTATGTACTTTTTCCTGTGTGAGAAGTAAAATTATTAAACATATCAATACATTTAAAAATACATTAACCCTGTATGTAAAATCTTCTTAAAATTATTTTGATTGTTTCAGATATAACCTAATAAATAAGTATATTAAAAACACAAACAAAGGTGTCGTACACCTTTAATCTCAGCATGAAGCAGAGGCAGGTGAATCTCTGAGTTTGAGGCCAGCCTGCTCTTCAGAGTGAGTTTCAGGACAATCAGGGTCACACAGAGAAACCCTCTAACCCCTCCAACCCCCCAAAAACCCATCAGATTGTGAATTCCTTTTTCCCACCTTCTGATCATCTGTCTGATAGCACAATACTGTGTCCTTAAGTTACACGAGTGAATTCTTTCTCATGTTTCCCCTTTAGCATTACATTTTATTTTGTACTTAAGATTAATGATTATATTAATAAAAAGTCAATGAATGACAAAATTGAAACTAACTTCTCCAGTGCAGCCATAATAAGGAGTTCCCAGCATAAAGACCATACTTCTTGGAGGAAACAAATCATCCAATGTTTTGATACTGGAGAAACGAGAGTCAAAAGCTCGGATGTCCTAAACAAAATGAAACAGAAAAGTTAATCATCACAGCTAGTATTTCTAAAGTCTGCATATCATCTTTTTTCTGCATGGGATTAAATCTGTTTCGTCTGCAAATGTCAAATATGAAAATTTTCTATACACTAATTGATGGAGGAGGGTCATCTATGTGTTACTCTCATTGGTTAATAAAGAAACTGCCTAGGCTCTTTGATAGGGCAGGATTTAGATAGGTGGAGTAGACAGAACAGAATGCTGGGAGAAAGAAAGCATAGTTGGTCAGATGCCATCGAGCCAGCCGCTAGGTCAGACATGCTGAATCTTTCCCCGGTAAGCCACCACCTCGTGGTGCTACACAGATTATTAGAAATGGATTAAGCAAGATGTGAGAATTAGCCAATAAGAGGCTGAAACTAATGGGCCAGGCAGTGTTTAATAGAATATAATTTGTGTATTGTTATTTCGGGTGTTAAGCTAGCTGTGCGGGAGTCAGGCAGGACAAAAAGCAGGCCTGCTCACCTCATCACTACAACTAATACCAAAGTCTAAAACATACTGCCCTGTCGCATCATTCTCTTGCCTAGAAACCTCATCCATTTTTCTCCTTCATTTACTTGTTACCCCACCATTGGTGGCTGACATTTACTATTAACCTCATCTTATGAAGACTGGCACAAGGCCACATAGTAAAGAAGTCACCTCGGGCAATTCGTGCTCTAAATTACTATACTATAGTTTATTTCCCAGATCGCTGTCCCCCCATCTTATCCATATCCATGGGATAGGTTTAGACTTCAAGTCCCCTCTACACAGTGTATGTCTGAAACCACAGTCAGTACTAATACCTACAAAGACTTTTTTTATACTTACACATCTATGACAGAATTTACTTTATACAGTGAGAGATAACTGTAAGACTAAGACCATGTGAACGTGGTCTTTGCCTTTCAAAGTGTTTGCACTGTGTTCACCTTTCCCCATCATATAATGATGTACGATACATGTCTCCATGATGAGATGTGGTGAATGACTGAGAACTTATGAAATGTGGACACATGCTCCAAGCTTAAAGTGGAGCAGCAAAGCCAGGGGGTGGTAGTATGTGCCTTTAATCTCAGCACTCGGCAGCCAGAGGCAGGAGGATCTCTGTGAGTTCGATGCCAGCCTGGTCTACAGAGCGAGTTCTAGGACGGCCAGGGCTGTTACACAGAGAAACCCTGTCTCAAAAAACAAAAAGCAAAACAAAAAGTGGAGCAGCAGCAGTGGTGAAACAAGCCCTTCCCTTACAATTTCAGGATTGGTATGTTCATCCTTACTATCTGTAATAGGACCATCCTCGGCATATGAGGGAAAGTTTCGTCTTTTCATGTAAAGGGGGCATATTCTAATTGCCAGTGACATTCCTCTTACACTTTGCAGTCATTTTAGTAAAATAAAAGTCACCATGCTCCAACAGTTGAGCTGGCGCTGAGATACTACTCAGGGTAGGCACACAGCATGGATGCAGGGGACAAAGAGAATTTCCATCTGAGAGACAGCACAGGATTTGTCTCAACACTCAGAATGGTGATGAACTTAAAATGTACGAATTCCTTAATTCTGGCCCCTTCCAGGTAATATTTGAAGACCTTGACTGAATGAAGGTAACTGAAGTCACAAGCAGTTATCCAGAGTGCCTCCTGTCCCCTTACAATATTAGAGCTTATGCACACAAAGACAAAGACTTTAATATTCACTGTCTATTTCAGGCAAAAATAATTTTTTTTTAAAAAAAAGACAGGGTTTTGATATGTTATCCACCATGTTCTCAAATACATATTTTCTTCTTGCTTCAACTTCCTAAATGCCAGGACTACAGGTGTTCATCACTACACCTGGCTAAGGCCAGTATTTTTGGAAGGATTAAAAAAAATATGTCAACATGTTACAAATGGTGTGTTCTGGAAAATTTATTCTAGAAAATAAGTTCTTAAAAACTACCATAAAATTGGTCAAGCATGGTGACATACACTAACAACTCCAGGGTTTGTAAGGCAGATTTCTGTGAGTTCATGGTCAGCCTGGTCTATATGGTGAGTTTCAGGACAGACAGAGCTACATAGCAGAGAACCTGTCTCAAAAAAAACCAAAGACCAATGAACCAACCAAAGGAACAACAACAACAACAAAACTACCACAAAATCAAAACCATGTTCCCTACTTGCACACGCTGAGTGGGCATGGAATAATCCTTATACAGAATAATATTTAAAAATTTACAAAACCAAAACCAGAACCAAACCACTTATTTAATGTGTGTGTTTGTGTCTAAGGACAACTTGTAGGAGCAGGTCCTCTCTCCTGCCACATATTAATTATTGTGACTTTTTTTTTTGGCATTGCTGAGTCTTTAAACATCTAGGACTTCATGAATGCTAGGCAATTACTCTATCGCTGAACTGTATCTCTAGCCCTTAAAAAATTTTGAGAAACATTCTTGCTAGGTTGCCCAGTTGCTTATGCTCAATATTTGGTTTAGAAAGACCTTGAACCTGTAATCTTTCTTTCAGCCTCTCAAACACTGGGATTACGGCCTGGGCCACAAGACCTAAAGAAGGTGTAAAGTATATATTAAGAAAGGATTGAGACTTGGGGAGCCTTACCTTAACAATAGTTTGATAAACAAAAGGAAGAATTTGTTTTGACCATTGTTTTTCCAGATGAACTTCACCATTCTGACTGATTTGATATTTACGACCTGTGAGCAACTGAGCATACACAACGGCAGATGTTTCATTTATTACTATTCCCTTTCTTCTTAGGTATCTAAAGGAAAAATAAAAAAGAAAGATACACGTGTAGAAGTGTGTATGCAGTCAAGGTGATAATCATCAATCAAACCAACTACTCACAATCAAACCCTTACACGGCAAATAAAGGCAGGGCAGTTTTCAGCACCCTATAAAGCAGTGGTTCTCAGCCTTCTTGATACTACAACCTCCAATTACAGCTCCTCATGGTGCGGTGACCAACCATAAAATTAGTTTTGTTGCTACTTCCTAACTGTAATTTTGTTACTGTTGTGAACGGTTATGTAAATATCTGTGCTTTCCAATGGTCTTAGGTGACCCCTGTAAAAACGGCTGGTTGATTCCACAGGGGTCTTGACCCACAGGTTGAGAATCATTGCCACAAAAGCTTTGATAGTATTGATTTTAGTCTGTGGACCATTTTCCCACTGTCTACATGACTGAGTGAGAAATCAATCTGTAAAAACTCTAGAACTTTACATTCAAAGGCCACACACAAAATAAATGGAATAAAAAAAATTTAAGAGAAAGTGAAGAAAGGCAGCATGGAGCTCAGCAAACTGAGGGGCATCTGAAGTATGCTATTCACTGCAAAGGCTCATTTCTTCCATTTGTATGTGATACACACTTTTCATAAATAATCACCTTTGCCTTATTGATTCTTTTGGCTTTCAGGTAAAATAGCACACCTTTTAACACTAACCATTCTTTTAACAATGGCTTTAGGGACTGAACTCAGGCCTTGAGCACACTGAGCTCTGATCCCCAATCCCCTGCACTTTGTATCTCCATTTCCTCGCCACTATGTGACACTGTGCTAAGAAGAGTGAATCAATCTCATAGTCCTCCTGCCTCAGTTTCCTGAGTGTGGGAATTAAAGTTGTGTACTTTCATGCTCGACAAAGTTATTTCTTAAAATGTATTTATTTAGTATGTGTGGGTGTTTTGTCTGCATGTTTGTCTGTGTACCATGTGTGTGCGTGATGTCACAGAGACCAGAAGAGGGCACTGATTCCCTGGGACTGGAGTTAAAGAACAGTGAATCACTACATGGGGGTCTTAACTCTGGTTAAAAGAACCCAGTGTTCTTAACCTCTGAGCCATTTCTCCAGCCCTAACCAAATTCTTATGATACTCACTGTTCTGAAATTCCTTGTATTTCTTTAGTCCAGTTCGACTGTTCTTTATCTGAAAGTTCAATGACTTTAGATGGTGGAGCAGTTTTCCCCAAATAAACCTTCTGTGTTCCTGGAGGTTCTTCCAAGTAAAACCTTAGACATAAAAACAAAGGAGAAATTATGTAAGCCTAAACTTGTGCTTTAATGTAGAGCTTTTGCAAGGTGAGTGTTCATAGTGAACAAATTTTATGTGGTACAATTGCAAAAACAACCCCCTCAAACCCCAACCTTTTCTTTGAATACAATAAATTGGAGAATAAAGGCATGTGGAAATTTTCTACATTGGGCACAATGGTATTCTCTGGATACCCAGTTATATGAGGGGCTGAGGGAAGCAGATGTCTTGAGCATGAATTTGAGAACATCCTACACAGCTCGAGAAAAGATGAACTAACTATTCATGTATAAATACAAGATGATATATCATTAGCACAATGAGAAGATAAAACATTAATAAATCAAAGATTTAAATAATGGAGAGGTACACCGCATACAAAGGTTAGACAATTAAATACAATAAAAGTACCAAACCTTCCCAAATTCACCTATATGAATAAAACTTTTTCTTTTTCTTGTTTTTAAGTTTTTCTTCCCTTTGTCTTCCCCTTTGTCCCCATTCACCCCCACCTCTCTTTTAGGACAGGGACTGGCTATGTAGTATAGGCTAGCCTTGAACCTCAACATAGATTGGGCTAGTGCTGAATCTGTAAAGGTCTTCATGCCTCAGCCCAGAGTGCTGGAGTTATGAGTATGAACAATTATATCCTTAGGTTTAATACAATTGCTATAAAAATCCTTCAATAGTAATAGATAAAGAACAATCTCTCTTAAAAATATAATAAATTAGAAAAGCTAAAGCCATTTTTAAGAAGAAAAGTCATAGCCTGGTGGTGGTGGCGCACACCTTTAATCCCAGCACTCAGGAGGCAGAGGCAGGTGGATTTCTGTGAGTTGGAGGCCAGCCTGATCTACAGAGGGAGGTCCAGGACAGTCAGGGATACACATAGAAAACTTGTCTTGAAAAACCAAGAGAAAAATAAAGAAGAAAAAAAAAACGTAAAAAAAAATAAATGAAGGTTATCAAACAGCAAAGTAAATATGCCAGAGAAACCATGAATTTCATCTTACTTAGTTTCACCGTCTGACACGGCCACAACTCTAGCTTCCTCCAGATGGGGCCAGTTCACAAAGACCGACTTTCCAAGCACCGATGAGGCGATGTTTTCTATACTCTTAAAAGCACAAACAAAAGAGTTCATACATGGTTTATGTCCAAGAGAAAACTCTCCAGTTCCATTTAAGTTTCAATTTGTAAAATGAATGAGGCAGATTAATGGTGTTACAAAATGCCCTCCACTAGGAAAATTCTGATTTTACTTGTTGGACTCATAGTTATCTTTCTTACTTCTCTGATAACAAAGAAATCTGAGAAGAACAGCAGTAATGGCTTTTGAGTTTCATTCTGGACGATACTTAAAGCAGAATCTAAGAACTATCTCCTAAGAAAAAGAAGTATCTCGCTTCACCTGTGGCATGTTAGCAAAACAGAACATTAGATTCAAACACAGGGGACACAGTTCCAAATTTGTTTTACTTCTTTCAAATTCTGACCAAATTATGTTTTTCTTTATGAACAGAAAGGACAGTACATTCCTTCCAATGTTGAGGATAAAGAAAAATAATACACTATTTTGTACAAGGTAATATTTTAAGTAAAAAATTCTAGCTTTAAGAAGAAGATATTTTCAACTTATGCATATAGGTTAGAGAACAACTTTGTAGCAGAAATTGATGTTTAAGTATAAATTTTGTTTTTTGAATTATATTTAATCTTTTTGTTGTTAGCTAATTGTTTTGAGATAAGAAAGGTATCATGGCCGGGCGGTGGTGGCGCACACCTTTAATCCCAGCGCTTGGGAGGCAGAGGCAGGTGGATCTCTGTGAGTTCGAGGCCAGCCTGGTCTAGAAGAGTTAGTTCCAGGACAGGAACCAAAAAAGCTACAGAGAAACCCTGTCTCGAAAAATCAAAAAAAAGAGAAAGGTAACATGTAGCCTAGGCTGGTCTGGCACTTGCTATGTACCCAAGGATTACCGTGAACCTCCTGGACTTCCTGCTTCTACTTACCAAGTGCTGGACAGCAGATGTGCCCCTTTAAGCATGCCCAGTTTAATATAGTTTTGGGGATCTAGGCTTGTGCACACTAGACAGGAACTCTGTTAACAGAACTATGTTCCCAGCTGAGCTGGTAGACGGCCTGCTTAGCATTCAGAGTACTAAGTTCAATGCCCAGAACTACATAACAGGGGGCAGTCGTGTAAAGGCCAAGGCGTAAGTCAAAAACAATCCCACACCAGTTTAGAATTATGATTAATAGAATGATTATTTATTTAAAGGTGGAAAAACTTACAGATCACCGTCCCAGACAACAGCCCTCTGCGCAATCAGGAAGGGAGTCTAGTCACCGGAAGTGGAGCAGGAAGTAAGAGAGAGCGAGAAGGGAAGTGGCCGCCTTTTAAAGGGAGAGAGACCATGCCCCAATGGGCTGGTATCTCAGCGGCTATTGGCTGGAGGAGCAGAAGGACCTCCCGCCAGAGTCGTGTATGCCTTTTATGCTAATACTTGGGAAACAGAGGCAAGAGGATCAGGAATTCCAGGTTGTCCTCCCTTTCGTAGGAAATTTGATACTCCTTCCTTTCCTTCAAGGAGAATGAATGCCTTTCTTTTCTTTGTCCTAATGTCTGTCAGCACCTAGCTCAAGTGTCTGCTTATACATGCGTGTTCCTAGTCACTGGCCAGCAGAGTTCATTTCCTTTTCTTTTTTTTAAATTATTATTTATTTATTTATTTAGCATACAATATTCTGTCTGCGTGTATGCCTGAAGGCCAGAAGAGGGCACCAGACCCCATTAAAGATGGTTGTGAGCCACCATGTGGTTGCTGGGAATTGAACTCAGGACCTTTGGAAGAGCAGGCGATGCTCTTAACCTCTGAGCCATCTCTCCAGCCCTTCATTTCCTTTTCAAATCCCATTCATGATGCTAGTTATAGAGGCACTTAGTGCCACCTAACTCGTGTTTCTGTGCGTTATCTTTAAAGCTGAATCTCAGTTATGCACATTAAATCTCTCTGTTAACACTTTGGCAGGTATAAGCAGTTTTTTGCATGACTACTGTTCTATAAGTAAATGAATAAATAAAGTACTTACAAGTTCATCTGAATCTGCATCCACTGAGATTTCCAACATCATGTTCTCACCACGACTACTCTGCTGGAATACTTGAACACCACTTTTCTTCAAAAAAAACTTTAAAAGAATTAAAATAATTTAGTTTTAATTCTTATAATCACTCCACTTTTAATAAAGTGAAAAACATCTGAATTAAATAGCCACTGACTTTATGTTTGATGTGTTTCAAAGTAGGGAATCCACAGAAATATAAAGCCTTCTGGTCAACCCTGGTTATTCTGTTCTTGTTTATGTCTACACGCCAAGCGTCTAATGATATTATTTTATACCTAGAAAATAAATAAAGGTAATTTAAAATTCAAACATTACAAGCAATTACAACTTTCAACTCTCTTTTGACTATTTCATAAGAACCATTTTTGCTTTAAAAAAGAGAGGTGTGGCCGGGCGGTGGTGGCGTACGCCTTTAATCCCAGCACTCGGGAGGCAGAGGCAGGCGGATCTCTGTGAGTTCGAGACCAGCCTGGTCTACAAGAGCTAGTTCCAGGACAGGCTCCAAAACCACAGAGAAACCCTGTCTCGAAAAACCAAAAAAAAAAAAAAAAAAAAAAAAAAAAGAGAGAGGTGTGTGTGGTAGCATGAGTCTGTATTAGAGAGAAGCAGAGGCAGGAGAACGCAAGTTCAAGGCTATCCTGAATTACAGAATGACTTCTAAGCCAGGCTAAGCAGATAGTGAGACCCAGAAACACCACAACCACACCCCCACCCCCACGGTAGAAGAGGTGAATTAGTCCTTGAAAGAAAATTCAGGCATAGTGGTTTATACCTATAATCCCAAACAGGGAGACTGAGGCAGGAAGACTTGTACCGAACTCAAAGCTATTTGGGGCTACACAAGGAAATCCTGTCTCACAGGAAATAAACTATGGTGATTCCCCTGCAGGCTTTATAGCAAGCAAGAAAAATTGATCCTTGAAGACTCGAAGACAAGAATGAAACTCGGCTCAGCCTGACTTTGTTGTAATTGGGATTGGACCAAGACTTCTATAATCTGGCCCAGACCATTTTACTTTAGTCCTATTTAAGCACAGCACGATTTAGAAAAAAGTATTCAGATAACAATATGAACTCAGCCTCAAGTGCACTTTTTCTTACAAAGTACATCTGGCTTCCTTCACAGGAATGGGAATTGTTGACTCAGAAAGAGTGACCAAAAGTTAGGGTCTAGGAAGCTTGCCTGAGGTAACCATGACCTGTGGGTGTGAGGACTAGCCTGGCCCTGAGATAACACAAAAGTCACTTAGGCTGCTATAAAGCACAAGAAACCACACTCATAAGAATGGGTTTATGATCTAAAAGCAATGCTCAAGTTTTGGGAAAAAGGTCTTTAATAAGTAAAAACATGAATCCTGGGAGATATGGGCAGAGCCTGTCTCAGCAGACAGCAAAGGATCACCAGGCTGTAAAACCGTATCATTCCTAGTCTTCCAGGAAGAGCAGCTGCGCACCTCATTCCACTGCGGAGGTAAACTGTGTGTTTAAGTTTCCTGGCTCCTCCAGTGCCTATCTGTGTGCACAAGGCTGTGTAGTTGGTTTTTATTACTCTTTGGCTCTTTGGGGGGGGCTTGCCATCCAGCTCCCAAATAAATCACACAGAGGCTTATTCCTTTTTATGAGTGCCTGGCCTTAGCTTGTATTATTTCTAAGTTTTTCTTAATTACCCTGTTTCTATTTAGCTATATTTTGCCTCTGGACTTTTACCTTTCTTTATTGAATATCTTTTTCTTTTCTCCTTACTTGTGGCTGGCTGGGTGGCCCCTGGTGTCCTCTTCTCCTTCTCCCTTTCTTGTTCCTTCCTCTTCTCTCTTCTCTCCTGTTTGTTCTCTGCCTGGCAGTCCCACTTATCCCTTCCTCCTGCCTAGCCACTGGCCATTCAGCTCTTTATGGATCAATCAGGTGTTTTAGACAGGCAAAGTGACACAGCTTTACAGAGTTAAACAAATGCAACATAAAAGAATGCAACACATCTTTGCATCATTTAACAAATATTTCACAGCATAAACAAATTAACAAATCTTCAATTAATATTTCCCAACACAAGGCCTTTCTGCCCTCAACAAACAAACAAAACAACAAAACCAACTCAGGGGCCAATGATGTAGGTAAAGGCACTTGCTGCCAAGCTTGACTGATACCTTGTGTTTAATCCCTAGGGCCCACATGATAAAAAGAAAAAACTGACTCCCAAAAGTCCTCTGATCTCCATATACTCATAGCATACTGTGTTCTCTCTATCCCTCTCCCTCTCCCTCTCCCTCCCCCCCCTCCCTCTCCATACACACAAACACACACACAAAGAAATGTACAAAACGTAAAATAAAACAAAAATTCTAAAATATAACAAACAACAAAACCCTAAAATAAAGCAAACAAAATCAGAAAGCTAAGAGCAATCCAGCTTCTCTATTGCTACTAGTCTAGGTACAATTAGGTCTGTAGATTACTAAGTAAAGGTTTTTATCCCACTATTTTTAAACAAGCTACATATAATTTATTTATTTATTTATTTAAATCGAGGGGCCTGTTGGTAGTGGTGTACACCTTTAATCCCATTACTCTGGAGTCAGAGGCAGGTGGATCTCTGTGAGTTTGAGGCCAGCCTGGTCTATAAAGTGAGTTCCAGGACAGCCAGGACTCCACAGAGAAATCCTGTCTCTAAACAAACAAACAATCAAGGAGTAAGGAGATGGCTCAGGGAGTAACTTGCTTGCTTTCCAATTTAAGGATTTGAGGACGATCCTAGCATCTTCTTAAAAAGGAGGGCGTGAGAGCACGCCTCTGTAATCCCAGTGCTGGGGAAGGCAGAGACAGGAGGACCCCTGCATTTGCTGGCCAGCCAGTCTAGCCAGATTGGTGAGTTCCAGGTCCAGTGAAGAACCTATCTCAAAAACAACCAAAACCAAACCAAACCAAACAAACAAAAAAGTGAAAAACCCTTATACATAAACACAAAGGGAAATGTAAATCTATACTTCATGTTCTAAAGGAATAACATTTCACAGTCTATTTTATTGTTCTTTGTACTTGAAAAAAATACCATTCGCTCAACTGTCATTTATATACATGGTTTTCAAGAAGGCAAGAAAAGAGAAAAAATAAAGATGGGAAGAGAATGACAAAAACAGATTTAAGAAAGGAAAATGGGGTTCTCAACTTTTTTTTTAATCTCTGGTTCGCTAGTTGATGACTGTAAGGTTAAGTTATGTTTATCAAATATTGCTGGGAATAGAGACACGAACAATGAAAACACAAATCACAAAAACCTAATACAGAAGTCGTTTAGAGATAAAGTGAGAGATATACTAGACAGAAAAACCCACAAAGCTGTAGTAGAAGGAATTAGCGTCTGCTCCAAGGAGAGAGCGACGTGGTCCAGGGAGAGAGACGCTTTGATGCTAAGCAGCCGGCTGTTGCTCAATAATTATTAATTTCATTTTGAGACTGGGAATCATTATGTTGTTGATCTTGAATTCCTGGGCTCAAACAAGATTCTTCTGCTTCAGCCTCCTAAGCAGCTGGACTCTAGGCTCGAACCACTATGCCTAGCTTATAGGATATCAAGTAATTGTCACAAATATGAATTCCCATATACACACAAAGACTTGAACATCTATAAGAAGAATTCATAAATTACCAAGTAGCATTACCTTGCACAACACCGTTCTATGGCAGGGAACTTTTCTGGCCATGGAGAGGAGTAGGTGAACTCTGTGTCTCTATCATACCAGCACATTAGACATTCACTGTGTTGGTTTCTTTTCCTTTCTTCCTTTTTGAGGGAGTGATTACACGTCTCCATGGCTTCCAACAATCGTTTCTGATGTAAATAATAATAAATGATTAAAACAAATACCGTAATCTCAACATAGAGAAAAGTATTTCCCCTTTGTACACTACTAGGCTCTTAAAAAATAACATCATGAGCTGATGGGGTAGCCCAGTAGGTAAGGGCCCTTGTTGCTGTCTGATGACCTGAGTTCAATCCCTTGGAAATAATCAACTTTCACAGGCTGTCCTCTGACCTCTACCTGTGGAACACGTGTGCACACACAGTGAAAATAAAATTAAAGCACAACAAGAGTTCAGTGTCATTCTCAGGCATAGCAAGTTCTTCACCACCCTGACTTACAACATAAAACACAAAACAAAACAACAAAAAAGGTCCTGAGAGAAGAAACTATGGAGTAAGAAGGCAATCTAGAAGCTGTCTGTGTAGAGGAGAAGATTTAGCGTAAGAAGTAGACTCGAATCCAAAGACAGACAGACAGGAGAACTTGAGAGACAGGTTATGTACTGAAAAGAAGTTCACCCAGCTGGGCATGAGACCAAAGTACCAAAACGAAGAATCCATGGGATAAAAAAACTAAAAACTGAAAGTATAGGCCAGCTATTCAATGACATTATACCAGAGTATTCTCAACTGTAGAGAAGACATGAACACCTAAACATAAGAGGCATTCAATTTTTACTCATTCACGGATTAATTACTGACTGATGTGCACACACGCAGGTATGCTTGCCTGTGTGAGAAGGGAACACTGAGTTTTCCTCTATCTCTCTCCACTGTATGAATGTTTTTATTTTACTAGGTTTAACTTACTTATTTTATGTGTATAAGTGTTCTGCTTGCATGTAAGTTTATGTCTATTGCCTGCAGAGGCCAGAGGAAGGTGTCGGATCCCCTGAAACTGGAGTAACAGATGGTTGTGAGCAGCCATGTGGGTGCTGGAACCGAACCTAGGTCTCTTGGAAGGGCAGTCAGTGCTCTTTACTGCTAAGCCATCTCTCCAGTCCCAATTTTTGTTTATGAAAATTAAAGTATTTAGTGTGTAAATATGTATGTACATATGTATGTGAATGTGCGGATGCCATAGCACATGTGTGGAGGTCAGATGAAAGAAAAGTAGGTAAAGAGCCAGGCGGTGGTGGCGCACGACTTTAATCCCAGCACTTGGGAGGCAGAGGCAGGCAGAACTTTGTGAGTTCAAAGCTAGCCTATTGTACAGAGTGAGTTTCAGGACAGCCAGGGCTACACACAGAGATACCCCATCTTGAAATTGAGACATCCCCCCTCCCTGCAAACAAAGCAACAACAAAAACCAACCAAACAAAAAAATCTAAACCCAAAAAACAAAAAAATGTAGAAAAGAATCTATGATGTAACATAGAAAACCAGAAAACCTCTAACACTAATATAGGAGAAAGAAAGAAACAAAACAAAACATAACAAACAAAAAAACCCAAAACCTAGTCAAGTGGTGTACTCCTCTAATCCCAGCACTTGGGAGGCAGAGGCAGGCAGATCTCTGAGAGGCCAGTATGGTCTACAGAGTGAGTTCCAGGATGGCCAAGGCTACACAGAGAAACCCTGTCTCAATAAACAAACAACCCTCACCCTCCCACCCAAAACCCTGATCCAACAGTAATAACCTTCTACGTAAATGGCCTCGACTCAACAACAAGAGAGAGAAAGAGAGGAAGAGAGAAAGAAAGATAGAAAGAAAGAGAGAGAGAGGAGGAAGGGAGGGAAGAAGGAAGGGAAGGAAGAAAGAAAGAAGGAAGGAAGGAAGGAAAAGATGCAGACTATAGCTGACTGGACTGAAAAACAGGATTCAACTGTTTGTTGTTGCTAAGAAATACCTCACAGATTGAGATTCCAAGGATTTCAAGTTAGTCTATCAAGTGAATAGAAGGAAAAGAAGCTGTTGTAGATAACCTCATATCTGAAAGGGTAGACTTCAAATCAAAATTGGTCAGACAAAGTGAGAAGGCCATTATATATTACAGAAAAATTAATCAAGATGACATAATAATTGAGATACATGCACTAAATGTTGCAGCTCTCTTTCATGAAATAGACAGCAATAGGCATAAAAGGTCTCACAACTCTTGATAGAATAATAATGATGACGTTAGTACTTCACTCTCATCCACACAAAAATGAACAGAGAATCTTCAGGGAATCATAGATCAAATGGACTTATGAGGTATCTATCTACAAGAGATACCAAATACACATTCTCAGTAGTCCATAGAACCCTCTCTAAAACCCACCACATTCTTGGCCACAAATCAAGCCTTCACAAATACAAAAGAATCAAGGTATACATGTAGTATACCCAGTAAATCCAGCACTTGGAAGGACCAGGAGTTCAAAGTCATTCTCAGCTACACAGCAAATCAAGGCAAGTCTGGACTATGAGACTGTCTTAAAAAGCAACAACAACAACAAAAATGAATTGGAATAATTCCTTGTATCTTATCAGATCATAGTGGAATACTAGACATTAACAGCAAAGAGAAACTACATGGAAACTGAATGATATAAGCTGGCATGAAATGGGTGATTGAAGAAATCATGGGGGAAATTTAAGGTTCTAGAATCAAACGAAAATGAAGGCACAGCATTCTGGTACAGCTAAGGGAGTCCTAAGATGAGAATGGACAACTATTAAAGTCAGTGATCTCAAATAAATAATCAAACAATAAACCTCGAGCCTTTAGAAACCAAAGAATAAGGCATATCTCACACAGTAGGTGGCAAGGATTTTCTGGAAGTACCCTAAGGACACAGGCTATAAGCCCAAGAATTCAAGGAGATTGAGTCAAGTCAAGTTTATAACAGTAAAGAAAACCATCTGCAACGTTAAGAGACAACCTATAAAGTGGGACAAAGTCCCTGCTCACTATACATCTGATAGGGAATTAATATCTAGAAACTAAGTGACCCCCAAAAATTAAGTAGAAAAAAACAATTAATGAATAAGTAGACAAATGGACTAACCAGACAATTCTCAAAAGAACAGATACAAATAAAAATAATATAGCTAATATATGAAAAAATGCTCAACATTCTTAGCCAACAGGGAAATACAATTAAATGAACTTTGAGTCTATCTCACCCCGATTAGAACGACAAACATTAAAACAAAAAATAATAGGGGCTGGAAAAATAGCTCAGTTGGTAAAGTGATTAGCTAAAAAACATCAAGACCTGGTTTGGTTTCAGCTTGCCCATGTAAAAAGCTGGGCATGCTGGTGTAGACACACTTGGAATCTAAGTGCTGGGTAGATGGAAACAAGTAGGTCCCCTGTTAGACCAGGCGATGATGTCTGAAGAATGACACCTAAGATTATCTTTGGCTTGTACACACACATACACACATTAAAAGACAGTGTTTATATGTACTTATTTCATATACTGACCTCATCAATAAAGGGTATTAATACCACAGCTTCCCATTCTTGTTGTTTCCCATTTAGATCAGTTTTAAAATCCGGTGGGTAATATTCTATAATTGGTGAGTCTTCGCTGGTCATCAAATGCTGTGAAAATGTAAATACGAAAATAGATAAAAGAGACACTATCATTACAACTATTCATTAACATATAGAACATTTCCTTACCTTATTAGGTTGCAACAATCTATTTGGTACATTATTGCTTCCAACTAAATGAATCCTTTTAACTTTCCTTTTTTCTGAGACAGCATCTCCCTGGTCTTGAAATTAAGACCCACCTGGTTGCAGATTCCCCAGTGTTGGAATTACAAGCCTGTGTCAGCTTGTTCAGCAAACTGTAAAAATTTCAATTGTATTCGATACTCATTTCTTTCCTGCTTCTTTAACTTAGTTATGGAGCAAAACTACTTTTACTATGAATGACTTCTCTTTCTCTCTTAATTCCTGTCTTGAGACAGAATTTAAGTAATCCAGGTTGCCTTGAACTCAAGAGTCTCCAGCCTCAGTCTCAAGAATGCTGGGATTATAGGTGCACACCACCACATTCCTGCTACTATTCGTTTTAATTCTGTCATCTTTACTTAGAAACTTGTATTACATCATGGTGTGTATGGAGGTCAGAGAACAACCCGTGGGAGTCCATTCTCTCTCTCCTTGCACAGTGTGGATACTGGGGATGGAAGTCAACAGGCTAAGCAGCAAGTACCTGTATTTGCTGAGCTTCCTGTCAGCCACATTTTTATTTTTCTATTGTCTTTTCACTCTATAACGTCTACCACCTAAATTCTGTTCCTTTACTTACAAGTTTAGTTCAGTTCCTTTCACATTTTTCCAAGAGTTTTCCATTTCAACCTCAAATTAACAATTTATTTCCATGCCCTAATCAGTGGATTCTAGTAATATGATTACTAGCATCAAAGATAATCTAAAAAGAAAAAAGTAAAATCTAAGACCCACAATACCATTAATAACAGACCCACAATATCATTAATAACAGAGTCTGATAGCAAACATTTTTATTATATTCTATAAAAGAAGTAAACAAAGAAAACATACCGATGTCTTATGCAAAAAAGGATTGGGAAGTGAAAGGGAAGATTATAAATTTAAAAAATGAAGTAATATATTCCTAAAATGATAATATAAAATTTAATTGCTATTGCACGAACACTAAACAAACACAACAAATGTGATTATAACATACTTATTGGCTAAGAGTGATATGCTACGAAAAGTTTAATGTAGCTGAAGGAAAAAACAAACAAAAAACATTAAAGATATTTAAGAAACAGAGGCTGAAACCAGGGTTGAGTATAGGTTAGGGCACTGGAAGAGGCAAGAGGGACCATGACAATGTTAAGAGCAATGGGTTATGTATGTACATCTACTCCAAATTGTGAGAGGACCAGACATGGAATGAGAAGTTCGGACACAGACCCTACAAAAACCAAATAACTTTTATAATCTGCTTAGTATGTTTAGTGTGCTTCAGAGACCCTGTCTTTCTCTAATTATGTGAAATATATTAGTAAGAGAAAGGTCCTTCAATTTGATAGTTCGAATGCTTAAAAATCTAAATATATGCTGAGGTGACACTGGTGTAAGATAACAAGTCACTAGAATTGCCCTTATTCACTGGGTGGTGGTAGTGGCGCACGCCTTTAATCCTAGCACTTGGGAGGCAGATCTCAGTGAGTTTGAGGCCAGCCTGGTTTACAAAGCAAGTTCCAGGGACAATTAGAACTGTTACACAGAGAAGCCCTGTTGGTGTAGAAGGTTCTTCTGTTTAAGTGTTGCTTTCATTGGTTAATGAATAAAGAAACTGCCTTGGTCTAGTTGATAGGGTGAACTTAGGTAGGTGGAAAAAATAGAACTGAATGCTGGGAGGAAGAAGGGCAGAGAGAGAGAAGCCATGAATCCTCCACTACATACAGATGCCAGTTAGAATCTCTGGTAAGCCAGGGCTATGTGGTGAAACACAGATTAACGGAGATGGGTTAAACTAATATGTAAGAATTAGCCAAAAAGAAGTTAGAGCTAATGGTCAAGCAGTGTTTTAATTAATACAGTTTCTGTGTGGTTATTTTGGGTATAAGTTTGTCCCGGTTTGTGGCCGGGACAAACAGGGGGCCCTCTCCTTTACAATACCCTGTCTTAAAAAAAAACAAAACAAAAACAAAAAACTCAAAGTAAGTATTGTCTAAGATAAATAAAAATTCACTTATTAAATTAAATTGGGCAGCAGTATTTTCAGGTTTATATGAAGAATTAAATACAAAAAAAATTATATGTAGTAATAGGAGCGGTGGGGCTGTGTCCCCAGCACCCCGGCCGCCTGGCTAGCTTATGCCAGAAATAACAACACACAAACTGTATTCTTTTTTTTTTTTGGATTTTTCGAGACAGGGTTTCTCCGTAGCTTTTGGTTCCTGTCCTGGAACTAGCTCTTGTAGACCAGGCTGGCCTCGAACTCACAGAGATCCGCCTGCCTCTGCCTCCCAAGTGCTGGGATTAAAGGCGTGCACCACCACCGCCCGGCAAACTGTATTCTTTTAAACACTGCTTGGCCCATTTCTATCTAGCCTCTTCTAGGCTAATTCTCACATATTAATTTAGCCCATTTCTAATCATCTGTGTAGCACCGCTAGGTGCGCTTACCGGGAAGATTCTAGCCTACGTCCATGCTGGGTCGGAGCTTCATCGCGTGTGCCTCAGAGAGCTGAGCTATCGCGTCTTCCTGGGAGAGGGGAGCATGGCGTCTCTGAACTCCCTTCCTCTTCCTCCCAGCATTCTGTTCTGTTTACTCCTCCCACCTATGTTTTAACCTATCAGGGCCAAGCAGTTTCTTTATTGCTTAACCAATGAAATCAACAGATTGATATATGACACTCCCACATCAATTATATAAGGGGTTGGAGAGGTAGTTTAATGGTTAAAATCCCTGTCTTTCCAGCACCTATATGGAAGTTTACAACCATACATAATTCCAGTTCTCTTATCCAATGCCCTTATCTGTCTTCTGTGAGCACCAAGAATGATGAGGTACATAGACATACATTTATGTAGGCGAAATGTACATACATATAAAAATAAATCCTTAAAAAAGAATATTAAGAAAACTCATTCAATTCCAAAACCTACCTGGTAGCAGGTAGGAAGCAAATTTTTGCTAGCTGATGGGAGGACGGCAAGAAGCTGCTCAAATGGCTTGAAGGGTTTCCCCAGTTCAAAATGGATTTTAAGAGCGCTGATGTTGCGGATATCAGACAGGAAGGGTGCATAATGATAGGGATAATACCTATGAGAGAAAATGTGTTTTAAACTGAAAATAGTATACAAAATGGCCAATATTGAACATTTTCCTACATTTACTTAAAAATACACAGGTATAATTAAAAATGTATCATACATAATTCTATCTCTTGAGTATAAGAAATTAGCACCTCTGTAAAGCTTAGCTCATATGATAGCAATAAATATATTTTCATAAATATATTTTGATAGGTGGGAACTTAAGAGACAGGGTTTCACCTAGGAAGGCAGGACTGGCCTCAAACTCACAACTTTCTTAAAGTGTGCATTGGGAATGTTTCTTCTTAAGTCTCAAGTAGAGATCACAAATCCTTCAATCAATACACTGAACAATGAGGTGGTCAGAAGCATCATTCTAGTCACTTGAACCTGGGACCTCTCTGCAACGGGCGGGGCACTCAGTATTCAGTAGATACTGACACCAAAGCTCTAATCAGCTCCTAAGAAGGACAGTGGGTGTGTGCTCATACAGCCATGTCAGTCAACTCAAAGAAAGGCTATCTTTGAATCAGGTAGAGATTAAGAGATTAATTAAAGAGATTTGCATCTGTGGTAGAGATTAAGCTATAAATCAATCACATACATTTTGTTTATAATATCTTCCTATCTTTAATTATAGACATGTTCTAATAAGCCTTTGAACATAAAATTATTTCAATATGCTACAGGTGTCTGAATCACTGGACACAGGGAGGCAGACACTCAGGATATAGAGCAAGAAAGGAAAAGGAAAGACTAAATTTTTTAAAAATTTTATTTAGTTTGTTTATGGGGCTGTACAGGTGTGTGGAGGTCAGAGATTTGTGGGAGTAAGCTCTCTCTATCATGTGGGCCCCAGTGACTGAACTCAGGTTGTCAGGCTTGGTGGCAAGTTCCTTTACCTGCTTAGCCAACTTGCTTGCCTGAGAGACTTCCACATTCCTAATTGTGGCATTCAGCTGTTCTAGATAGGAAAGTTTAGAAGTCAGAATGGTATGTGAAATAGTGTAAATACACTGATGTTCTAAACAGATAGGTATGGCTTGGCTTTTTGGGATGATTACTTTGGTTTTCTGAGCTTTAATTTCATCTGTGGCAAGTAAAAACGATGTTTACTTCAAGTATATGAAAATAAGGTTTTAAAGTCCCTAATTTTACTGCTTGGCAATTAAACAGCAATTACTGGCATTTAGCCTTCTAAAATAACAAATAAGGATCATATCTTTAAACTTCGATTGTTTTTAAGAGAGGCCTGAGAACATAAGAATTTCCTTTCAAAGCTGGCTAATAAGTGAACGAACACCTAATGCCACATCATTCTGCACTGTTGTGAGCTTCCTGATTATGCTCACAGCAGTCTCTACTATAGGGTGCCTTATAGTTGGAGGGTTTTTCTTTCCTCTTTCTTTTTGAGGCAAGATCTTGCTATGTTTAACAGTTGACCTTGAACTTGTGGTGATCCTCCAGCCTGGGATCAGATACAAGCTGCCACACCTGGATGTTATTCTCCCATTTTAGTGAATGAGTAGATGTAATTGGCTAGGATCAGATCACCCCCTACTACTCATGTACAGAAGCCTGGTTCCGACCTGCTGGGCTATTTGGGAGGTTCTAGAAACTTTAGAGAGATGGGACTATTGGATTTGGGCCACAGGGACATGTCCTGAGGGGTTGTATCTTGTCGCACGCCTTCCTTTATCTTTCTACTTTTTAGTTACAATGAAATATCAACTTTGCTCTCCATGTCCACCCTGCCATGACACTTTGTTTCACCATAGCCTAAAGAGATTGGAGCTGGCTGAGAAGAAACTGAAGCCTGAAACCACGAGTCACATGATCTTTCTTCTTTTAAGTTGTTCTGTCAGGAATTTTTGTCAGTGAGAAGAGCTGACCAATACCGAGGAGAAATGGTGAATATTACTTTTTATTAACACAAGCAAAGCCTTTCTTTCAGTCACAAATATTAGTTGACTCTTCAGAAATTATTCCTGTTAAAGAGTATTGTTTTTGAGTACACAAAAATGTGGAGACTCTTACAAACACCCTCACGTAACTATCACTGGAATGCAAACACTTGTTAAGATCGTGTCATGATAAGGGGTTCTCTTATTTTTACTTTTCTGGTGGCACTAGGAATCAACCTCAGGCTTCATCCATGCTAGGTGGGGGCTCTATGATGGAACTCTATCCACGATTCTCTCCTACTGGACAACTAGAGTCTGATCCAAGTGATTTATTAAGCTACACCCCAAGCCCATGCTGACTCAGAATGCTAAAGTATTTTACAACTTTAGATTAACAAAGGCTAGGGCTATAAATATTTTTCTTAGTTGAAAGTCTTTAAAATATTTTCATTTAAAAACAGATTATATTTAATTTAAAATTGACTGTAGACATATATGAAAAATTCTTTTAAGTAGAAATAAAAGGAAAAGAGATGTTTAAATGAGACTCTAATAGTAGGAACCATTATAAAATGAGATGTCTTTACCAGCTCCAGGATTGGACTCCATGATAGTAATAGTGTAAGATCCACTGTATAGCCTGAACATAACAAGCAGCTTGATCAGCCAGAAACTCACTGAAACAGAAAGAGGCATTTTCATAACAATGTTGTTTTCTGAAGACAGACCAATATATTCAGTGTATTTTTAATACCTAAACATTATAAACAGAAAAACTGCAAAATATTTACAATTCCATCTTGTCACATGAAAGGCTGTTTACAGTTTCCTAAGCCAACTATCAATACAGTTAAATTGGATATGCATGCTTAAGTTGTCATTATGACATAGTTTTGCCTAATGTTTGAAGACTCACCTACCGACCTTTCTACAAAGTGGTATTATCACTCTCCTAAATAGTGGGAATGAGTGTAAGCCCCGAGTTCTTAGAAATCTGGCAATAGTATTTACAAACCCTTTTAAAAAGTGCTATATGTTCTGAACAAGATCCCTCTAGATTTGGGTAAAACAAAGCAAGCCATAGCCTAAAGTCAAAAATAATCACTTAGAAATTTCTTATCTATTTCTGGTAGGTATGCATATATCTTTAAAATGTTCTATTATCAATTTATATGTGTTATGTGTATATTTGTATGGCATATACTTGTGTGGAGGTCATGAGACAATTTTCAGGAGTTAATTCTCTTGGTAGATGTGCTTTTTAGCCTGATACCGAATACTTTCTTACTTCAGACAAGTATTTCCTGATTGTTAAAAATCTGGATAATGAGCCGGGCGGTGGTGGCGCAAGCCTTTAATCCCAGCACTCGGGAGGCAGAGGCAGGCGGATCTCTGTGAGTTCGAGACCAGCCTGGTCTACAAGACAGGACAGGCTCCAAAACCACAGAGAAACCCTGTCTCGAAAAACAAAAAACAAAAAACAAAAAAAAAAAAAAAAAATCTGGATAATGGAGAAAACTATTCTTATCATCTTCTAGCAATTCCTCGTCATTTCCGTCTTCTGCTTTTCGGTCACTGCTGAGACGAGGCCTTTCTATCTTGCCCTTGCCCTGTGAATTTCTGGGATTCAGCGATATTATGGGCTCAGCTTTCCAAATAGCTCCGATTATGCACTACTAGCCCAAAGTTACCCAATTAAAAAAAGTACACGCAATGAATGCGTATATTATATCATGTGTGATTGTGTTTCCTGTCTTTAGGTTATAAGCATCTTTCTGAGTTGTGGGGAACTCTTTGCAAACACCATTGAATAGCTGTGCAGATTCTGGAGATGGGGAGAGGAGCGATGATGAGCCAGAGTCTTCCTTTATGAAAGACAAGATCTGGCTATCAACTTCCACCTTCTGTTTTGGCCTCCTGACTGTACTCAAGTGTCACAACCCCCGGCTCTATAATGGTGCTTCTTATTAGACTTAAAAAAAAATTATTTGGTTATTTCTGAGACAGATTCTTTTTTTTTTTAAAGATTTATTTATTTATTAAGTATACAACATTCTGCTTCCATGTATGCCCACACGCCAGAAGAGGGTGCCAGATCTCATTACAGATGGTTGTGAGCCACCGTGTGGTTGCTGGGAATTGAACTCAGGACCTTTGGAAGAGCAGGCAATGCTCTTAACCTCTGAGCCATCTCTCCAGCCCCTCTGAGACAGATTCTTGTAATGTAGCCATGACTAACTTGGAACTCACTTATGTTAAATTTTTCAATTTCAGACTCGTGGCAGTCTTCCTGCCTCTGTTTCCTGGGTATTTCCTAAGGGATTACAGTCACTTGCTACCATGTTGAATCTTAGACATTTATTAGTTTTATCTTTTCTGATATTGGAAATCAAACTTGGGGCCTCACAGAATATAGGTAGTCACTCTTTCACTGAAGTGTATCCTTAGTCCATTTATTGGATATTTAGATTACTTTTTATTTTTTAGCATTTTAAATATCTTAATATGTATAAGGATGTTACTATTTGCTAATTAAATCTTAAGTAATTTTCTGCATGTGTGATGTGCATGCTTGCAAATGTGTGGGTGTATATGTTTGTGTGAAGGTGCTTGTGTACATGTGTCCTTGTCTGTAGAGGTCAGAGACTGATGCTGGGTATTTCCTCAATTGTTCTCCACCTTATATGTTGAGGAAGGGCCTTTTGTTGATCCCAGAGGTCACCAATTTGGCTAGTCTAGCTACCTAGATTGCACTGGGAACATCCTGCTTCTACATTCAGGACATCTTCCCGAGCTCTAGGGCCATAGGTGACTGCCACACTTGCCTTGGCATTCACACAGGTGCTAGAAATGAGAACCTGGGTCCTCAGGTAGTACGCCAAATACTAGCCACTAAGTCTCATCTTCCTAGTTCATCTTGGCAGCAATTTTATGTGGAACAGAACACATGCCAGAATCACTATCATGAAATCCATAATTGAAGACACCAATAAATCTCCCATATTTCATTAAAATCATGTTGTTTTCTGAAGACTTGCAAAATTTACTTTTTCTATTGCAAAATAAAAACAATGAAAAAAACATACTCAGATACTACATCGACTCCCATCTTTGTCATATAGTATGTTCTCTTATATTGTCTAAATTCAGTTTCAAACAGATCATCATCTTCAGTCTCATCTTCAAAATTATCTGTGAGAAAAACCAGAAAGATGTAACTGATAAATATGAATATTGTTTTTATCTAATGTTGTGATCAATGCATATCAAAATTGATACTTATAAACTATCATGGGAATTTATCCAATCCAATATTGCAGGGTTAATACTAATAAAGGAAAAGAGAAACAACTATGTGTCAAAGAAATAACATTAAACACAGTATATACTCACCTTCAGAAGAAATAACATTAAACACATATGTACTCACCTTCAGAAGCTACTACTTCACCTTCACTTTTGTCTAAAGCAGCCAAGCTTAAAGAATTTTCCTGGCCCTATAAAAATTATAAATCATCATAAGATGAACAGTAAGATGTGTTTCCAAGTCAGACATGTAAAAAGGAGATTAGAAAAAAAACTAAATACAACTGAAATGATCTTTAAAGAATACACTGTAGCATATTACTTTAAAAACAAGATAAAACTCCCTGAAACTGTATGTTTTTTTTGGTTATCAATTGTTTTATAAAATTATACATTTTTGTTATAGAATTGACATATAATGCATGATTCTCACTAATGTAAAAGGTATATTTGATTATATGCACCAAGACCTGCTGTGGGATGTCTTTCTGTATGCTGTGAATGTTTTACTACCATTGGTTAATAAAGAAACTGCTTTGGTCTATGGCAAGGCAGAATATAGTTAGGCAGAAAAGCCAAACATATATAGGGGAAAAGAAGGCAGAGTCAGGGAGACACCAGTAGTCACTGTGGAAGCAAGATGTGAGGTAACAAGCCAGGAGCCTCGTGGTAAAATATAAATTAATAGAAATAGATTAAGTTTTAAGAGCTAGTTAATAACAAGCATGAACTAACAGGCCAAACAGTTTTTAATTAATATAAGCTGTGTCCACTCAGGAATGGATGGCTGGGAAACAAAAGTGTCGCCTCTGTTTACAAAGACCAAGACTACTTAAAAATTTATCAATTACAATATAAACAAGAATGAAATGATTTTTTCAATTTACCAGTTTAACATTGTTAGACACCAATTTTGAACTGCTACTAATGCAGTCTGTCTAAGCTGGAATCCATTGAGCACTTCTGAATTTCTGAATCTTGTCATCTCCTAACCTACGTATCTTCCATGCTCTGCCCACCTGTTTTTAGTTTTATGATCTTAACTCTTCCTCTTGTGTTTCTGACAGCCTAGCTACTGGCAGTGACTCCCATTAGTTTTTCCTTATACTGTTCTGGCCTCTACCAGCTCTGGACTGCTGAGCAAACTCTCCAGCCCCATTTATTGTCTTCCCAATAGAGGAAAATGCTATTCCTAAGAAGCAAAAATAAGAAACTCATTTTTCTTAAATACATACTTATGATATGACAGAAACAGAGAGAGACAGAAACCAAAACAATTCTAGATGCTCATGGAGAAGAAAAAATGAGAACAAACAAGCCCTGAAAACCAAGGACACTGAAAACAAGGAATATTAGTTTTATCACTATAGCTAAAAACCAAAAGAAGGAGAAAAGAAAGAACACCAGAAACTGGTTACCTTTGATTTTCTCTTTTCCTTACAGTTCCTGGCTTCTTCGGCTGCTGCACCTGCTGCTTCATTGAGATACTTGTTACCAACTTTGCTTTCAAACCACTTAAGGTCCACAAAAACTTCACTGAAGTGCTCTCGATCAAACTGACCAAAAATAGTTGAATTTTAAAATGACTTAAACGTGAAAGAATACAAACTAAATTTCTGGAGTATAGAAAATTAGGAGAATGTTTACACACACACACACACAAAATATCATTAATGTGGATAATATTTATATATATACACATACAATATCATTAACTCTAAAAATTAGACGTAAGTAACTAAAATGAAATAATTCAAATGAAATTATACAGAATGAACAATCAGAACGAAGCTAGAGTTTTTTCACCCCTGGCATTAACTAAATGATTAATGACCATTTATAGCTCCCCCAGGATAGGAAAAAAAAAAAACCCTGTTGTTACTTACATCTGATAGTTTCACAAGGTATTTCTCAAATCGAGGTAAGTTGAGATGTCCACTTTCATTAATGTAACCTAAAATGAACCAAATCTAAACTTGTAGTATAAACTGATACTAGTTTCTAATAGCTCTATAAAATTCTTTCAACAAACTGCTGAGTGTAGCATGGTTAATAAAAACCCAGAGACAGAAATTGGGGTTCAACCTGAAGGTGAGAAAAGCAAAACAGCCAGCCACTGGCTCTTACCTCTACCTCAGTTTGAAATCGTGATTCTGCCTCCAGGAATCTCAGAATGAGACTGAGACTATGAGCTGTCTCCTCCTGTATTATATTCCTCTCTAGGGCTGGGATTAAAGGTGTGCACCACTACCGCCCAGCTTCTGTGGTTAACTAATGTGGCTACTGGGATTAAAGGTGTGTATTACTGCTGCCTGGTCTGTAAGGCTGACCAGTGGGGCTATTTTACTCTCTGATCTTGAGGCAAGTTTTATTTATTAAAATACAAATAAAATATCACTACAGCTGATTAATCCTTTTAGCAAAGAAAAGCTTCTGTTTTACTGTCTAAAAACCAGCTTTAGTTCTTATAACCTTTATATTACTGTATTTTAGGCAATGAAGCAAAATACTGGAAATTATGGGTTATGTAGTAACAATGCTTCCACATTTCCAACCTATCTGTAACAGCACCACGTATGTTACAGTCTATCTGGATCACATCTGTAACAGCACCATGTGTGTTACAGTCTATCTGGATCACATCTGTAACAGCACCACATGTGTTATATTCTATCTGGATCACATCTGTAACAGCACCACGTGTGTTACAGTCTATCTGGATCACATCTGTAACAGCACCACGTGTGTTACAGTCTATCTGGATCACATCTGTAACAGCACCATGTGTGTTACAGTCTATCTGGATCATTCAATTTGACATGCTAATGTAAGAAAAGGTGTAGCTGGCTGCAGAGGTGCACACCTGTATCCTATCATATTTAGGTTATATAGGCTGTGGCTGGATTTTGATTTGGAGGCCAATCTGAGGATACACAATAAAACTCTGTCTCAAAAAAAGAGAAAAAGGTAAGAAATAATTTTCTGTAGAGGAATTGTTTACAAATTTTCCATTTTAACTGAAAAAAATTTGTGGTTCCTATTGAATACTTTCAGGTACATTTAGAACAGCTGGATTTCTTTTTTTTTTTTTTTTTTTTTAAATATTTATTTATTTATTATGTATACAATATTCTGTCTGTGTGTGTGTCTTCAGGCCACAAGAGGGCACCAGACCTCATTACAGATGGTTGTGAGCCACCATGTGGTTGCTGGGAATTGAACTCAGAACCTTTGGAAGAGCGGGCAATGCTCTTAACCACTGAGCCATCTCTCCAGCCCAACAGCTGGATTTCTACGACGAAATATAAACAGCATGAAATGAAACTAATGAGGTCTGCTGGTTTTCTTAAGGAACTGGAGGTGACTTTAGTTATTTAGTGAGTGAGGTTATTTACCTGTAGTCAGTTTCTTTAGTGACCACTGAAAACAACAACCTCAGTGCCTGCCGCTTGATTAAAAGAAACCCACAATGTTATCCTAATTTAGTCCTGCAGGCAAAAATCTAACAAAGAGAGGGAAATCTTTAGGGTGAGTTGGTACTAAATTAGGAGTAAAGTGAGGTCTTACCTCCAAGCTCTGGCAGGATGGCAATGTATGTTCCATAAAGAAGAGGCAATGCATCATGATTAATATGTAAATGAGGTAGATGAGGGATAAAATCATTGCCAACAAGAAATCCCATCAAAATCCAATCATCTATGATTTTTTCAATATCATATTCAAATGTGATCTTTTCCTATGACAAAATGGAGAATAAATTGAAATCCTATAGAAATGTCTGTAGGTAAAAAGCTGAGGTCCATGGCTATATTAATACTCACTTTTAATGCTGAAAATTCATAATCAATATACTCTCTCATTAAAGACAAGTGTAGGAGGTGAAATGTCGTTTCTTCTGGTGCACATACCCTGCAATTAGTCAAGTGATCAAAACGGAGTGGTCCAACTTCAAAAGGAAGCAATGGCTAAGTAAAAATTATCATTAAGAGATAATTCTTATATTTAAAGCATGTAATTTATATACAATTATCTGAGAATGCCATCATAATGGGTGAAACATGATAAAGTTCAAAATGACTGGTTTACATTATACTTTTGGTGGAAGAACTCATAAGGTCTAAATACACAATACATATAGAAACTAGTCACTGTAGGAAGTGTATAAATTAGTAAGGGTGTGTGTGAGTGTGGACATACACTTTTAAATTTATGGAATGAAGTTTATCTCTTGCATTGATAGGACACTCTGTTGGCTTATACTCCAAGTTTAGCTATAAAGAAGAATATTAGGGGACAGTAACATATTTAAATAGATTCATAAGCAAGATTTATGGCAAGAATTCAAGGGTAGTTCAACATAAGAAACCAGTATCATATAGCACATGAACAGAGTGTAGGGGAAAATTTTCTGAGACCATTTTACAGAGAAGGCATTTAGCAATATTAAACACTCTCCCATAACACCTGAAATGCAAGTACTCAGGAGGCAGAGGCAGAAGGATTATGAGTTTGAGGCCAGCTCGGTGTACATAGAGTTTTGGCAAGCTTGGCCTATAGAAAGAAACTGTCTTAAAATTAAGAGAGAGTGGGCTGGCAGGAGGCTCATTGGGCAAAGATACTTGCCATTAGGTCTGAAGACCTGAGTTTGATCTCCAGAGCCTACTTCTACAGGTTGTCCTCTGACCTCCACTTGTGACACGGCACTGCATGTGTGTGTGCACACACATTCATTCTTCCTATCTCTCTTTCCCTCTGTCTCTCTGTCTCTCTCTCTCTCTCTGTCTCTCTCTCTCTCTCTCACACACACACACACACACACACAAACACAATGTAAAATATACTCTTAAAAAAAGAGAGAAAGAGCTATGGATAAATTTCCTTAATATAACAAAGGTCATTTATGAAAACACATAATTAACATTATAGAGTGAAAACATTATTCCTAAGACCAGGAATAAGACAAGGATACCTACTTTACCACAGTTATTCAACACACCATAGCTATTCAACACTGTTCTTTAACTCCTAGCCAAGGCAATGAGGCAGGAAAGATAAAGAAATGGAATTAAAATTGGAAAGGGATAAGCACAATTTTATCTGTTTTCTGATGGTGTGATTCTACATACAGAAAACTCCATAGAATACATAAAAACATATTAGTGCTAACAAACAAATAAAACATCTACAGGGAACAAGATAGGTAGTACTTCTATATACCATCAAAGGACAAACCAAAAGAAAATAAAGAAAATTATTCCAGGGGCTGAAGAGGAGGCTCAGAAGTTAAGAGGACCTGGGTTCAGTTCCCAGAACACACATGGTGGTTCACAACAATCTGTAACTCTAGTTACAGGATCTGACATCCTCCTCTAGCTTTGGTGGGCACCATACATGCATGTGGTGTATGTACATATATGCAAGCAAAACACTCATGCACCTAAAATAAAGTAAAAAATCTGAAAAACATGATTCCATAAACAAATGGCATCCAGAAGAGTTAAATAGTTAGAAATAAACTTAACCAAGAAGTATATCAGAGAAACTACAAAATATTTTTGAAAGAAATTAAAAGGAGACACAAAATGTATGCACATGGATTAAAGGGCTCAGTATCAAGATGTTGTAAAAGATATACACATTTCTTAGATCTTTCTTAAAGCTACCCCTATCAAAATCCCAATGATGATTTTCACAAAAATACGAAAATCTATCCTTAAAAAAAAAAAAATCAAAAAACCACCAAGCTTTAGAGACTATAAATGTACAATATAATATTGAAAAAAGAATATAAAGGGCTGGAGAGATGGCTCAGTGGTTAAGAGCACTGCCTGCTCTTCCAAAGGTCCTGAGTTCAATTCCCGGCAACTACATGGTGGCTCACAACCATCTGTAATGGGGTCTGGTGCCCTCTTCTGGCATGCAGGCATACATGCAGGAAGAAACCTGTATACATAATTAATAAATAGATTTTAAAAAAAGAATATATGTTGGGGTTTCATTCTTCTTGATTTCAATGTTAATCACATTAAAATCTACATGAATACACCAGAAATGGTATGAAGACAGGTATATTAGACTAAGTATATTACTACAAAGAATAAAGTAGAAAATGCAAGAACCAAAACTTTGTGTACATGAGCAAATGATTTTCAATAAGGAACCAAGAGCTTCAATAAGGAAAGGACAGTTTTCTCAACAAATAGTGATACAAAAACAAATACAAAGAACGGAGTTGGACTTGTACCTCATACTATATACAAATATTAATTCAAACGGATCAATGATCTAACTATGTAAGCTAAAACTACGTAACTCAGAGCAGGGCATGTCTCAGCAGCTGAGATTCAAGCCCAGCACTGCAAAAATAGCCAAAGCCCCAAACAGCAGAACAAACCCTCCACAAAACTTAAAGAATTAAACATAGGGGTAAACTTTATGACATTAGATTTGACAGTGTTTTCTTGAATACTACAGACATTAAAAGCATAGGCAATAAAAGAAAAAGATAACTGAACTACACCGAAGTCGGCACCCATGAGTTAGAGGAAACATCTGCAGAGCCCATCTGTAAGGACTGCTGGCCATGCTTCACTTTCTTCCTTCTTCCAACATCTCACTTACCTTTGTGTTTTTTTTCCACCAAACCGAACTTCTTCTCTTAAGAGAGAAAAATGTGCCTCATGACTTGTTAATCCAAGCATGATCTGTTGAAAAATAATTATGAAATATTTCTAGTTTACCTTTGTCCATACAATTAGGTTTACAAAAGCAACTTCATAAAATTTCTATACAGAGAACAATTTTAAAGTCACAATGTAAAAATCAAAATCAAATATGCAGCTATCATAAAATGATCCAACTGCAGGATACGGGCAGAATCAAGAAAGCACACTTTAGTGGAGCTATGCTCACCTTAGAGCCCAGGAGTTTCATGACTGACACTGCATTCTCCCCTCCCCCTCCCGAACACTCCTCCTTATGTAAATCACAAAATGTTCTCTGGATTTTTGCAAATTCTTACAGGGATTAGAAATTAGAAGCAGCAACTTTTCCATGCTTCACAAATACAGAAGATACTTAGAGGTCAGGGTAACATTAATATGAAAATCCATTCCCAAATGGAAAAGGGCACTTTAATTTTCTTCTATGTTGTACTCTCTCAGTGACCTCAAAAGTCTAGTTAACATGTGAATCAATGGTAATACATATTGCTTCTTTAAATTCTTATTCAAACAACAAAACAAAACGAAAACATTTATGAACCAATCAGGAGATGTGGTTATTTATCTTAAGCAATTATTATTATATGTGTAATAATGGCATTGTGGTTAAGTACCTTAAAAACTTGTTCATAAAAATATTTCAAAAATATATATTTATTAAGTAAAAACAGTGTATGGAATTTGCTTCAATAACCCATTCTGATTGAAAAGAGGCAAATGACTACATTAAATTTAAGTAAATTAATACTTAAAGAAACTTGCCTTATTCTCCCAGCACTTGGGAGGCAGTGGCAGGCAGACCTCTGAGTTCGAGGCCAGCCTTGTATACAGATTGAGTTCCAGGACAGCCAGGGATGCATACAAAAAACCCTGTCTTAAAAAACCAAACAAAACCAAACCAACTCAACCAACCAAACAAAAAACTTAAGGTAATTTAAGGGCACAAGGGAGCTCATTATAGTTGCTTGCTTGTCTAGTTTTGGTTAGTATGAAGACTTCTCTGATAGGGGCTGGAGATATGGCTCAGCAGTTAAAGAGAACTTACTGCTCTTTTTTTTTCTAAACAATTTTTTTTTTAAATTTTATATACCAATCCCAGTTCCCTCTCCGTCCCCTCCTCCCACTTTCCCCACCTTTCCCTTTCTCCCACCCCACCCCACCCCACCCCCACTCACTCCTCAGAGAGGGTGAGGTCTCCCACGGGGAATCAACAAAGTCTGTCACATCACTTGAGGCAGGACCAAGGCCCTCCTCCCTGTATCTAGGCTAAACAGGGTCTCCCTCCATAAGGGATGGGTTCTAAAAAGCCAGTTTATGTACTAGGGATACTGTTTGAGATGGCTCAACTGTTAGAGGTTAAAAGCACTGGTCCTGAGTTCAATTCCCAGCAACTGCAAGGTGGTTCACAACCATCTGTAATGGGATCTGGGGCTTACTGCTCTTGCAGAGGACCCAAGTTTAGTTCCAGGTACCTAGACTCATGACTATCCTTAACTCCAGTTCCAGGGGATCCAATGCACCCCTCAGGCACCAGATGATACAAATACATACACATACATGATATACATACATACATGTAGGCAAAATACTCATAAAAGGTATTTGAGGCATGGAGCTGTGAATTAGGACATTTTCATGGCCCTAGGTAAAATAGTCATCTTTCCTTGGCTTCAGCATTTCCTTTTCAGCACCATACTCATAGAAATAGGGTTGCTCAGATTTGTAGACTATACCAACATCAGTTATTTATAGTCTATGACAAACAAACAAAGCTTATCTCCCCAATTCTATAGAACTTAGATAATGGCAAATGTAGCTATCATTGCCTTCTGTATTCGGTGCTACAGCCAGTGAACTTCCTGCATTAAAAACTCCATCTCTTAGCATTTAGTTCTACAACAGAAGCTTGTAACAACAGGTGAGTGTTATACCTACCAAGTCAGCATCTAAGCCATAAAGACAGTGTCTGGTGTTTGGATCATGATCTGGCTTTGCTTTCTCTGATCTGATAAATTCCATGATTTTATGTTCTCCTTCTCCAGGAGTCTAAAAACAATGTTTAAAAACAAGGTGGTGATATACTATGCTTCAAACTTTTAAAAAAAATTTAAACTTTAAAACATTTTTTAGATGAAAAAAGATGCTAACCTCATGGCCTGAGAAGTAGATGGTAACACCTTGCCATGATTTGTCAGTGGAAATTTTCATATTTACAAAATACTTCAGATGTTCATGCAACCTGGCCATGAATTCAGTCCCTATAAACAAAAAGTTTTAAAAAGGTTAATCTGAGAAAGATGAAAATAGCAAAAACAGTTAAGTTCCCAGTAACAACATATACTCAGTATCTTCAAAACAAGCCCAAAGCTGTCTTGTTTATCCTGCAAGCAAGCAACTGAACGTGTCCCCAGCAAGTATCTCCAATGCTTCAAAAGTCACCAGCAATCTCAAACGGAGTCAGTGTCACAAAAGCAGGCATGAGTTTTCCACCATCTGCAGACTGTGCTTTAAGTATTTACCTAGGAGCAGTATGAACTCTAACTCCAACTTCCTACATTTTTGCTGGATTCCTAAGCATATTATTAATTTTATTTATTATGTCTGTGTATGGTGTGTATTTGTGAGGGTGAGCATACACATGCCAGGGCACACATGTGGAGGATAGGGGGCAGTATTTGTAGTTCACTCTACCCTCTGTCCACGGGTTCTGGGCTTTGAGCACAGGTCAGCTTGTGCAGAAAGTGCTTTGTTTTTACCCACTGAATCATCTTCTAGATCCTGAAGTGTATGTATGTGTGTGTGTATATGTGTGTGTGTGTGTGTGTGTATATATATATGTGTATGTGTGTGTGTGTGTGTGTGTGTGCGTGTGTGTATGGCATGTAATTTTAATTAGACTGCCAACAATAACTATTATTGTTCATTTATATTATTAATAACTTGTATTGTTTTCTTTTTTAAAATAGTGTCTATAGTCCTGGTTAGTCTTAAACTCACCATAAGCTACGGATATCCCCAAACTTCTGATCTTCTGCCTTTATTTCACAGGTCCTGGGATTACAGGAACGCACAACCACACCTGATTTATGTTGTGCTGGGGAATGAACCCAGGATCTCATGTGAGCAAAGGGTTGGCTCTACCAAATAAACTATATCCCACTCCAACAACTACTAGATGCGTATAATCAGGTTCATGTAGAAGCAAGGGTTTATATGGAGGGCAAAGGACAACCTGTGATTGGCTGGTTCTTCCTTATATACCATCCACCCTGATTTTTTATTTTTTTGGTCAGGATCTCTATGTATGGCTGCCCTAGAACCTAGATCAGGATGGCCTCAAATTCACAGAGATTCTACTACCTCTGCCTCCCAAGTACTGGAATTAAAGCTGTATGCCACCGTGCCCAGCCATCTTGTCTTTTGAGACACAGATTCTCACTGAAACCTGGGACTCAATAATTAGGCAAAACATGTTGACCAGTGAGCCCCAGGAACCCCTCCAAAAACCTCCCCAAAAAGATTAAAAGTGTGCTCCACCATACCCAGCTTCTTATGTGGGTGCTGGGGAGGGAACTCAGGGCCTTTTATTTGTGTGATTAAGAACTCTACCGACTGACTTATCTCTCAGTTATTACACACACACACACACACACACACACACGAGCCATGTGCGTGCAGTGCCTTGGAAGCCAAAAGAGAGCATCTGATCCTCTAGAACTGGAGTTACAGACAGTATTAAGCTACCATGTGGATGCTGGGAATTGAACCCAGGTCCTCTGCAAGAACTATCAGTCCTTTTAACCACTGAGCCACCTCTTTAGCCCCAATACCTACTATTCTTAACATGAAAAATTATTTTAATATGGAAAGTGTGAGTATATATTATTATACCATAAACAAAACTCAAGATGACCAACAGTCAAAGGCAATACTATCTTAAACTATATCCAAGAGAAACTGCTTATTAAATTGAGCAATGTGTATGTAAAACAGCAACAACAACAATAACAACAAATCACTTGTTTGTATGGAATTTAAAAAGTTCCATTTAAAATTTCTGTTCAAAATAAAGGACTATAAAGATGCCAGTCAACTCTCTCAAGCGTATCAAGTAGAGTGATGTATATAAAGTTAAACAAATTACTAATAATTTTTATATTTATGCCTTTATTTGTGTGTGTCTATGTCAGAAGATAATTTGCAGGAGTTGGTTCTCTCTTTCAGCATTCAGGTCCTGGGAATTGAGCTCAGGTCATCAGGATGGACAGCAACTGCCTTTATCTGCTGAGCTACTTCACTGGCCCTATGTTCTTAAAGTCATAAAAATCCTATATTCCTTTGGGAGGCAGAGGAATAAACTCTCTGGATTAAAAGAATGGGTTTCTTATCCTGAAGCCAATGGGTAGATATAGAAACTTGTCTATTTGATACCAGTAACTGACCAGAATAAACTGAAAGCCCCCGTAAGTTTCTTCTAGGTCAGGTCAGGAACTCTATGGAGCTGGCAATGTCCTCTCCGTATCTGCTTATCAACACCTGAAAACACTACAGTGGATCTTTTTACAGGAAGCTTCACAGCCAACATGATGAGTAGACAGAAATGTGAAAATAAATGGCTAACGAAAGCCTAAGAACAAAGAGTCTAAAAACAAAAATACATTAAAAAAATGTTCAATTTCTATATTAAGTCTTTAGACTATCTTTCAGCTTACCTGGTGTGATACAGTTAGAATCAAATCTGGCTTCTGCAGGAAGCGTTTCTCCCTTTTCAATTGCTTTTTTAATTTTGTCTTCTGCCTCCTTGGCTGACCTTAAAAGTCAAAGAGAAAAAATATCTTACATTTTGTAGAAAATAAATGTATCACACAACTATTGTTTAAAAGATTTTTACACAAAACACTAATTTGTCAGCTTTAAGGTTCAAAACTATACAATTTTAAGGAATAATTACAATAGAAATGAATAAGCCTAGGAATTCTTTCTTTTACTTACAAAATTGAGGCTTTTTTTAAATATGAAGACTACAGAAGTTGGACATTAAAATAGTGAAAAGCACACAAATCACTACAATACTTAAGTAATCCTAACATATATACAGCAAATTTATTCCAGAAACAAGGTCAAAGGCTTTAAGTGTCAATTGTGTTTGCTATATCTAATTATACCAATTAATGATTTTAATAATTTTCCTAATAATAAATGATATGAGTAGATAAAATATAACAAAAATAATGCCAGGGTTTAAAGATTATACTCTACAGAGGAGGGAATATTGAATAGCCATGTTTAATCTAGTTGCAATATAGAAACAACTATTAAAATAATCTAAGTAAAGATAATGACACACTAAGCTGAGATACTAGATTCTAAAAAGATGACAAAAAGAAGTATAACTCAATTGTAGATGTCAGGAATAAAGACACAGAAGGAGTTCAAATGACTCTTGGGTTTTGGGTGGGGCAGCTAATCACACAGTATGGAAGAAGGAAAGAGAAAAAGAGTTGCTTTGTGGAGGATGAATTCAGTTCTGAAAATGGGAAGCCTTCTGGTATCTAGGCTACCCAAAAGGAGACAAGTGTTACAATAGAAAAGGAACTTGGGGGTGTGAAAAATACCATAAAGATAAAATTGGGAGTCATCAGTAGAGACATAGTAACCAAAGTCATTAGATGTGATTACTCGGGGTGAGAGTCAAGGAAATTAACTTCAATGATAATTTAAGAAAAAAAGAAGTGGAGAAAGGGAAGATGACAAAAGTCCAACAGGACACAAACAGAGAAAAGCTACATGAAGGTCAAGGAAAGAAATTACAGAAAGAAAGAAGGATCAGCACTGTTGCTCACTGTGGGAGGAGGAAGCAATGAGACTCAGTCTTTGGATTAGGACATAAGCCTGTGATCTTGAAAGGAAATTTCAGTGGCACAGTATGGATAAAAACCAGACTCAGAGCGAAGTCAGCAAGCATTAAAGTATGAAGCTGATGGGGGACTTTCTAGGAAATATGGGACTCCTGGTGACAGCCTAGCATTTAATATACGGTTGTGGTAGTTCCAATGGCTTGATTGGTCCTTAATCCCCAGCCAGAGTCTGTACTTCTGATACTGAAAAGGTTATGAAGTTAAAAATAGAGCTAGAAGGCCTCCCTGAAGTTAAGTTTCTAGAAATGAGTTGATTTTTGTTAGTTAGATAAAGGTGGGAGGAAGTCTGATGATACCAGCATGTCAGCTGAGTTACTTGGGCTGTTGGGGGTGAGGGTTCAGCAATGATGGAAGAGTGACAAGAGCCGATACCAACACTTAGTAACATTCAGGTACTGAGACGCAAAGAGTAGGGTATCCATTTTGTCTAATGTAGATCTAGAAGACAGAGCTAAAATACACTGACACCTTCTGGTGGCTGAACTCTAAGGAGACCAGGCTGGCTTTGCTCATAAATATTGGGATAAAGGCCTGAACCATCAGCATCCTAATCTGAGTTTTTAGGCTAGTGGCTCCCTAAAACTAGTTAATAAATACCATGTATTGATACCTAGTGTAGTTTTCCAATGACTAGAGATTCTGATTAAGTCTTTAGGTAGTCTTTAGAAATTTAAATTTTGGTTTAAAAAAGTCATTGCATTTAAAGATCCCAGTATTTTCAATATATTTAGACTCTTTTTTGTCTGTTTGTTTTAGTAGTTAATCAATACCCTGCCATCCTGTCCTTAGTCTCACTGGGAGGTTTCTTCAAGACCGTGTCAACTTTCTTGACAACATCCACATCTGATGCATGAATACTTCTGTCACTCTTTGTTGTTTTTGTTGTTTTGCTTTTTGATTTTCGAGACAGGGCTTCTCTGTTTATCTATGGCTATCCTGGAACTCACTCTGTAGATCAGGCTGGCCTTGAACTCACAGAAATTCGCCTGCCTCCCAAGTGCTGGGATTAAAGACGTGGTCACCATACCATTTTTTCATACTGTCATTATGATTAAGTCTTTCATTATGCTAACAACTCATCAAACTTTGGACTTAGAATTCCTCCCAACAGGAATAGAGCCTGACTTCCCTGTTACTCAGATATACTCGACACATCCAGGAGTTCGATTTTAAGACTATCTCTGACCCTTTTATTTCTACAAATGGTGTTGATAATGCCAAGTCCCTAACTGAACTCTTTTCCCTATCCCATCAATCACCTTCTAATCATTTGCTTTACTGCTAAATTAGGGTTCATATTTATGCAGAATCAGCATCTAGACTAGGTCTGGTCATTCAATAGGTTTGCTGCCTCACTGTCATTAGAAGAGCCTCTTGCACACTCTGTGGGGACTAAAGGGAGGTGGGTCACCACAGGTGTTCTGCTCCCCTTCTACTACCTCCGAACTATCAAAGCAAAGTTTGACAACCTGGACCTGAGAACAGAATGAACTTTACATGAAGCCCAACACAAGCTTTGAGATGTAATTCGTGAGAATTACTAGTTTATGACTTGACTAGCCAAATATGCTAATAAGTATAGAGTACACCAATTACTTTGAAGATTTAAATAGAAAACAAATATGAATGGAAGATGCACTGTATTATGTCACCTGTTTTAAATGATTTACCTAAAACGCCTTCCACGTTGCTGGTTCATTTTTGCTCGAGGAGCCACACCATCAACAGCCATAAAGAACACTTTCCTAGGTTTAATAATTCGAAATAACACCTCCAAGTAGTGAAAAATGTCAGTAAAGATTTTGTCATCTGAAATTCTGAAGTGAACATCATCATCATTTGGATGGGAACACTGATGAATAATTCCATTCATATCCAGGTACAAATTATCAAATTCTGGAATCTAAAAAGCAAACAAACAAATAAAAAAACAAAACTCCAGATTATTAATTATCATAACTATTTTAAAGACCAGCAAACGTGATTCTTCAATGGTTCAAAACAAAAATAAAACAAAACAAAAAACCAAACAGGATGATGTAATGTCTTCTGATTAGAGAAACTTGAGGGGGCCTCTCCCAGGGAACCCAAGTTTGGATCCTGGCACTTTCTTTCAATCAGGCTGTTCACAACCAACCACGTCTCCAGTCCTAGGGGATCCAGTGCCTTCTTCTGGCCTCCTCAGGTACTACATGTAAGTGCACAAACATGCAGACACACATAACATAAATATACATACAAAATAAAAAAATAAATCTTAAAAAAAAGCGAATAAACAATCATTGTTGAATAAAGTAAGCAAAGGAAAGTAAACAGGAGCAACTAGTAACGCAAAAGGAAATTATGTACTTATATAATGTGTGGCTTGACCTAACTTACTATGAGGAAATAATCATTTATTCAAAGTAAGAGTCCCAGGAAAACAACAGAGAAAGCACTTAGTTAAAATGGCACTCAAAATATTAGTTTCCTCCCTGTTTGCTACTTGGCATCTCAAAGTGTCAATTTCGTCTATAAATGGGAAAATAATGCCCATTTATATCAAAGGGTTTTATAAAAGAGTATTAAAGGCTTTACAAATGATTTAATGACTTTTGTATTTGGTTCACTCAAAGCCACTTAACTAGTTACATTAGTTTAAGAGAACATTCAAGACTTATTATTTGTTTCAAGAATCTGAAAACACCAATCGACGTCGTTGTAAGCTCTTGAGAGGGAAATAATTTATACAGAATGATTCCACTTCTTTAGGAGACAGTATTAAAGGCAGAGCAAGGAAGGGAAATCGGCCCTCAAGGACTTCAGCTAACAGATGGAAACGGGCACTGAAACAGTGCAAGTGCACGTGACATTTCCATGCAGAAGAAACATTTCTAACACTGAAAGGAGGGGACAGGGTACTTGCCCAGCCATCAGAAAACAAGACTAACAGAACCTCCAAAGGCAGTGCTACATGTCTCTTGTTTTCTTAACTACTCAGAACATGGAAACAGGAGGATTGCTTGAGCCCAATAATTAAAGATCAACCTGAGCCGCTCCAAGGTGGAAGAGTGTGGTGTGTGTTGATCTCAGGCAAGGAAAGCTCCACTCATAAACAAACAAACACTAAAATGGCTATGTGAAAATGCATTCTTTCAAATCTATATGAGGAAAAGATGAATCCTCCCATGAAATCCTAAATTATGAATCCTGGCAATCCTAACATCTGGGAGACACGGACAGAAGGTCTGCAATTCCAGTAAGGAAAATGCCTAAAACGTTTCCCACAGAAGGACCAACTAGCAAAGCCATTTTAGATACAGCTCTAGTATCTAAACTTACTGCATTGGTTCTGCAACAAACCCGGCTGACAATGTCTTTCACACACATGTATTATTGTTCATAACAAACACACACTAGTAAAATGGGTTTTCCCCTCCTGCAGTTTTGGGACATTAAACCCTGGACCTTCATTCTAAGCAAGTGCTGTATCACTGAGCCGCAATCCCAGTCTCTGCCCCCTTCTCCCTTTTCTGTGGTACTGGGGGATTAAACCGTAGAGCTTCTGGTAGGCTAGGCAGGTGTTCTAACACTGGGCTAGCTATATCCCCAATATTGTTTTCAGAAGTTTTTACTTTGAGACAGACTCACTAAGTTACCGAAACTGTTCCTGAACTCATTTTGTAACCCTGTCTCTCGAGTAGTGGGAATTTCAGATCTAAGTCTAGGGGTGGCAGTAACACACATGAAACCCAGTCTTTGCCTTTCTTTTCTTTTTTGAGAGAGGGTCTTAATATGTAGTTCTTGCTAGTTTTGAAATGGCCATCTTGCCTCAGCTGCCCGAATGCTAGGATCACACATGTGTACCACCACTGCTGGGCAGGAAGTAAACGAAAGCTTTGTATTCACAGCTGGAGAGATGGCTCAATGGCTAAGAGCACTTATTACACTTGCAGAATACCCAGATTCGGTTCCTAGAAGCTTTATGGAGGTTCACAATCATCTGTACCTCCAGTTCCAAGGATCCATGGCTCTTTTCTGCCTTTTCGGCCCTCTAAGGGCACCAGGCGTGCATTTGGTATCTAGATACGCATGCAGGAAACACACTCATACACACACACACACACACACACACACACACACACAAATATATAAATATATAAATAAATAAAATGTATGCCATTTGGCCTCAATCCTTTTCTGTTGTTTTATATGAACTGAATTTTCTTAAGCTTTAGAATGACTAGAGGTTCACATAAACTTTAACTTAGCTTTCTTTTGGAGTTTTTAGTAAGTTTTAAAACATGGTAGCTTGACCAAAAAAAAAAAAAAAACAAATTAAAACAACAACAACAAAACAACCAAAGAGCTGGGCAGTGGTGGCGCACACCTTTGATCCCAGCACTCAGGAGGCAGAGGCAGGCAGATCTCTGTGAGTGCGAGGCCAGCCCGGGCTACAAGAGCTAGTTCCAGGACAGGCTCCAAAGCTACAGAGAAACCCTGTCTCGAACCCCGCCCCCCCAACCCCAAAAACAAACAAACAAAAAAACCAACCAACCAAACAAACAAAAAACCACCAAAAACAAAAACCAAACAAACAAAACCATTGTAGCTTGTTTTGCAAGATTCCTTGACTCTAATTCTTCCTAACTTTCATTGACCATCCTCTATTTCCACTGTCCCTTCCATGACAACATTTACTTTATTCTGTGACAACATTTTACTCTTAGTTGTTTCTCCTTAGGATATACTGTGCCCCATGATGCACTTGGAAGGTCAGCTTTGCATGTACAGGAGTATTGCTTTTCCTTCTGATGACACTTCATTACCCCCAACCAGACAGGGTTTCTCTGTGTAACAGCCCCGGCTCCCAGGAATTAGCTTTGTAGACCAGGTTGGCCAGGCATAGGTCACAGAGATCTGCCTGCCTGTCTTCCAAGTGCTCGGATTAAAGGTGTGAGCCACCATGGCTATCCAGCTAGTCAATCTTAAGAAGAATACCCGCCCGCTGCTGGGTGGTGGTGGTGCAAGCTTTGAATCCCAGCATTCGGGAGGCAGAGGCAGGTGGATCTCTGTGAGTTAGAGACCAGCCTGGTCTATATGAGCTAGTTTCAGGACAGACTCCAAAACAAAACAAAACAAAACAAAAACAACCCCCCTCCCCATTTTACATACTGTTATCTAATTGGCTAGCATAGTCTTTTTTGAAACTAACAGGGTAAATTTCTGGAGTTTTGCTCACAAGTTCATCAGCTATTTCTTCCTCTTTCTCTTATAACCCTGTCTAGAGTCTATTGATCATTTGCCGTCATCTAGCAATATTTAGAACCAGTAACATGTGGATACTGTATCACATGACTTGTAATTGTTTTATAGACTTTAAACTTTGTAATCTAGTTTCTCTTTGTATTTTCATGTGAGGATTAAAAGACTGTGCTGATACCAAATCCTCTCCCCACTTCCCAAACCTATTCCTTCCATCCTGTCCCTCAGGTCTGCTCCTGCTCACCCTGCCACCCACACAGAGGTCAGAGGTCAACTCTGGGGTTTTCCTTAACTGCTTCTTCACTTTATTTTTTGAGACAGATCTCTCAGTGACCGTGAAGTCCACTAGTTTAGCTGGACTAGCTGGCTAGAGAGCCCTCGGGATCCACCTGTCCCTGCTCTCCATTATCTAGCAATATTTTGAACCAGGAACATGGGATACTGTATCACATGTCTTGTTATAATTGTTTAATGGAGTCTCCAGAGCCGGTGTTACAGGTACCCTATGCCACTCCCAGTTTTTATGTGGGTGCTGGGGATCAGAACTTCGGTCCTTCTTCTTCAGTCCCCCCTTTTAATAAAGTATTTGTGGAAGGCATTACTTTGATACACCAAGTCTCTATTTATTTATTTTATGTGTATGGGTGCTTTGCCTGCATGTATATCTGTGTTCCATGCTCTGGAAGTGCAGTTACAAACAGTTGTGGATGCTAGAATCAAATCCAAGTCCTCTTAACCAGAGCTCTCAGCCCCCTATCTATCTATCTATCTATCTATCTATCTATCTATCTATCTATCTGTTTTGAGTTAGGATCTCACTGTGTGCCTCTGGCTGGCCTTAAACTCAGAGATCTACAAGACTCTGCCTCCTGAGCATTGGTATTACAGATGTAGGACACCAGGCCCTGCTGTAATTTTAAAGCAATCCTTACTTTTAATTTCAATCTAATATGAAACTTTCAGGAAATCTGTCTTGCTGTTCATGTCATAGTGCTGCTTTTAGTGACTGTATTGTTTTTGCAACGAAATTCCTCAGGATAGAGACTGCATTATTTTTTTCCCCGGGACAGGGTTTCTCTGTAGCTTTGGAGCCTGTCCTGGAACTAGCTCTTGTAGAGAACTCACAGAGATCCTCTGCCTCCCGAGTACTGGGATTAAAGGCACGCACCACCACTGCCTGACTGCATGATATTTTAACCAAATCAATGACTGTGGCCAAAGAGTACAGAATAAAAATATATTGAACATTTTAGATACTATCATATATTTATTGATCAAAGTTCCAGAAAAAGAAAAACAATTTAATTGTGTCCTTTTTCACTCTTTTCCCTGGCAATAAATATCCTCTAAATCTAACTTAACCTATGTCTCAAATAAATGAAGGACAAGTTAGCACTTTGGAAATTTTTATAAGCTTTTTTTCCATATGCCAAATTTTATTAGACCTTAACATCAAAAGAATTCTTTCCAGAGACTGAACTCTATAGTTATCCTTAGAAGTGTTATGATTTTTAAAAAATGCTGTACCTTAAACAAAACAAAAATCCCATATAAGTGACAACTCTCAGTACTAATACAGTTATACTTATCACAAGTAATTCAATTAGCTATGACAATTTCAAAAACGAGTTCTTTTTTTTTTTTGTAAATCAAAGTCATTATCAAAGTCATTCGGTGTGACATACTAAATTATCATTCAATGTCTAGCTTACCTATTAGAACATTTGGTTTCTCTCCTCTGTTATTTAAATATGTGAACATATTCCAATATATAGATATACAAATACACACTTTTAGAGTTCACATAAATGCCGCTGTGGGGTATACACCAATTATTGGTAATAATGTTTCTGGTTTTTTTCTGCCATATCAAAGCCGCTAAGCACCACCCCCCGCGCCCCCCCCCCCCCATCCCTGCGCTCCATCTAAACGTTTTGTTCCTCTAGACAAAGGGGGTCGGGATAGGTACTGTTTGGGAGCTAACCGGAGTATCAAAGGTCTCACATCAATCGGTCCAGGCTATGGGGTTAAATGCAGCTCTTAACAGCTGGAGTACTAGGCAATTCCACCGCAGAGACGTTTGTTATTGTTTGCACACAGGTCTGTTGCTTTGCGTGGGAGACCAGGGAAAGCATCCCACTCAGAGCCTCGCAGCCTGAGGTGAAGCCAGTTGCGACTCCCAGGAGGACAGGGGGCTCCTAAAAGCTCTCCCGGGGGAGCTTAGACCTGCCGCAAGCACGGATCGTACCTGCCTCTACCCGATGCGGCTCACTCGGAGACCGCCAACCCTCGATCCTCCCTCTCCTCCTCCTGTCCGGCTGCTGACCAGCTCCGGAGGGGCTGGTTGGCCCGGGTCCCACACCGCGCACAGGCCCGCGGGCCCGCCTCTTGCACCGCGGCCTGTGCTCACCCACCTGATGCTCCTTCACCACTTCGCTGAGGCAGGGATACCGCTCCGAGATCCATCGGTAAAACTTGGGGACTCCCATTTTGACCGTCGACACTAATTCCAGTAGGTGCAGAAACGAAACCAAACGCCCCGCCCGGGCCTACGCCGCCGCCTCCGGCCGTCGCTCGGAGGATGACAACACAAGGTCCGCCAGACCATAGAGTAAGCCGCGGGCCTAGAGGGGCAGGACGGTGTCGGTGGGCGGGGCGTCCTGTCTACCTCGCTGCTTTTCCGTGCTCTTTGGTGGCGGCACAAGAGGTATGACTGCTGTGGTAAGCTCAATTTGAAGATACAGATTGGCAGAGATGTGGACTTGCAGACAGTTGGGAGAATGTACTGGTTAATTTTATGTCAACTTGACACTTGGGAGAGTCATTGGGAAGAGGAACCTCAACTGAGAAAAATGCTGTCTCCAGATTGGCCTTTGGGAATATTTTGATTAATGATCCATGTGGAGGACCCAGGTCATTGTGGACTGATGCCACCCTTGGTCCTCCGGTATATGAGAAAGCTGAGTGAATGAACAAGCCAGAAAACAGCATTCCTCCGTGGTTTCGATTCCTGACGCACGGCATCGATGTTGGACTGTGATGAGGAAGTGTAAGCCAAATAAACCCTTTCCTTCCCAAGTTGCATTTGGCCATGTTTATTACAGCAATAGAAACCCTGAGTAAGAGAGTGTTGGACAATGGATTTTGTACTGCGTCTTGCCCTTATGGGATGGCTAAACTATTTTTCAACACGGACTGGAAAAGTTTCGGTTAGTTTGTGAGGGGAGTTATTTTCTGAGTAATGTAAATCTGCACTAGAGCTTCTTTTAAGAGCAGTTTCCCAGCGTTTCAAGACTGGGTTACTCCGCTTATCCTCAATTGTTGGTACCCTGTTTCAAAACAGAGAAACCCACAACAACAAAACAAAAACAAAGAGGCTGCTGTGGCCCAGCACGCCTATAAATTCCAGCACTTAGGAGGCATACAAGGATCAGAGGTTAAAAGGCCATCCTCAGGTACATAGCAAGTTTAAGGCGATCTTAGACAACACGAAAGCCTATCGCAAACCAAAAACTCAAAAAGCATGGTGTAGCATATAAGTCTTTATTTCAGCACTTGAAGGATGGAGGCAGATCAGGAGTTCAGGGTCTTCTTCAGTTACACAAGTTCCAGACTCTATCCTACATGACAATCTGTCGCAATCAAACAAGATGAAAGCCACCATGAACATCTCTGTATCTGTCTCTATCATTATGTGACTTTCATTATGGTAAGTACTTTGGAAGTTACTCAAGTCTTTCCTTTGGTACTGCCTGTCTTCCATGATTAGGATTTGGACAGCATCCATCTTTAGTCAAGAGGACCTTCTGTGTATGTGACTTCACTCTCCATGCAAGGACTGTTTAGAGAATATAGAAAAGACTCACTCTCGTGCACTTTCTCTTCTCTTTTTTCCTTTTCTTTCTTTTTCTTTTGGTTTTTTGAGACAGTGTTGGGATTAAAGACTTGTGCCACCACGGCCCGGCCACTTTCTCTTCTTAATGTCTACAAACTCACACAACAAAATTGTTTTATTCTTTATTGATCCTATGTAGCCCTGGCTGTCCTGGTACTCACTATGTAGATCAGGTTAATCTCAAACTCAAGGAGATCAACCTGCCTCTAATTCCAAAGTACTGGGATCAAAGGTGTGCGTGTTTTATTCTTAAGATGTTTCCAAATCTCATGACCTTCACACAGGTTACATTTGTAAAAATATATGATTTTGCTTTGGGAAATGAAAATCTGGTTGAATTATTTAGATGATAAAGCACTAAACATTGACTGATCTTCTAAGAGATTAGATTGGCATTGTATTTAGAAAATGATCCTTAAAAATATAGGAATCAATACAGAAAATATATTTTTTCAGTAAAGAAAAATGAAGCTATATATCATCTGCAAGAAAATGGATGCAACTGTAGATCATTATATTAAGTGAATTAAGTCAGTCTCAGAGAGATTACATTTTCTTTCATTTATGGTTCCTAAATTTTATATAGCTACTTCAAATCATGTATGTATATGGGACATGAAAGCAGAAACAACACTGTCAAAGGGAACAAAAGAGACTGAGGCAGAGAACAGCAGGAAGTATGGGAAGAAGTTTTCACAGTATATTATATATTTGTATGAAATGATCCTTATGTAATCCAGTACTGTATTTAACAAATATATATACATCACTGCAAATTAACTATTTAGTTTAAACATGTCTATATGAACAAACCACCAAAATCAAATTAAAATGGACACACATGCACCCTCAACCCACTTGTTACTGAAAATAAGATTGCCTTATTACCCTGACCTTCCTTAACTGTTAGCATCAAGGTGTAAGTAGTAAATGGTACGTTCCAGTTTCGACATTCATGCCTTCTGGCTTATTGTGTTTTACCTCATTATACATTTACTCATAGGAGAAAAAAAGGCAGAGTTCTATATAGCAGTTTTCCATTTATCTGTAATAAATGTATTATTTTTCAGTTCTTTTCATTTTAATCTATAAGAAACTGTACAGAAAACAAACACATAAAAAACATTTAGATTTTAAAATCTTAAGAGAATTGTAAGTATTGTGTTTTCCATCACTACTGTACTGTGTATTTTCACATACCAACCATGTGGTAGTGTCTTTAAAATTACAGAATGTTAGGGCTGAGCTGTGGCTTAATGGTAGAACATATACCTAGCATAGTTCAATCTTCAGTATCACCAAAATAATATTTTTTAAGATTTATTTATTTATTATATATACAACATTCTGCCTCAATGTATGCCCGCACGCCAGAGGAGGGCGCCAGATCTCAGTACAGATGGTTGTGAACCACCATGTGGTTGCTGGGAATTGAACTCAGGACCTCTGGAAGAGCAGCCAGTGCTCTTAACCTTTGAGCCATCTCTCCAGCCCTCACCAAAATAATTATATAGCTGATTTATTTTTCCATTCATGTTTCCTGAGTCTCTCTTGATTACATTTTCCTGTATATATACTAAAAGCTTAATGAAGTGAATTTAATGATGTGCTATCATTCCCTACAGGGCAGAAGAGGTAGCTCTGTGGACCGGTCCAGTCTAGTTCCTGCCCACATGTAGCCAATATAACTTGTTGCTGTTCAAATGAAACCTTATGCTAACACTTTGAAAAGGAAATTTATAAAACTACAAAATGAAATTAGGCTGGCTGGTTCCTTCCAGTTACATTGTTTTTTGATCATGAGAATACAATGTTCTATCTCTCTAGGTGAAATATACAAGTATGTACTAAGAAAGCAGTATTTAAGAATTGAATCCATAATTGTTAATACAATCACAGAGAAATACTAGTTTCTCTAAGAATATAAGTAAATGTGTGTTGTAATTTAGACTTAAAGACATACCTCTGATTAATAACACAGGAATTTTAGATATTAATATAGTCTTTGAAATAATTTTATTTTACATATATGGGGTCCAACCAAGGTACATCTGACATAGCAAGTTTTCATCAGTAGCTTCTTGTATGAGGTAATGCACATGTCCTTCAATAGACAACGGCAACCCTGTTACTCTATTTTGGGTCTTGATTACACCTTGTAGTCGTTGTTCAATGTCAAGAACATGGGTTTTGGCCTAAAAAAATACAGAAAGTCATTAAGGCTACAGACCCAATAACAAGTACCGTTAGTAATTTGGAGCTTCTACGTTTTTCACTACTTAATGTTAGTACCGTTTAACAAAACAATATCCCATTCGATTAATGAAACCCAGTTAACTTGAGATGCTGGCTTTGATGTTTACAATGATTGACATCTGCTAATGGACTTGTTTCTATACTACAAAAATTACCAGGTAACTCTGCACATTACTATTGGGGAATATTATTTTCAGGTGTGTGACTTTTGTTTACACTGCATTTGTTTAACTCTGTGAAGCTGTGTTACTGTGCCTGTCTAAAACACCCGATGGTCCTAACGGTCAAGAGCAAGGATAGGCATGGCTAGCAGGCAGAGAGTATAAATAGAAGGCGAACTCTGGGAGAAGAAAAGGATGACGAACAAGAGAAGGAGAGGAGGACATCTGCAGCCAGCCATAGAAAAAGAAGCAAAGAAAGGTATACAGAAATAGAGAAGGATGCCGGGCAGTGGTAAAGCACGCCTTTAATCCCAGCACTCGGGAGGCAGAGGCAGGCAGATCTCTGCGAGTTTGAGGCTAGCCTGGTCTATAAGAGAGAGTTCCAGGACAGGCACCAAAGCTACAGAGAAACCTTGTCTTGAAAAAACCAAAAAACAAACAAAAACAAACAAAAAAAGCTGACAAGAAACAAGCCAAGCTTAGACTGGGTATGTGATTTATTTGGGAGTTCGGTGGCAAGTTCTCCAAAAAGTCAAAAGAGCACAACATTACACAATCCACCAGTTCCAGAAAGGTATTAATTTAAAATATCTGTTTTGAGAACTAGGGATGTAGCTCAGTGGTGGGATGCGTGTTTAGCAGACAAGAGACCCTGGGTTCTATTCCTTTCTACTATCAGAAACAAAATAAAGCAAACAAAAAGTAACCTATTTTGAAATGTTAGCTCTTAAATATTTGAGTGAAGATTCTAATGATGGTAGCAATGCTCTAATGGCTAATAAATTTACATTAGTGCACGCAAATGGAATTTTAAGTAAACTACTTGGAATTCTTTACAGCTTCTTAAGAAAATGCATACCAGAAGCAAAATTGAAAATGATATTATTAGAAAAGTAATTTTCAGGACAAGGATGAAGCCTGGTGGTGTTGAAATTAATTAGAGCATGTACTTAGCATACACAAGGCCTTGGGTTGAATCCAGCATCAAAATGGGGGTAGAGGAGAAAGACTCCTCAATGTATTTCTGTCAACTCTAAGGTTGTAGCTAATTTTAGATTCCAAAGTAATTAATATATAGGTCACCAACAGTATTTGGAATCAGATCTCATTTAAAGAGAGACTATTCGCTTATGCCAAGCTGAAGCTTTTACGAACCTTTTCATTGACAACTTCCCCTGTTTCGTTCAGTGGTGCTTTGGAATGTCCTTTCACTGGTTTACTC